CTCTATCTTCTATATATATATATATATATATATATATATATAAAGCCGAAAACAACTACAATGCTCCGCCGTGTATCGTCCTCCGCACTAGTGCAGCGCGCCGTCGTGCCCACCGCCGCTACCGTCGCCACCCTGCGCAACATCGTCGTCTTCAGTCAACAGCACCACATTTTGGAGAGCAACCAGAAGGCTCGCAACAGCCCCAGCAACGTGTGGATCGAGGACTGGGAGGTGGACCGGTTAGGAATGAAGCCGGAGGCCGGTGCCCTGCCCACCCAGCTCGTGCTCGATAAGCAGCTGGAGCTCTTCAACTTCGATCAACTGCTTTCCCCGCCGGAGGTGATGGAGGCTCCGAAGCACAGCAGCTACAGTAGCCGTAAGGTGTACGGCGAGCGTCTACAGTTCGAACTGAACGACCGCGCCTCGAAGCACAACTTCCAGAGCAAGTGGTGGATTACCAAAGGGCAGGCCTACAAGGAGAACTTGCAGTTCAAAGCGAACATGCGGCCTAGCGTCATTCTCACCAAGTCGCAGCTGAAGCTCTTCCACTCGAGCCAGCTCAACGGCGGCGACGCCCTCATGACCTTCCCGATCAGCGGCGGTAGCCGTCGGCTGTACAGCAAGAAGGGTGAGGGCTACGCGGCGCTGGCGGATCACATCAAGTCGAACAACTTCAACAGCGGCCTCTACTTCACGCGGCGGCAGATGGAGTTCTTTAAGCTGGCACCGCAGCCGAACATGGTGCCAGTGGTGCAGGATGTCGCCTCTGGGGAGCGCTACCTCATCTACAACGTGGACCAGCTGGAGGACCCGCACCTGGCGCTGAAGACGCTGCAGCGAGCCCCGGTGAACGTGCCGACCTTCTTGCTGTCGGGCGAGCCGATCATGTCGGAGACGACGAAGAAGTTCCCCAAGACGTTCCGCAGCAACTATTGGCTCACCGGCCGAGACGCGGAGCTGTACCAGTGGCCCATCAAGGAGAACGAGAAGCGCCGCGGTGTCCCGTTCAACGCCGGCAACTCCACCTCTCTCCAATACGAACTCTTCAATGTGGAGCAGCTCACGAACCCGGAGGAGGCGTTCGCCAAGGCTGGTCTCTTTGTGCAGTAGGCAACAATAACCGTAGCCGCATCATCGATGACTGGCGGGCGAGAGAGAGGGCCGTTCCTCCAACGTTTCTTTCTCTCTTTCTTCTCCTTTCTTCGTCTTCCTCGCGCGAGCGAGAGCCACCCACAGCACTCACCGGTGCGTCGTTTGACTTTGCTGACGCCTCCGGCACAAACGCCACAGTGATGGAAAGCGTCTGCGGTGAGTAGAAAAGAAGGGGAAAATGAATCTGCGCGGTTATGGTCGGGAACCCGCGCAGGAGCGTCGCAACAGGCAGAAATAAAGGAATCCAAGACAACTCCGACCGTCATCCGAAGATAAAAGAAACGGATCGAAAGAGATGGCTGATATCGTCTTGTTTTTCTGTGTTATGAACCAGCTGGAGAGAGTCGCAAAAGATCGTGTTTCTCCATCCTCTTCTTATCTTTGTTGTTCTCCCCGCTCTACCGGCACGTGCGTTGCAATTTACGGTCTCCGCGCAGCTGTATGCGAGACTGCTGGAAGAAAGTGCCGTTTTCTCTTCCTTTCCTTATGTTGATGCGTTGTACCTGACATAGAGTAAACGAATCATAGGCCGCATCGACAAGAAAGGAAGGAGTGAAGGGGAAAAATAAAAAAGCAATGCCGCGAAACACCTAAAAATGGAGTGCTGTGCACACACGGTATCGTAAGAGTATTTTTTTTCTTCTTCTTTCTTTCTTTCGTTGATGGTTTCCATGGCCATTATCCGTTAAGGGAGGGAAACACATATATTTGTCTTCTTTTTGGCGCGACACAGTGTTCTACAAAATGTTTAAAAAAAAATGAGTTCAGCATAGATATCTTATCTCTTTATAAATTTCTCGTTTTTGCTCTCTCTCTCTCTCTTGTCTTCTGTCTTGCTCACGTGTGTATTCTTATAGAATTATATACAGCTAGATTTGTGTTTTTTCCCCCTTTCCGTGTTCGGATGGCCGAAGTGGTGTGAGAGCGACATCTCTGGTTTGCCCATCTTTTTTTTCTTCTTGTTTAGGTGTTGAAGAAGTGCTCGTGGGAGCCCGATTTGTGAGGAGGAGAAGGAAGAAAAAGAAAGAGATGCGAGAGGGAAAAATGGACAGCAGAGCAGTAACAGCGTGATGATGCGCGACATTGAAGGCAGCCGCTGGTGCCTCTCTACTCGTTTTTTGCTACTTTTACTAGGATTGTGGATTTCCTCTTCCTTGTTATTATACGTTCTAACGTGGTCAATAATAAAAGGAGAGTATTCAAGTTTTTTTTTTTACGATCTGTCGCCATCACTCCACCGTGTTCTCGCTGTTTTTCGAATGAAACACTACGTTCACTGCAAAAGCATTGCACCAGCAGCAGCAGCACGATCTTCTCTACTTCCTTTTTTTCCTTTTTTGTTTTCTCCCTGTTTCCTTCGAAGGCTCTTCATGCACTTACTGTTGCTGGGGGAGTTGGCGTGGTCCCCGCTCTCTGTTCTCCGTTCTTTTCTGTGTGGAAAGACGCGTAATGGCTTTGTTTCCTTCGTTGGGTGATCTCCGGGAGAAAGCACAATTATGTGGCTTGCTTTTTATTGTTTTGTTTTTTCCCTGTTTGTTTGTCTCGTGCGCCAGATAATTAATAGCGATGATTTGTCAGCGAAAAACAGCAGCAACAACCAAGAAAAAGACAGTACGAAAAAGATGACGACCCATAAACCCACCACGTAGTTGTGTGGAACACACGCACAGACACACACGTGTGGAAGAGGGGCAGCAACAGCAGTTGATGCTTTGCACCCACGTCGATTTGAAGGGAGCTACAATACGCCTCCTTTTTCTCTTTCACCCCACCACTGGACGGACAAGGGAAAGATCGGTGTCTGCCGGCCGCTTTTCTTCCTCGTGAGAAGTACGACTTGTGCTGTTTGCGCAGATATTGTTTGTGTGTAACCCTTCACAAGCTTCGTAAATGGGGGAGAAATGCACCTGCGAAAGAGCCATAGCAAGCTCATGCGTATTTCAAAACACTTGCACGTGCCTGTACTAGAAAGTCTGAATGAATGCGCTGGCTGTGAAACGGCGGAAGAGCCCCTTTCCGGCGCTCTCCTCGTGTGCTCTCACTCAACTGTCGCTTTTTTCCTTTTCTGCTGTGTCTTTCCACCCTCGCCGCCATCAATAATTCATCTTCACTCGCTTTTCCACGCGATTTCTTTAAGAAAAAGGATTATTAACTTGCGAAAAGAGGACCAACAGATTTATATCTACATATTTTTTGGGGGTCTGTTTCCCTTGTCTTTCCAGCTCCCTTCTTTCTCCCTTCGTGTTGTATTTCTTTTTTCCCCCGGTTTGCTCAAGGCGTAAGGCGGCGAGGTCGTGGGAAGGAAACCGCTGCCCCATCTGCGTCTTTCACCCCCCCCCCGCACCCCTCTGCGAGCGCGTAAAGATCATATTTTCTTTCTTGTCACTTCATCACCCAGATCCCCTGTTCACCCTCTCTTCCGTTGTTCGGTGTTGGTGGCACAACCGCAGAGCGGCGCAGACGGAGCGCTTCACACGTATTTCACTGGCACGTAACCACGCCTGATTTTTAGCGTCTTTTTAAAAGCTCTTTTGACTTTTGTGTTGTGATTTCATGCGATAGACACGCGAACGCTACCCCCCTTTTTTTTGGCGTTGTGGACCCGTCCTGCCGCACCGCGCCTGCTTCGTGCGCTGCGGTGGGAGAGAGAGAGATTCCGTACTTCCATTTCTTCTTTACGTCGCACAATTGTCGTCGTCGTTCACAGCCATTCACAGATTTTGCTTTCTCGTTTTCCTTTTTCTTTCTCCTCCACACTTAACAACAACAAAAAAAAAATCAGACGAAGGTGAGCAGACAAGAAAGGTCACCCCCCCCCCTCTACGTAGGAGTCACACAGAATGCTCCGTTGCACACGGGGCCAATGGGTGGTGTTCACGCAGGGCTTTCCGGTTCTCGGGAAGTTTGCGCAGGACCACTTCCTTCCATCGAACCCGCTGTCGTCCTCTTGTCTGTGGCTAGACGAGGACGACATCAGAGGAGCCATAATGGCAGCGAGAGCGCACGGCTGCCCAAACCCCCTACGGATCGACCCTTACGCGCATCACCCGGTGTTGTCGCGGTTCGCCGCGAAGACCATACAAAGGAAGTCAAGACCGTCGCCCACGGCAGCCACTTTCGCGGAGGCGCTCGCCGGTGGTCAGGCGATCCCCGACACGCAACAAATTGCAGACCTGTTACAGAATCCAGAAGACGCAGGCTGCGCCGTGCGGCGCGGCAGCCCTTCTCAAGAAATGCAGAGTCCTCCTCCTCCGAAGAAACGCGGGCGCCCCCCAAAAGCTGCTGCGGTGCGTGTGGAACCGGTGTCTGTGGAGCGCGCCACCGCGGCTGACTTGTCACAGTACAGGGTGCCGATTTGCACGGTGGTGATCCCGAAGCCGCTTTACATCCTTAATATGGACCAGATGTTTTTGCATGTCCATTCTGGGTCCACGTGGGCTGCCGGAGACGCAGAGGAGGAGCGGAGGGAAAGCGGTGCCCACAAGCTGGACATTCCGTACTCTGCTGCGCATCCGTTTTTTCAGTCGTCGAAACCGCATCTCTGGCCCGGCTCGTTAAACCGAGTGGCTTTTGCAGGAGACAGCACCTCGACCATCGCAGACCAGCCTCTTTCTTCGTCATCGCACAGCGATCTCGCAACTGACAAAACACCTTTTCCTGACTTCAGGCTGACCTCGGAGGCGTTGACGGCCGGCATTCGCGCACTCCAGCAAAAGTTCCCCAACCCAGTGAGGGAAGAGGCACGGTTCATGTACTCGATCGTAAGGCGTCGCAAGTACGGTCTTCAGCGACAGCGCGACTTGTGGACAATTGCCATGCGGAACCGGTATCAGTCGAGGTGGTGGGGCACGCGAAGGCAGTGGGCCGATGTGGGCGCTTCTGTGCGGCCTGGGCAGCAGGAGCACGTCGTCCCCGTCGCGGTTTCCACGAAACTCGTTCACATCTCTCTCATTGAGAACGCAGCGGCGGTGCTGCAGCGTGCGTTCATTGCTCCTCGCCGACGAAAGCTCGTGCTATTCTTTGAGGAAAGTGGGGACACAGAAAACGACAACACAGGCGTTATGGAAGCGGGTGTTGTCGCAGGAAGGCTGGGCAGTGACGAAGACTGGTTTAGTGTGACGGAGCGTCCGAGATATAATCCGCTCTTTTCTGACCTGGAGGATATGATGCGCGAGGATATGAGACGTATGAACTATAAAATCCCACTCTATCTGTCGAAGAATCACATCAAAAGCCTGGGTCTGTCTGTGCGTCCCAATGCTCGCGGCATCAATCGCCAACTCATGGATGCAAAGAGCACTGTGCAAGATGGTGGTGGCTTGGAGACAGCCAACGGCACCCAAGCCCACTCCTCCGATGATGCGCCGCCGCCGCTGCTGCTGCGGAGGTCGTCAACGACGCAGCATTGTTGTTGGTACCACATTTCTCAAGTTCACTTCCCCGCCAGCTACCTTATCTCGTCCGCGGTGTTGTTCGCAGAGATGGACCACCCTGGCGTGGCGGTGCACGGCACGACGGGAACGTTGCTGACCTACCCGGAGCTGTCCTACGCCTCGCTTGTTGAGCGTCATCCTGACATCGCCGCGCTGCTGTGGGCAGACCCAGAGGAGACGGCCAAGGCGGACCTGCCAAAGGAGTCACCTTCTGCAGACGATGATCAGGACAGTATTGCACTGCCTACTCCGAAGAGCACCGCCAACCACGAAACCGGCAGCACGATCCAGGCGGATGCAAGCGAGGCACGAGTGCCTGCGAAGGTGCCGCTGGATGAGCGGTCGATTGCGCACTTCGTCGCGACGCACGCCGTGCCGACACTCGTCAAAGGACGGCACCTTTGGTTTGAGGCAGAGGACGTGTTGGCCTCCAACGGCATCGTCGACGTGAACTCGGCCCCGGTGGAGGTGAGCATACAAAAGGGTCAGGGGTCGCGCATCGCGGGAGGTGATAGCAGCGACACCGTCGCCACCGACGACGACCCCGCGTTCGATGGTGTGCCAAACAGCACGCTATTCAACGTGGAGGCGCTCACTGACCCCGACGAGGCCCTGCGTAAATTATGTACCTCCTTTGTGCCCTCGTAGACGTCCGGGAACGTTGCGTGTGCATGTGTGTTCGCAGGCGTTGGATCGTGGCGAAAGAGAAGGCGCCCAACTCGGCAACTGCACCTCTCACCAAATCTTGCCTTTCTCTGTGTAAAGTGCGTTGAATCGGAAACTCGCAACTAAGAACTTTCATTCTGTTTTTTTTTTGATCCCATTATTCTGCCCTTACTATATTTCTGCTCCGTTTTCTGTGGCAGACTTCACGGCGCGCACCGCGAAATCTTTTCTCCTCCGTTCTGATTTAAGGCACTTAATCATCGTACGCATGTATATATATATATATCTATGCTGAATGAATGTCCTTTTCCAAATGGGCGTTGTGCACGAGTTGGACGAGCGTCTTTTTGTGTTTCTCGCCGAACTGTTCATAATTCTGTTCTGCCTTTGGGGTGTCGGAGGTTTCTTTTTTTCCTGTCGTGTGAGTGTGCCTCGTCTTCCATAGAATCCCTCCTCTTTTTTGTTCTTTTCAAAGGGTTTCCCTCTGCCAGTTCTGGCGAAGTCTCACATCTCGGTTGTCTTGACACAGGGGTCACGGTAGTGCTCCTTTCATATGTATATATATATATATATATATATGTATGTATATGGAAGGAAGAGAATGAGCGTGTGCGACAGTAAACACGTGAGTCAACTACACCAGATGCGTTGCACACGAAGGCGGAAGAAGACGAGGCAACAAGAAAAAAGAAAGAAAAAATGCCTTCGTAGCATATACTCGGAGAGTCACGTTTCTCTGTGCATTTGCGTTCGAGTTATGCCGCCTCTATGGCATTTCTCAATGTGCACACACCCGTGATGTGCGTGTATCGCAAATACATACATATATACATACGTACAGTTTCACGCCCATGTGCTGCGGTAAATGAACGTGGATATGATAAAAGCGATCTTTCTGCAGTTTTGAGGGAGCGATTGCAACTGCAACTACGTATTCGCATCACCCTGCGCCGATTTTTTCTCGCTGATTATGTGCAGCTCACCGACTGTTTTGCCGAAGAGAACTTCTTTGTTTTTTTCTTCTTTCCCTCTTTATCGTAATCGTTCTTTCTTCTTTGCATTTCCACACGTGTATTTAAATTGTAGCATCCTCGCTGGATTTTTTTTTCTTAGTGCGTTGCTGCAGCTTTCCGCGGTAACCCCAACAGCAGCTCTTCATAATGCAGGCTGCTCGCGCGCAGCGAGGAGCAAAGTGGCGCCCACTCTCTGCCATCACCACATCCGCGCGGAACTCCTACCTGCCTGGCTCCTCGCTTGCCTTCCCACTCTCCGACGCCTCCCATGCTCGCGACGGCGGACTACGCTACCCACACACGCCATCTGCCGCCGGCGGTGCCGCCCTTCATCGCACGCGTCTGCTCCTTCAGCGGTCCTCTCGTCATAAGGTCGTAATTCCCTCGCTTTCCGCCCTCGGTGGGGGCACTCCCAGCCCACCGCACGCCGCGGCTGCGGCCTCCGTGTCGGCCGCCGCGCTAGAGTACGAGCAGCACCGCCGGCTCAGCCCCGACGTGGCGCAGTTCATCACCGCCGACGACGCTGCGGAGGTGCAGCGTGCACATCAAATCGATGCATTCCGCGACTCCAACGCGGCCCTGACGCAGCAGCTCTGGCGAGACTCGAAGTCGCACCTCCGCAAGCAACAGAAGCTCGTGGACGAGTTTGGTGTTGAGGGCGCCGTGCGCGAAACCCTGCAGCCCAGCGGCACGTCCTTTCGTGAGCAGCTCCGCCAGCGCCCGCTGGATCGAGCGATTCTGCAAGAGATTTATCTCGGACTGCACGGCCGGCGTATTGAGCGACGGCTGAAGCGCGGTGTGTCGTGGGAGCACTGGATCACCAAGGGGGACGGCACCGCGCCGGTGTTCAACACCTCCGAGAAGGCACAGCAGACGTTCGCGTTTGGTGGGGACATACGCCAGGTGCGGTGCGCCACCCACCCGCAGCAGTTTCCCGTAGTGCTGTCACACGGGCCGAGCACCGTGTCAGCAGCATCGTCGGTGTCGTCGTCGCATCAGAAGAAAAAGAAAGGTGGGTCGGCAAAGCCGCCCAACTCGCGCGCTTTGGTGCCACGCGAGAACCTACTTCCCGAAGTGGCCGTCATCGGTCGCACCTCCAGCGGAAAGTCATCGCTCGTGAACGCGGTGGTCAACGCCACCGTCACCCCCTACGGGCATCTGCGCGGCACGACCAGCGCGGTGCGGTTTTACAGTGTAGCGAGCCGGCTAATGCTGGTGGACTGCCCGGGCTACGGCCACTACGACCCGATCGCGACGCCGGCGTTGGATGCGGAGAATGCAGTGAAGGCGATGCGGGCCTACTTGGCCTGTGGTGCCGCGCCCGGTGCACGGCGGAGACGAGGAACAACGTCGCATGCATCGGAAGGGGGCGACGATGGCGTGCGTGGGCAGGGGGTGCCCAAAGACTCACACAGCTTATTAGAGGAGCCCAACTTGAAGGATGAGGAGGGCTTTGGTGGAGGCGATGGTTCTCCTTCTGTCTCCTCCGTGCACCCTGCCGAACGCGGAAACGAAAGCCGACCAGCTCCTCTCCTGTACCAGCCCCGCAACCTGAAGCGGGTGCTCGTGTGCGTCTCCGCCCATGGTATGCAGCACCTCGACTACTTCTACTGCGACCTGCTCGAGTCCTATCAAATCCCATTCTCCGTTGTCGTGACCAAGACAGACGCAGCCCCCATTCGCTTTCTCGCGCGACTGACGGACTACACACGCAATCAGCTGGTGCGCTATACGCAATGTAAAGAAATTTTGCTGACCAGCTCGCTGCGCATTGCCGGCATCGACAAGGTGCAGGAGTTACTGGGGAGCTTCGCGGCGGTCGACGACCCTTTGAGTGGTGCGGCGATGGACTTCAGCGCCATCGTGTGAGTTTTAAAAAAATCTTTCTTGAGCGTCTCGCGGCTGCGTGAAGGAAAACTCGTTTTTTTCTTTTGCTCCAACTGCATAGCCGCCATCACCTTCGGAGAGAGAGAGCTGAGGGGCTGTCATCACAGCATTCCTTATTTATTTGTGTTATGCTCTTGGAGAGCCAAGTAACACGTACGGCAACAAACGGCAGCCTTCACGGCGTCAGCGCGATACGATGGCGACCGAAACTCTTTTTTGTTTTGCGTCCCTAAGGAGCAGAAGTGCTGTTGACTTGGAAAAAAAAAAGGGTGAAAAGGAAAAGAAAATACCGATCTCGCTTTCGAATGCTGCATTGAAGCATCCCCAGGCAACCCAACGAACACCATTATCCTCCTATCTTCTCTCGTTTTTCTGACTTGAAATATACAAGGATGGAGACAGGGCATAAATGATGACCGAAAAACTCCGATCTTTGCTCTTCATCCTATTTGTTACTTCTTCCTCTTGTCTCGCTCTCTCGCTCTCTCCCTCTCTCTTCCTCCATATTGCTGTTTCTTCCTTTCTAAAGGAGTTTGCCAAACGAAAAACCACTAAGACACTTCTTTTCAACCAAAAAAAAGGAATAAAAAAATCTGTGTACGTAGCGATGATAGAAGCGCTGCCTTGACAGCTGTTGCTCACGACTTTTCTCATCTTATTACTCTTCTAATTACATGCTCACATTTTGGACGTGAAGCAAATACGTTTCGTCTTCTTTCTTTTTTCTCTTTTACTAACTAACTTCGTTGCAGCGAGGGGCATCAGCTGGCTGCTATCTTGTCGTCAGCTGCCTTTTTGCCGTCTCCGTTTTTGCTGGACAACAAAAGCCGCACCTTTTGTTGTTGTTGTTTAATATACATCGTTTTTATCTTGTGCGTGTGCGTGTGTCTGTGCTTCCGCTTCAAACGCCGCCGCCGCTGCTGTTTCTGCTGCTGCAAAAAGAAGAGGAAGAGTCTTTTTCTTTTCTTTTATTGAAACCTATTAGAACAAAGGCACAAGAGCAAAACGGATCTGCACCCGCACACCACACACCGTTTTTCTTTTCTCCTCAGCGTACCGAAGCGTGCGGAAGTAACTTGACGGTTCCTGCCCTTTCTTCTTTTTCCTTTCTGCTTGATATTGCCGCGTTCTTTCAACCGCGGCTGACTGTTAAACCATCTCTTATTCTTCTTCTTTTTGGACGTTCTCATTTTTTATTATATTGCGTTGCTCGTACAGTTTACCCGGTTTTTCTTTTCCCTTCCCCGATGTGTACACACACGCTCCTACCCCATACCATTAAATAAGTTCGTGTTCTTCTTCCCTCTACTGTTGCCGTTGAACCCAAAGGAGACTGTTTAGATCATAAGACACACACACACTCACACATACACACACGCGCACAGAAACGAAGACATCGGCAGACATCAACAGTTTTTTTTTTTGCTTTTCCCCTCTTCTTCCTTCTCTGCTCCCGTGTGCATCTCTCTCTCTGTTGATCTACCTGAACATTACCTCGACAGTTAGATGATTTCTTTTTATTCTTCTTTTTAAAGGTAGCTCTTCTTCTCTCCTCATACAGTGCTTCTGTTTTTCGTTTTCTGTTTCCTTTCACTGCCGGGCACTCGTATTGTCTTGGCAACGATCGCGCTCTCCCTGGTACTCCCACACACTCATAAAACCCCCATATATATATATATATCTTTCGTGTTAGCGTTCGCTCTTTTTCTTGGTTTCGAGTGCTGCGTCTCACGCCACTTCAGCAATTGAGGACTAAAACAAAAATAATCCTTTTAGCTTTGCATTTTGTTTTTTTGATTGACGCCGTTGGTTCTTCATTACACACAAGAGAGAAAAGGAGAAAAAAAGCAACGACCACAACAGCGGCAACAGAGAGCGTGCGTTTATATGGATTCGTATTCTACGTTAAATCGTCGTTGCGGGAGAGACTTTTCTTCTGCTCTTTTTTCCTTTCCTAGTGGCTCGGTCGTGCCTTTTTTTTGTTTCTCAAGTATTCTCAGCGCCAAATACGACGGTGTATTAATTGCCCGACTTTTCCATTGAATAAAGTTCGGCTACTTCTCTGGTGGTCTTTGCCGCGCTCTACGTACGGAAGAGGACTTTCTGAGTGTGCAGGCTGGGGACAAGGAACCAACGGTCGATATATATGGTTAACCTTTTAAAGCACCGTAGCAATCGTTAGCTGTATTGTTTTTATATTGTTATTACCATTGTTCGTTTCGAGCACACCATACAGAGGCCAAACCGGCAGCGAAGGCGGTAAAACATGGACCGCGCTCACCAAACGGTGAAGTTCTTCGGGCTCGTCTACTTCGAGTGCAAGGACGGCTACCTCGCCGCATCGGGACTGGACGGGGAGCGACTTTTCCTCCGCACACAACACATCGTGGGCGACACCGCGGATGAGGTGCTGCGTTTCTTCGGATTTGCCGACGTCTGCGTATTTCGCGTGGTGCCGACGCTGAGCTCGCGAGCGGCGACGTCGTCCGTGAAGGGCGCGAGCGGCGCCTCGCCTTCGCAAAGCAGTCGCGGTGGTGGCAGCAGCAGGAGCAACGGTGATGGTGGTGGCATTGCGGCAGGAGGCGACAAGACAGATGCTGCTCCAGCCTGTACGTCGAGTGGGTTAGGTGACTCGCCCTTCGACCCCAATAAAGTAGCAGACGTTATGGATATGGAGGATATCACCTACGGCAAGAGCTTATCGCTGGTGCACGAGGCCAGCGGCCTTTATGTGAGTGTCGCTCAGGCACTGCCTTCGGAGAACGACCCCGACTGTCTCAGTGTGGTGCTCGTGAAGCCTTCTGCTGCCATGACGCCCTCCTGCGAGCTGTCGCTTGTCTCGCGCTACAAGCTCCACGCTGAGGGCGATAAGTTGTGCCGTGCCGACAGCGTGCTAATTCGGCTGGACGCCAACCCGATGTTCATCCATGTCTCGTCCTCGCCGATGATGGAGCCAAGCAGCGGCGGCAACAACGACGGTGATGTAGAACTCCTTCACCGTACCTTCCGCCTGGGCAGCAGTCTGTCCTACGCATCGGGGAGTCGCACAGGGCCGGCAGGCGGCGTCGGCGGTGGCGGGGCGGCGGTGGCTGCGGCGTCCACGACTCTGCCCTCTCAAAGCTCCCGCCTCACTCTCCAGGGCAGCTTCGTCCTACCAGTAGGAAACCCCGCCGCCGCTGTCCCGGGACGCTGCAGCACCGCCGCCGCTGCGGAGGCCCTCACCCTCGAGTACCTGGACGAGGTGAACGCGTGTGAGGAGGGCGGTGTCAGCTTCACGCTGCAGCGCTACGACGTCGGCAGCGACTATGCGGACCGCCAACGCGCGCAGCTTCGTATTACACGCCCTTACATTGCCTGTGGTGTCCCCATCGCGCTTTACCACCGAGAGCGGGAGTCGTTTCTGATGACGAGCGCGACGCAGTTTCCACAGTCGGTGGAGATGGAGGGGGAGGAGCGAGGTGACGATGATCCCAGTCGCGGCAACACCAATAATGCAACTTCGTCCGCAGACGATCGGCTGGCAACCCCGGGCTCCTCTCTTTTGTCTCCTACGCTGCATCGTACGGCGGTGGAGAGCGCAGAGGAGGTCGACATCGGTGAGGACTGTGCGGCGACGGTGGCGAAAAACGCCCCTGCAAGACCGCGTTGAACAGAGTAACCGCACTGGTCGGGGCGGAGACGGCGATTCGGCACACCACCACCGCCGCTGCTGCGGTCTCCCCTCAACGGAGAAGCCCTGCCCTGCTCCGCAGCACCACCAATAATTTCTCCGAAGGCAACTCCGTCACTTCCTTCTCGGAGGTGTTGCAGCCACCGACGCAGCGCCACGAGGGGCAGGTGCGGCACACGGCAGGCCTCATGGACACCGGTGGTGGCCGCTACTTTCCCTTCCCGGTCTTCTCCGCGGCGAACCTGGCCGGCAACGCCGCCTCGGCCGACTTGTCTCTCCTCGCTGCAAATCACAACTGTGCGTCCTTGTGGTGCTTTGAGCATGAGGAGCCGATGCTCGGTGGGCCGCTGCGCTACGGCAGCTCATGGCGGTATCGCCTGCGTCACGTCGTGTCCGGCATGTACGTGGCGGTGTGCGGCTCGGCGGTGGATGTGATGCTGGAGGGCTACGACGATGACGGGGAGGGGGACAACGCGTCTGGTAAAGGGGCGACAGCGCCCATTCCAACTGCCGCGCCGCCGTCCATTGCCGCTGTGTTTGCGAACGAAAGCGATGACAGCGAGAGTGACGACGGTGTGCACCAAATCAACGGCGGCAGATCGTCGCGGTCCGCGTCCCGCTCCGGTCGCACGAAGGCCGGTACGGCCGCCGCGGTGGTCACGCCCTCCGACGTCGACCTCACGCCGCGGCCCGCGGAGATCCGTCCGACGAGTCTCTGCCTCATTCCTCCGCCCCGCACACGAAGGGAGAGGGAGGCGACTCTCTTCTGCGAGGAGCCGATGTACGCGACGGAGGCCGCGGTTGTCGTGGAGCAGACGTGTCTCCGCGTGAAAAACACGCTGACCGGAATGTACCTCATCACGGACGCCGGCGTGGAAGGCAGCGACGGCTGCCCTCGCTGGACTGGCAGCCGTCGCGTGCAGACCCGGTGGTGGCGGCGTACGTCTCCCACCGGCTGCAGATGGAGACGCAGTTTGTGGTGTCGCAGTGCGGGTGGCTGACCCGCTACCGCGCGGAGATGCAGGCGTTGGTTTTTGAGCATTACAAACAGCACGCCCAGCGCGTCGCCGCAGCGTGCAGCGGGGACACGGCGGCGAAGGAGCAGCTAGACGCGGAAGAGGCCTACCGCAGCACCCTGCAGGAGAGGATTCGACCGTACTTCAACACGCCCGACGGGGACAAGGAGATGCTGCAGGCGCGCAGAGGTTTTCTCGCGCCGCGGATGTCGCCGAATAAAGAGAGGGCGGACACGGCGGCGGCGGCGGCGAGCGCTTCCGCGGTGCTGGCGGGCGGCGGGAGCATCACTGAACACCGCAGCGCTGACTTCGACTACGACAGCGGCTCGTTTGGCGCGGCCGCTATTGCGGCCGCCGTCGTGCCGACGCGACCGTTGTACGCGGCCATGCACAATACCATTCGACTCTGCCAGCGTGCGTTGATCGCGTTGATTCAGTTCTGCTCCGACTCGGACGAGACAAACGCGCTGCGGCGCGAGGGCCTCCCGATCAAGTCACGGCAGTCCCTCTTCTACGACATGCGCTTCCATCGACTGCTCTTTGATGTCGTAATGGCCCCTTTCCAGCTTTTGCACTCGGCGGATGCCGAAGCGATCTACGGCCGCTACAGCACCGCGGGGAACAGCATCGCCGCCGTAATGAGATCCGATCGCGGCACCGTCGATCACATCTACGCGACACTGCGGATGCACAGCAGCAGCAGGCGTATTTTAGCTGTTTGTGGAGTGGTCTGTGGCGTAGCAGCGGCGGCGGTGGCAGCGTGACGGCTTCTGCGCCGCCACAAGCCGGTTCGCCGGTCAACAACCACAGCAGCGGCAACGTCGGCCTGCTGGACGAGGAGTTGTTGCTGCCAATGCACCGTGAACTGCACCTGCTGACCCGCCTCGCTCTGCGCCTGATGCGGGATATGATTCGCGACAACGCGGCTGCCTTCACGGACGGCTGGGCGGCGTACATTCCAGGGCTGCTGCGGTTGGAGGGACTCCGCCTCCACGTCGTGGACACGTTGCAGGCGTTCTTCACCGACAACCCGTATGTCCCGCTGCGGGCGGTGCATCAGGTATCAGAGCACTTCATCTCGGCTTCACAGCTGTTGCGGCGGGGCGCCTACGTGGACTTTCTCGGCGCTGTGTGCACGATCGAGTTCAAGGGAGTGCCGGAGCGGCAGGCCTTTGTGTGCCAGCGGTTGCTCGTCGAAAACCCACAGCTGCTCAGCCGGTTTGTCATGGTCGTACCGCCCGGCTCCACGGAGGCGGACGGGTGTGTGTACGTTCTGCCAAGCGCCGAGCCGGACATCACGACGGATTCGGACAAGGCGGACTCCGGCAAAAACAATAAATCCTTCGGCACCACGTCATCGCTGGACCAGACAGCGAGACCGGCGGCGCAGAACTCCGCGGCTTCTCTCGCCCCTTCTTCTTCCTCCACCGCATCATCGCCCTCCTCCTCCTCCCAGCGTCTTCGGCGCGGAGAGGCTGCGGTGGAGTGGGAAAATGGTATCTGCGCCGCCCCTCCTCTGGGCTACCTCCCCTTCACCGAGTTTTTTTCAAGCGGCACTGGGAGGAAGCAGGCGACGTTTGCGGCGAACCAGATATCCCTCTTTGCGCGTCTGTGCTACGACGGTGCCCCCGCGCAGTGCCACGAGGCCGTTGGCCGCCTCTTCCCCGCCGCCGCTCTGAAGTGTCTCCTTCGCACCTTTGTCTGGACGGGCGAGCAGGTTGTCGGCCATCGCTGCCCGCACGACGTGCTACGCAGTTTCTTGATTCGACTGGCCATGCAGTGCTTCGTGTTGCCGCGCATGTCGGCCCCTGCGGTGCAGCTGCGGGTGAGCACGGTGCTCTTCGGCTCCAGTCAGCTGCGGCGGAACACCAGCCCCACCTACTCGAATCTCCCTGACGATGAAATGACCGTGTTGCTGAAGTCGGCTGTCATCAACCTGCTCCGGGCAAACCCCTTCTTTGTGCAGGATGACGTAGACCGCAGCTTGCTCATGCGTGGCGCGGTCAGTTCGATGTTGAAGCTGACACGGTACCGGCAGTACACGTATGCGGATGTGCTGACGGTGCTGCCGATGCTGCTGCAGCTGCTGGACGGTACCCGCGACGTGCTCGACGCAAACACGCTGCACCGCACACACCTGCCATCCACCGCTGCCGGTTCGCACTCTCCCTCCATAAATGCTCAGTGCGCCGACTCGCACGGCAGCTTCGCCGCTCCGCGTTCGCCTGCCGCCGCCGCTTACGCGTCGGCCGTGAACAGCAGCAGCAGCGACACCGCGCGTCTGGTGCACAAGGTGGAGAGTGTGCACCTCATGCGCATCCGAGAGATGGTTTGCCAAGCCTTGCTATTCGCACTGCAGCACGGCGTGTCGCGCGCCGCGGACAGCGTCATTGTGTACCTGTACAAAGCCTACACACAGGTCGATCCAAGTCGCCCCGGAAACGGTGGACACGCCAGTTCCACAGCTTCTGGCGCAGTGCAGTCGATCGCTTCGGCACTCGCGTCGGCGGCGCAGACGCCTGCGGTGGCGGATAACGAGCTCCGGCGAAAAGTGGAGGTCCTCATCCGACGGCGCGACGACTACAGCGGAGGGGACTCGCACGAAAAGGGTCTGCTGCAGAACTTTATGGAGAAGGTGTCCGTGACGGAGCTTTCGGAGAACGTCAGAGAAGAGGAAGAGGAGGCGAAAAGGTCGTCTCTGGCGGCGCAGCGTCTCGTGGATGGCTACCAGGAACTTCCCGACGGCCTGCAGAGCTGTATTGTTGTTGGCAGCGGTAGTGGCAGTAGTCTGGCGAATCAACTGAGCTCCGCGACGTTCTCCGCCAAGTGGACTTCACAACTGATCCGTACCGAAACCTCGTCTTCGTATGCAGAGTTGTCCTCGTCCGATGATGACGAAAACGGTCTGTCCGCAGCGAGCGATGACGGCAGCAGCAGCAGCAGCAGCAGCGGTGGTGGCGTCTCCGCAGCGGAGGTGCAAGCCTGGCTGGACTACCGCACCAGCAACATCGTCCAGTACTTTCAACCCGACCGACTCGTGCCGTATTTGTTCGACGTCACGCGCTACAACTCCCCATCCTTGACAGTGCAGGCGATGGCGTTACTCGTGCAGCTCTGCGTGGTGAAGCGCAGCATCGCGCAGCTCGTCCTGAAGGTGAACACGCTGCCCTCCTTGGAGGTGCTGCACAGTTTTGACCGCATGTACACCGTGGCGGTGCGGCTGAAGGAGGCGTACACGCCGGCGGAGACGGGGACGCCGCGAGCGACGCAGTGGAAGCCGGCGATTCAGTTCGCCTTGGACACGTTGAATGGTCCGCCGCCGCCGCTACCACAAAACACCCATGCTGCTGCTGTTGCTGCTGCTGCGGGAACACCGACACAGCCGGAGGGTACGGAAAAAGACGGAAGAAGGGTACGAGGAGAAGTCGGAGCACTGCAGCACCCGTCGTTATTGGCCACGTCGGTGCTGTCGTCGCCTCAGCACCACCGCCACAACACCGCGGAGAAGCGCGCGGCCAAGTTACGCCACCTGTACAAGGCGTTCCATGGCGTCAGCACAGAGAACCTGCTGCTCAACGGGAGCGGTGAAGAAGGCGAGGACGAGGAAAGTGGAAACGATACCGAGGAGGGGGCGGAGGCCGGCGAGGGAGGAGGAACAGCAGTGGCAGAAGCAACAGGGAAGGAGCGTATTGCCGCGCTGTGGAGTAAGACTTCCGGTGCGGTGCGCATGCTGGTCTATAATAACACCATTCGCAGCCGCCGTCGTGCCTTGGGCCTCTCCGAGACGAGCACCATCCCCGTCAACGTGATTATTCGTGCAGAGATGATGGCGCACTGGCGCATACACGAGACCCTGCTGCAGATGCTGTCGCACCTAACGTCGGCCGACCCGCTCTTCAAGTCCGTGCTCCCGTTTTTCTACTTGTTCAGCTTCTCGGAGAACAACTCGCTGCTGTTGCAGCCGTACGTACATCTCTTTCTGAATCGGCTGGACCCCGAAGATGCCTCGGTAACGGTGTGCCTGCACATTATCATCCGTGTCCTACGCTCGGAGCCGCACGTGGAGGACTATTTGACGCCGGCGCTGCTGGAGGCTATCGCGAGCCACATCAACGATGAGCTGTACACGAAACTCCCGGACCCGGAGCTGGTCGAAATGTTGAGCCAGTACATCTTCTCGGGCCCCGTCTCCCCCGTGGTGCGTCGCCGTATGATGATTCTCTTCCGTGAACGCGGAACCTTGAAGCACTTGACCCGTTTCCGGCCGAACCCCACCCCGGTCGAGGTGGTCTTCACATCAGCTCTCGTGAACCTCGTGTGCAGCATCTGCGGCTCCCACACGAGTGTGCTGACCCTCGCGCGCAGTATGCTGCCCGCGGAGAGCATCTGCAGCGTTATTCTTCAAAAACGAATTGTGGAGATGTTACCGGTGGCCATCGTGGACAAATCCTGCGGCACCCCACTAGAAAACAGCGCCGCCGACTCGTCTACCGCGCCGAGTGCGGTGGCGGCGCTGAAGCTGCTGAACCCGTACGTGCGCATTCTTGTTGCGCTCTACTTTATTCCAACCAACGACAGTCGAGATGACAGCCAACGGCGCTGCCTGTGGTGGATGGGCAACCCACTGATCTGGCGCATTGTGAAGCTCTTCACCACCGCCATAGAGGCCGTGTGCACCGTCGCTGCGCAGGACGGTGTCGCGTTTGCAGTGAACCGTGGCCTGAATGGCGTGAGGATGTACCACACGCTGCTGTGCTCGACCATCCCAGTCGCGATGGCTGGCTTCCTCATGAACTGCTTTAGCAACGAAGGGTTCAATCGGTTTCAGAAGGAGGTGATTGGGCAGTCGCTCTACCAACACGCGGCGGCGGCGGTGCGGCTAGGTGGGTTGTTGATGCAGCACGCCGCCGCGATCGGTCTCACCGTGGAGGAGGCGGTGCACTACCGCCGCTTCCTGGCGGTGTTGTATCGCCGACTGACGGAGCTGAACGATCCTTCGGGGGTGTCCGTGGATGCGCTGGTGGAGCGGTGCTACTCGATGGCGCGTCGGATGCGCATGTGGCTGTCGGAGCAGCAGCAGATGGTCGAGTCGGCGCTGGTGGACGTGGAAGGCGCGCGCACTGGTACGTCAGAGTCCACAGCGGGACTGGAATTGAAGCCGAACAACAACGATAAAGCCCACGAATGCAGCGCGGCCACGTCTTCACCGTTCAGCTCCACCGCGTCCTTCAGCGCCTCTTTTGCAGGACTGCGTAAACCAGCGGTCCGCCCGACTGGTGGTGCTGGCGTTGTTGCAGCGGCTGCGTACAGGAACGTCGTGCGACGGCGACAGATCAGCGTTGATGATGAAAGCGGCGCTTTCCGTCTCTTATTCGCCGAAGAGGCCGTGTCCCAAACACAGCTGCATTCTCAGGAGCTGCTGGAGGCCACCGGGTTGGGTGGGTCTGACCCGCGCAGCGTGAACATCGCCGGTCCCAGGCAGGAGCCCGACGACGGCGACACAGGCGACCTCGTCAACAAAGGTCTTTTGCTCCCCGGTGTGTTGGCCAGCAGCCGCGGCGTGTCGGTGGTGCGAGCCACGTTGCGGTCAACGCTGCACGGCGACACCGTCATCCCGACTGACCGCCACTGCCCCCCCGGAGGTATCGATGAACGTCATCCAGCACCTCTTGCGCAGCGCTGAGGACGAGGCGATGCGTGAGTCCATCGGGTGTATGCTGGAGGCGATGCGCAACCACCTGCTCCGCCCACGCACCTTCGTGGGGGTGCTGAACCTGTTCTCTAACGCGCTGGATGCCGCGCTGCACTACCCGGACTTGGTGCAGGCGCTCCGCGGGGCTGGCCCGACTGGATTGGGCGACAGCGCCGTCCCCGCGTCGCAGGCAAGCCCCCGAGGTCCACAAGCGTCATCTGTTTTTGCTGCTTCTGGGAGCAACGGCGCAAGCGGCGGGGAGGGCGGCTTGAACCCCGACGCGGTGATCGCGCCGGAGAGTCTTGGCTACGCTCTGCAGATCACCTTCAACGACACAGGCATGCTGAACGTCGTCGTCTCTCTCTGCGGCCGGGAGGAGGACGTTGTTTCGTTAAACGCGCTTCGACTTGGCGTGCTCATTCTTGAAGGCGGCAACCGCCACGCGCAGAGTCGGCTGCTGGACTACTTCTTAACACATGAGGGAGGTTTCTTCCACAACGTACGCGGCCTCCTGCACAAAAACCTGAGCTGGGTTCAGCACATCAACGCGGAGCACCAGTACTACCTCATGAAGCGTGGCGTGCGGATCGAGGAGACGAAGAGGGCCGCCGCCGCCACAAACATTCAAATCATCAACGCCCTTGCCCCGCAGCTGCGTGGGAGAGGCGCGTCAACGGCGGACAGCAGCATCGAGGTGTTCACTGCATCGAAGTCGTACGTATCGGCGCTGCACGGGGAGAACAAGAAGTGGCTGACAACGCTGCGTAACGCAACGCAGGTGTCCGGCTGGGCCCGTGTGCACGGCAGCCGTCGTCTAAAGCTCATTACGTTCCTTTTCCGGCTGCTGCAGCTCTTCTGCGAAGGCCACTTCGCCGGCCTGCAGAACTACCTGCGCGTGCAGTACGACAACCTGCACAGCGCGAATGTGATCCTAGAGACGATGACCTTCATGGAGGAGATCTCTACCTTTGTGACGCCGAGCAACTACCGTGTTCTCTCTCAGGGATTTGAGCTGCTGAGCGAAGTCTGCCAGGGGCCGTGTAGGTTCAATCAGGAGGCGCTGATTGATTACGGGGCGTGTCGCGTGATTCGACACACTGTGGACTGCCTGCAAGCGCAGTCTGGCGGTGACCAGCGCGAGCTGACCGCGCTGCTGCGGCAAATACGTGGTAGCTCGCCGCCGTCGTCGTTGTTTTTGCCGCCGCCGCCGCCGCTGCCGCCATCAACAACGCCGCAGCCGTGGAGCTGGCAGCGGAGCGTGTGTGACGCCGACCGCAACGAGGTGTTCGTCGAGAGTGTTGTAATGAATCGCCTGGGCGACGAGGAGGCGGCGAAGCTGCGTGTGTCGATCAGCAACACGCTGCTCGCCGTGCTCGAGGGCTGCCGGGAAGCCGAGTCGTACCGCCGCGTCCTGCGTCAGGTTCCGCTGACGAGTGTGGCGGCGGAGGTGCAGTACGCGTGTAACCCCGCCACTGTGTACCTCATGCAGCACAACGAGGAGGAGTTCGAGAAGGATAACAGAACCGAGTCGCTGTTCAACCGGCTCATTTACTTGAAGTCGGTGGAGCCGTACGCGGCCCTCGAGGGCGTTTTGGACGGCGTGGAGACACTCCTGCGCAGCTCGGCGGCCGTCGCGCGGTATCTCGGCAGCATTGAAATCAAACGCGCCGATGGGCTGGAGCGAGTGTACTTCCGCATCCCGCTCATCTGCCTCAGCCTCACGCAGAACCGCAAGGATGAGCTGCTGTGGAGCGTCGACCGCACCAGCCGCGCGACGAAGCTGGCGGACTTCCTGCACAAGTCGGACGAGGTTATCTTCGCGGTGGAGCGGAACCACGGCTTCCGCAATAGAATCGTCCGGTGGACGCGCTTCGCCGCCGCGTACCACGACGAAATCGCCGTGGAGCGTCCGAGTATGCCGCGACGCGTGGTGCGCTCCCTGAAGGTGTTTTACAACGACTGCGTCGTCCCGAAGCTGTTTCCCTACGAACTGGAGGCTTACGACGTGGTGTCCATGACGCTGGCGGTGCTGGCGAACACCGTGATGGTGGCTATGGAGGGCGGCGACTTCGCACAACGGGTTTCCCATGTGCAGTGGTACGGCAACCGAGTCGTCTCGGTGCTGTGCGTCTTGCAGGTGGTGGTGTGCGGCTTTATGTGCGCCGCGTACCTGACCGTGCTGGTGCCCATTCACTTCTATCACGCGTACAAGAGCAAGCAGCGCTTTGCGGCAGGCAGGGCGCGAGTGAACGTGGACCTCGCCGAGGTGTACGCGAACCTGACGGTGCGCGAGCGGTGGGCGAGTTTCCTGACGTGGTTCAACATGCAGTTTCGCCTCCTGTTGCTGCTCTTTGCAATTCTTAGCTGCGCCGTTTCGCACTACTTCGCGGCCTTCAACTTGATGTTGGTCGTCTACCGCATCCCGACGCTGCGCACCTTCATCTCGGCCATCACGATGAACGGGAAGCAGCTGCTGCTCACCTCCTTCCTGGGAGTTATCATGCTGTACCTCTTCAGCATCGTGGGGTTTCTGGTCTTTTCCAACCAGTATAACCCGGATGGGGAGGGCAGCGCCGCTGCGTTGGCCGGGCCGCACATGAACTGCGAGTCGCTACTGCAGTGCTTCGTGTACATCGTTGATCAGGGTCTACGGGCTGGCGGTGGGGTGGGGGATGTGATGGAGCCGTGGGCGTGGGGTAACAGTCGCATGCTGGCCCGTCTGGCGTACGACATGCTCTTCTACGCCCTCGTCAGCGTGGTGTTCTTGAACATCCTCTTCGGCATCATCATCGACACCTTTGGGCAGATGCGCGACGAGAAGCGGGAGAAGGAGACGGACATGCACGGCTTCTGCTTCATCTGCGGCCTCGACGCAGATACCCTAGAAAAGGCAGCGTCATGGGCTTTGCGAACCACGTGCAGCAGGAGCACAACATGTGGATGTACCTGTATTTTATGCACCACCTCCACCGCAAGGACCCATCACAGTACACAGGGCAGGAGAGCTACGTAAACGCCTGCATGAAGCGCAGCGGGCTGAGGTTCTTCCCAGAGTACAACTGCATCTCGTTGACGGAGCGGAAGGAGCGAGAGGAGGCTGCGGCGCATGCAAGCGCGTTGGGCGATGACGACGAGGACGCGATGACCAACGGCAACGCCAGCGGCGGTGGCGCGACGATCGAGGCCGTGGAGGCGGCGGCGCGGGTGGCGATGAGGGAACTCACCGTGGCGCGCGAGACGGTCAACGCCCACTTGAAAGAGTGGCAGAACGACTCGTTGCGCATGAAGGCGTTACTGCAGCAGCTCGAGTTGACGTCGCGGAATATTACAACGGACTGCGGCAGTACGGTGGCGCACACGGGCACGGCGGCAGTGGGCGGGAGCGGGTCGTTGAGTGGCCACAGTGCACCGACTCGCCCACAGTCGGACAAAGCAGAACAGGTAGAGCCGGGCGAGGCAGCATCCATGGAGAGACAGACGCCGCGGGATTACGCCAGCATAACCGGCGTGAGCAGCAGCTGGTCCAACCCGGTGATGGTGATGGAGGGCGGTGGCGCCGACCCGCCTGTCCTGCGTGCTGTGCAGGCTCAGTTGCGCACAGAGCGGGAACTTCGGCAGCGCTACGAGGAGGAGCGGGAGAAGATGAAGGGGCTTCTCCGGGCCAAGGAGGTGGAGGTGGAGAAACTGAAGAAGGCGTCGACGAGGAACTCGACGAAGGATACCACGTAGTCTTTTTTTTTATCTTTTTTTTTAGTAAGAGGTAATAGGATTCCCTTTCAGTGATTTCAACGCAATTCGTCGCCCATCTTGCGGGAAGTCACCGTCTCATTTTTTGTTTGTTTGTTTCTTACAAGCTTAGCGAATTGAACACAAAGGTTATTCGAAAAGTCGATAGCCTTTTTTGTTTGTTTTCTTCCCCCTTTGTAGCAGCAAAAAAGAACGCGATTCAACACGCTATTAGAGCCCTTCTCTGTCTTTGTTTTGTTTCTGCCTGAAAAGCGCTCTCGCGGCCGTCAACTTTGTGCGTCTCTGCGTCGCAGGTCAGTAGAACCGCCAACAGCACTCTGCGTGAACCGTCGGTATCCCTCTTCCAATGTCTTCGTTTTCTCTCCCTATTATTCTGTTATTCTCTTTGTTCGCTTCAACAACTGGTTTTACGAATACCTTTCTTTTCTTTTTTTTTCTCTCTACATAACGTGGATGGGCTTTGAAGGTGAAAACCCCACACACACGCACACACCAATACACGGCACTAGTTGTCCCTTTCGCTTCATTTGCTGAAATACTCCATCATGCGAGCAGGGGAGTAGCGATGTGCTGTCTCCTTTCGCACGTACACACACACACACACACACACCTCCTTTAACCGAGGCGTCAGCCTTTTCAACTGCTTGTGCCGTCACGAAGATCGCCGAAGCTGAGATTTTTAAAAACAAGGGCAGCCAAAAGCGTTACGTAGTCATACAGCTTCAAAAGCAAAAATCCAACAACAACGTACATTTCCGTAGAAAACAGATTCATAAACGCTTAAATACACTTTCATCCGGAAGTGTCTTTACCACGCGCCTTCACTTTCCAATACGCATCGGTGTTGTCCCCACAACGCAACACTCGCGCAGTACAGTTTTTTGTTTTACTGTCGAACACCACTGCTTCTCGCGTATCTCCTCCACGTTCACACTTTGGCCTTTTGGCCAACCTCACCTCACAAATAGATTTTCTCGTCACCGGCTCTCAACAGCGAAGGAAAAGAAAGACTCATTTCTTACACACTTTTTTTTTCTCCCCTTCGTTTTCTTTCTCTCTCTGCCCAGATCTTTCTCTCTTATTATTATTTTCAATTCGTGTCGTGCTTACTGACGGTCGCTGCCAGCCTATTGCAGCCAGTAAAACCTATCACGGTCATTGGTTTTGTTTCCGCAGCCTTGCTTTCTTTTGGTCAGAATATATATATCTAAGGAGTTTTGTACGTGGTCAGATCACGGCAACATCGTCGACTTGTTCTCTCCACCTGTACAAAGTTTGTTTTGTGAAAGATGGAGGACGCGAGCGGCGGCGTATACGAGGACAGCTTTTCCTCTTCCTCTTCCTTGTCTACCCAAGCAGGATATGAAGACAGCGGGGCGTGCAATGCCACCCGTCGCAACGCGCCCATGATGCGTGTTCTCCTGCACGACGTTCTTCCTTATTCCCGTCTTGGCGTTCTACGAAATCAACTTGTGGTGTCGCCGCCTCTCGCGTTGGTGGCGACGGCGCCGGCTGTGCGCATCTACTGCGAAGAGTACGCGCCTTACTCGTTAGGCGGGACGTGGTGGCTGGCGCAGACGACCACCCACTGCGTCGTGCGGTGCCGGGTGCCGACGGACAAGGAGAGAGCAGAGAAGGAAACAGAGGAGACCTGGAGGAAGGCGGGTGACGAGCACGGCCCTGCTGCGTCGTACGCGCCGGACGGCGTGGAGAGAGTCTTTGCCTACACCCGCCCCTCCCCCAGCCGTCGTGCTGATAAAGCGAGGAAAGGCGGCGCGGCGCCGATGCAGACGCATGTCGATACTGCAGGAGCGAGACGCGGCGGCGAACATGGCGAAGCCGACGAGCGCGTTTGCTGGGTTTCCGCGGAGGCGCTTCGGTGGGCGCAAGAACAGCAGCGGCGAGACCGGTGCCGAGGCGATGGAGGCAGCGACTCTGCTGCTGCTGCTGATGCGGACCTCCCTGTCAACGAAGAGTCGTTTATGGCGCGGCACTCGGGCACGATGGCGCTGGCGCCGCCGCAACTCTGTTCAAACCGCCGCCTCCTGTCGTTTGTGCGGGATGCTCCGGCGAGCTTTTTAGGCTTCTGCACCCTCGCCGCACAGCACGGTTGGCAGAACGCCGCTCGTGCGCTGCTGCGACACGTGATAAAGAGCGAAGAAGGAGAAGGCAATAACGATGCCGATGTGAAGGAAGAAGAAGGAGAGGCAGAGGAAGAGGAACCACGACAACGGGGTATTGGACCCGCGCGGCTGTACGTCATCCACACGCAGCTGTACGCCATTTGCGGATACCCGGAGAGCCGCATTGCGTACTCCATGTGGTGGTGTCTGCGTCGGATGGCCTCTGCGGTAGGACCAGCCTCCCTCTCGCCGCTCCGTACGTTGTCGCACGACCAACGTTTATCCTACAGTGCGGCGGTTCTGCCCGGCAGCAGCAGCGCGCTATTACCTTCGGATGGCGGCGAAGCGCCCCCTGTGCAGGCTTTCATGGCACTCGACGAGGGGGACGCTACTACCACCGCACACCATCTTCTCCAACGGTACCGCTCCTCGCAGCAGCTTCTATCCCTCCAATCCGTTCTGCGCTGCACCCGCGAGCATCTCAGCAGCGGCGCCGCCGCGCTTCTTGGCGAGGGCAGCCACAGCACATGGCACGCGGCCCGTTCAGCTCCTCTCCCCGAATGCACGCCTCGTCGACGCTCGGCGACAAGTGAGTGGCTGGTCACCAACGCCTGTGATCTGACCGTCTCTGGTGACCTCACCTTCTGGAGCGGTACGTCGACGGCGGACTCGCACACCCTCCTTCGCCAGCACTGGTACCCCTTCTTTCGACTGTGCGCTAGCGCCAACAAAGAGGCACCGGAGCACGCTGCCAGCGCATCAAATCAGAAGGGTAGTCCTCCGCCCTATAAGAGTGGCGAGGGGGATGCGCATGCCACGGTGCCTGCGTTGGCGACAGAGTCGGCGCTCACCGCGGTTCCGCTGCCACCACCGTGTGCGCTCTTCATCCACGGAAAGGTCGTGCTTGCGGTAGAGCACAAGCTGCACCGCGACGCGGTACACGCTCGTGAGCTGGTGAAGCAACAAAGCGCCAGGCGTAGTTCCTTTGTGGGGGATCAGAAGGAGGTGCTGGAGGGGTCGCAAGGCCAACACCCATCCCCCTCCACCGCCGTAGTAGTAGGAGAAGAAGAAGAGGAAGTGGTAGATGTGCAGCCGCTGCTGTTTGACATGGCCGGTGATGAAGGTGAAGAGGGTGGAGGTTCTCCACATCGGATGGGCCCAAAGAAAGGGCGTGATGCCGCAGGTTCTGCGGGGGACGCGTCTGCGCTCGCGTACGACCCCCAGGAGGAGCGTTTTCTGGGCGAAATTGCACATCAGCAAGCGTTTCAGCTTCTTCACTGCGTCGACGTCACGTACCTGCGCCTCCCTCTCGGACCCGAGCTGGTCGCACAGCGGCCGATCCAACCGAGCAAGCACGCCAGGACCACAGACAACACGTTGGAGGATGAAGATGTGGGCGGCGGCGAGGCGTTCCCGGAGGACGACGAGGAGACGGAGGCGTGGGATGCGCAGTGGCTGTCGTGTCTCTTTCCTCGTGTTCAGGTGCTGGACGTGGAGGGCCCTCCAAGTGTCACGCGTGCGTTCTCTTCTCCCTCTATCAGTGCGGCCACCACCGGGACATCCGCAAGGGATCCAGGAAGAGTACGCCGTGCGGATGCCGTCGCCGTCGCTGCTACTGCTGCTGCTGCTTCTGCTGCTCGACAGCACCTGCGGATGGTGCGTCCCCGCGAACTCACCTTTACTCTTGGCGCTGCTGCGACATCGCAGACGTGCACGGTGCCTCTGTACACGATGCGTGGACTGTGGCGGCTAACGGAGCTGCGCCGCTTGGTGCTGCGCGCGTACCCTTTCCAGGTGCTTCCGGCGTTAGTGGCGGCACCTGCAGGCTCGTCATTCGCACCGGATCCCCCTATGCGCACGTCTCGCAACACGTCGTCGCCATCGCTGCATCCAGAGCTTCAACGGACGCGCTGCGAAACGGCAGCTGATGTGGGTGTTCGCCGTCGCAGTGGCAGCGATGATGCTCGTACAAAAGAGGCGGCGCGGAGTTGCATGCGACGGCCGGTAGAGTTGTCTGTGATGGGGTGGCCCTACGTAGGTGCAGCCGGGTTGCAGCATCTCGCCTCCGACTTGGTGCCTGTGGATCAGCGTGCCTCCACACACGGCAGCGGCAGCGGCAGCAGCAGCGCAGCACAAAAGGCTTCCCATAAGCACGAAAATGGAAGTCGCCGCACCACCTGTGCCGCCGCCGTTCCCGATTTCGTGATGCTTTCGCTTACACACATGGACTCTCTTGCCTTCGTCGACGTCTTAGCAGCCGTCTTTCCTCCTCGACCCTCTTTGTCGTCGCTCTCCCTGCATTCGAGCCCGTCCTTGTCGCAGCCGACGCTTTCACTCGCGCGTCTGACGCAGTTGGAGCTGTCACGGACACGTGTGAACACCGCCGCCCTGGAGCACATGAACCTGCCGGTGCACACCCCGCAACTGCAGGTCCTTCGCCTCTCCGCCACGCCCGTGGACAGCGTCACGTCGTTGACGGGTCTGCGCTCGCTGCGCGTGCTGAATCTGTCTCGCACTCGCGTTACAAAAGGTGGGCTGCAGTGTGTGCAGTGGATGCCCGCCTTGGAGGAATTGTTCCTGACACAGTGCGAGGGCTTGTTTTGCACCGCCGACGGGAAGGGTGCAGAAGGGGGTAGGGGGAGTATCGATGACCACCAAGGTGACGGCCGTGCGCCAGTGGTGAATATCTTTTCTCTCGGTGTCGACGCTGCGCGTCTGGTGAGCTGCGATGACGTCGCAACAGCAGCGAGCACACGGCGCGGGTGCCAGACGTTTCCGACGTTACGCGTCTTGGACTTGTCCAACAACCGTAAGCTGACCGAGCACGCGATGTGCTACACGGGAGACGACGATTTTCTGAGTGTAGAGGTGACGTGCCATGTACGCGAGGGCGATCACTCAGGTGCTGACCACATGGACGGAGCGCCGGGCACCGCACCGATGCCGCAGCTCGACACGCTCTATCTCATGCACACCTCGGTCGCACACCTCGCCTGCCTTCTTGTGTTGTGTCCCCGACTTCGTACCCTCGATGTCAGCTTCACCGCTCTCCGGGAAGGAGGCTTGTGGGCGTGCGTGAGGTGTCCACGGGAGCTGCCGCTGCGCAAGCGGTCAGCGCGAAACACACGCGACGAACTGACGGAGAAGAACGCGGCGACCTACGCAGTGCGCTTCCCTGCACCGCTGCAGTTGCGGCAGCTGAACATGGCGGGTGTTCCGCTCTCCAGTTTGCACCCGCTCTGCTGTGCACCGCCGCTGGAATGGACCTACACCTCGCTGAAGGAGGAGAGGGGAGGAGGGAAAGACCCCGCAGGCGATATGAAGAAAGACGAAGGGATGTTAAAAGGACCGTCGCCTTACAGCAAAGAAAACGTTAAAGAGAGGGAGCTGTTGCTTGACGGTGTCGCGTGCGGAGGAATCCGAGGAAACGGTTGCGCAGGAGCACGAGCAATGGAGGCTGATGTGACGCACCAGTCAGCATTGCACTTGTACCCGCACCCCGCCATTCTTGACGACCGCGCGTTTGAGGTGCACCTGCGCACCCAACAGGCCTGGATGCACTACGCGAGGGAACATCCACACGAAGTGTGGAAGCGCACCCATGAAAGCACACAGGCGCAGGCGACGGTGGGATGCGATGGGCGGCTTCCTTGTCCAGTGAAAGTTGAAGATCCATCTGGCTACACCATCTGCGTCGATGGCGCGGTGTGGACGGCGTCGCACCCCATCGGTCGTCCTTGCTCGATCGATGGCTACACCACCTTCTTCGACGCCGCCAGGCACTGGATTCCTTCTGTACTCCCGCACCGCGTCGATCGCCACCCGCGCGAGGATGTCGCCGACCGTCGCCGCGACCGCGACGGGCCATCTTCTGCGGTGTCTTCATCTTCATCATCCGCCGCGGACGGAGGAGGCTTCGTGAGATATGGCGTGTTGCAGCTTGCGTCGCTGCGCCAACTCCGGCTGGGGCACAGCCGCATCACAGCGAGCGGTCTCGCCGCGGGGTTCGGCATGCCGCCGCCGCATCAGCAGCAGCACAACGTCACAAACGGTGTGCGCGGCAGCCTAGTTGAGCTCTCCTTACGCGGCACGGCTTACCTCTGCCCACCTTACCCACCAGAAGCACCTGACGGAGACAGAGGGGGAGATGGGCCTGTGGTGGTGGAAATGGCGCTCCAAGAGCAGCAACAGCCCCAGCAAGAGGCGCTCCTTCCTCATGTGGAACTTCCATGGCTACCGTCTGCCCTTCGGAGAGACGTGCAGGCGACTCGTGAAGCACCAGCAGCTCCCTTCTCAGCAGCGACGCACGCCACGAACGGAGACGCGTCGTCTGCTGTGCCGTGGACCGAGGCAGAAGCCCTCTGCGCGGTGCTGCGTCTCCACTGTGAGTCGCTGCGTCTCCTTGACGTCGCGCACACCTCCGTGGCCCTCGCGACGTTATTCGACTGCATTTACGGGGAAGCGCGTGCCGCCGCCTCGCCCAAAGCGAACGCGAGCCGCACACCCACCGCCGCCGCAGCATCATCCGCAGCAGTTGTCACGGCCACGGAGGCGGTGGGAAACGACCGTAGCGATGGTTCGCCACTCCACGGGGCGATCGGCACGCAGTGGGAAGAGGTCCTCACGCAAGGCTCCATCAAAGACGCGGCCCCGGCCCTGACCGCCTTGCTAGGCGATCCGACGTCTGTGCTGGACTCGCACGTCCAGTCCTGCAGGCCACAACGCTTCTCCGCCCGTGCGCAACATTTCGCTCTGAAAAGCAGAACGCCGAGCCATCACGACGGCGCATTGGATGGGGGCGGCATTGCTTGCCTCTTTTCGCACGGTCCGGCAGCCCGTGCCGCACGCCGCAACACCGGCGGCGTCCTTGGTCTGGAGCAGCTACGTTTGTTGGATGTGGAGGGCACACCCTTGTCGGCGTCATTGAAAAGGCTCTTCCCACGCCTGTATCGCTGCGCACGGAGTGCAGAGCAAGGAAATGCGGAGGTGAACAAGCAGCAGCGGCACGGAAGAGGTGTGGAGCCTGCAAGAACAGTCCCACCACACGCAGACGTGAATGAGGAAGGGAGTGTTGACGAGCGCGTTGCCAGTGGCAGCGTCGCACCCGGTTCCTCAGCTGATCAAGGTCATCGCGGAGGTGACGAGGACACGGACAGCGACGATGAGTTATCGGAGAACTCCGACAACGTGTCGGACACTGCGCTCGCGGCCCCGCCGTCGTCCAGTCTGCGGTTCGGCCCGTTGCGCATGCGCTCCGCGTGGGAGGGTGTGCTCCACAAACTATTTGGGGGTAGCTGTTGCGTGCAGTACTGAAAGAAAGAAGTGTGGGAGAGCGCCGCCGTTGCCGGAAACGGCAGCAGAAGACGGATAGCATCCTTCGAAAAGAAAATAATCTGAAACAGGTCTGCCTAGCAACAACAATCAAGAACATCAACAAAGCGTTCTCGTCAACGCCTCTGCGCATGAAATGTCTCATCGTGAATCGTGAAAAAGATTTTCTTTTTAATTCGACCACATTGTTTGTTTTTTCCCTTAAAACGGAACTCTTTCCTCTCACCTTTTTAGGAATTGTCGCTCAACTCGAGTTTCTTCCTGCTGCTACGGCTCCCTCGTGCCGCCATTCCTTCTCCGCTCCATCACCCTCTACCATCTCTTTTTTTGTTTGTTTCTTTCGTTTGGGGCTTCAATACACACATCACACTCCCTCTCTCCACACACACACGCATACGCCTACCTCCTCTCCTGGGATATGGCCGTAACGATCATATATATATATAACCAACCACCACTGCTTAAAAACACTTCACGGCTACCCACCAACCACAACCTTCGCCCATCTTGAAGTTTCCTTTCAACAGAACATCTCGGCTGAGAAAACGAGTGCGCCATTTGAGATTTCTCTTTTTTTTCTTTTCATTTAAAAAGCTCTTGTTTTGCTTCTTTGCTCCCGTTGGAAATTCACATACATGTATTCGCGCTCAAATAATCTTCTTTAAAAAAGTATATAACACTTTCCCCCGTTTGGTCATAAGAGCATTTTTTTCTTTTTCTTTTTCCCTTTTCAAGGCGTTGTCAACGTCGTTGCTGAATATTTGCTGATATATATGTATTGTTGTGTCTCTTTGTAGGTGACATTCCATCGCGGAGCTGCCATTTTGTTATTGTCAACACCCTCGCAGATACCCACCCACACAGTTTGCACCTGCAGTAAAGACCTGTGCAGCTGTGCTTTCGTTGCTAGAGTGAGCCCGCAGGAAATCCAGGCAAAATATTTTTTTTGTTGGTAAAGTAGGTGACCTTGGTGAACCAATACGGCCGCTTCGTACACATATCGATAAGTCTTCCCCTGGCAGAAAGGGATTCAACGTGAGACCGCTCCCCATTTTCGTTTCCGTTTGTGTACGTGTTTTTTTTTTTTTCTGCTACTTCGAGCTTTTCTTTTTCTGTCTCCTCGCTTTTCATCCTTCCGTTCCACTGACGCCCTCTTCATCCCACCAAAGGAGAAAACAAGAAGCATCGCATCTTGTGTTCCGCCTTCGCGAAGAATCTGGTCGTCTATTTTAATTTTTATTTGACTTTTTCTTTGGCACTGCACTTTTTTGGAAGTACCTTTCAAATAGAGACGATAAGAGGATCCACCGTTGCCTCGTTTCTCAAATTGCGCCTTCGCTGGTACGGAGGATCGTCTAAATCCGAAAGAGGACAAAAAGAACATCGCAAAAGACTGAAGCAGTGGAAAGAATCGGAGTGGGTTAAAAAACTAAAGCTAACGCTACACAAAAGAAAACCACACTAAAAGGTAACGGAAAGATCTGTGTGCTGTGGACGTCTTTCATTGTGAGTCTAAGGTATTGATATTGAGTTCCTGACGGCGTTGTGTTTCTGTGCCATTCTTTTTTTTTTCCTTTTCTTTTCTCTCTTGGAAACGGAATTTTTAGTTCTGTAAATTGTTTTGTTCAATTCTTCCTTTCTTCTTCTTTTTCCATTGGTGTCATCTCCGGTTTCTTTTATTTATCTATGTCTTCTCTCTATCTTCTATTATCATTATAGTTGTTCCTCCTTTCTAATCCCCTCACTTTTTTTTTTGTGACTGAAAAGAAAACGATTGTTATCATCATCTTCTTCTTCTATTATTTATTATTATTATTCGCCTTCTGCGAGGGTCTTTTCGCCATAATCGGGATCATCTCGCACGCGTTACCAAAAAAAAAAGAATTGTGTGGATTCTAAACACACATTATTTATTTATTTCTCTCCCGCTTAAAACTACAACAACAACAGCAAAAAATCCCGTTGTTTTTGCTCTTTTCTTTCCCTTTTGTCGTCTGTAAATACACATACGTAAATTTGAATATATATATATAGTATCTACTTACCTCCCTCCCTCTCTCTCTCTCTCCGCAGCGGAACACCGTGTGCGTATAAGCTTCGAAAAGGAAACGTGAGTGAGCAGATTTCTTTTTGTCACGTTGGCGAGTTCGGTTTTCTTTTTTTGCTTCATCATCCCTTCTGACTTTTTTTTCTCTTTTTTTTCTTCTGGTTTGTTTTTATATCTATTTTCCTCTCGTTCCAAAGATCTCTGTGCACAAGGTAGTTCATCTCTCACTTTTTCTTTGTTCTTTTCTTTCTTCTTTTTGCCTCTAATCTCATTGAATAGTCTTTGTTGTTTGTGTTTTATCGGTCTTTGTTTTTTCGCGTACAATCTTCGGGTTGTCCTCATCTTCTCCTCCTTGACCTTTTTTTTTGAATTTAACATTTTTTGGTTCGTTCATGATATATTTCCGTTCCCCCCCACCCCCACCCCTTAATACATCTATTGGTTTCGTGCCTATCCAACTGTGAACAGCAAGTACTTTTGTTTTATTCCCCCTTTGCTTCTCTTGCTTGGTTTATTTCTTCTCTGTTTTGATTTTTGGTATAGTTCATTTACTTTCACGCATACACGCTTAAAAATAAAAAAGAAAAGAAGGAAACCGGTGGTCATCAGCTATATTGGACGTACAATCTATTGTATACATTGCACTGCTTTGCTCGTTTTCAGTAGCGTGGTGACCGTCATCATTTCGCTACTGACTTCAAAATAAAGGTGCATAATTGCTGTGTTATAACCCCGAACTGACATCTCCTTTTTTTTTGGATATTTGAAGGGTGGTGAAGGAAATCCTGTGCGTGTGTGTGTGTGTCTTCTTTTTCCCTTGTACCTGCTTTCCCCCTTTTGTTTTTGTTTTTCTGATTGCTCTTGGGTGCTCCAGGCGTAATCAACCTCTTTTGATATAAGAAAGAAACGCACTGATCTGTTCTCCCCCTGTCCCTTTCGGTTGTGGTGGTGTGTTTGTGTACTGGGCGCCCTTCAGGACCACAGTTCTGAAAGAGAAGGAAGTGAATCAAGAAGAACACGAAAAAGGTTGTGAAAGCGTACCTGCCAACACGAGAAGGTTCCTTCTTGAATTTATTAATTTATTTGTTTTGAAAGCTACCGTTTTTTTTTTGTGTGTGTTCTTCTGCTGTTGTTTTTCTCTTTGTATGTTAACTCCTGAGCAGTGTTTTCTCCTTTGCTTCGTTAATCAATCTTTTTATTTATTTGTATTGTGTCTTTTCATCTTTGTTTTGACGTTACTCTTCAGCAGAACAAAAAAGTTATCGAAAGCGCCCTTTTTCTCTCTCACACACGAAGGGCTTTACCGCCGTGAAAGAACTGGTGTTTTTCTTCCCCCCTGTTTCCTTTATCTGTTCTTCTTTTAACGCGTATGATTGTTGTTGGTAGAAGCATTGCTGTCCTTCATCCTTCGCAGCGAATCTTTCGTGGCTTTCATTTTTAAAACACACCGGATACAACAAAATACGCAAACAAAACAGCAAAAAGAAAATCTACAGGAATTGTATACACATACACAGATATATATGTAAAGAGAAGTAAAGCTTCGACAATAACGGGAAACAAAAACCATCATTTCTTTCGTTTTGTTTTACTGTCACTTACAATTTTTTTTTCCAGAGTTTTGTCAACGGTAGAAGTGCGTACAACGCGTGTGTGTTTTTTTTCCTTCTGAAAAAATACATTTTACTGCCTTCCTTTTTCGTTTTGTTATTCGACCGACGCGCGTGCGTTCAGGCATTACTCTCATTTTATATATATATATATATATATATATTCTTGGCGCTGAACCAAATTTTTACCCGTGACATCAGCTTCGCCGCGCGGGTGTGTTGGAAGGCAGGGAAAGAAGAGAATCTCTATTTTTCCCCCTTCTGGATCGCTATCAGCTTGTATATATATGTGTGTGTGTGTGTGTGGATTACGTATCCCGTGTGGGTTGATCCATCTCGGCTTTGTTAAGTTTACGGAGCGGTTAGCCCGTTGGAGCGCCTGAACGACAGCGAAGAGGTGCTCCTGCTTTTTGAGTCGACGAGACTTGCGCACGGCGTTTTCTCGTGTTGCTCGTTCTTCTCTCTTTTTATTCAATAAGGGACGCAACATGTCGGCAACGACAGCGCGCAGCGATACAAGCACCCCGGTGCGTACGAACACCGCAGCTTCTCAGCTGTGGGAAACAGGGGAGAGCAGTCTGCTGTGTGCCGCCGACGGCGCCGAGCAACTCGACGACTGCGGAGATGCGCCGAACTGCCTTCAACAGAACTTCCCCAACAAATGCGAGTTGTTCAGCACGGAAAGTTTGCCACTCGGCTTGCGAAGTGAGACGGAATCTGGCAGCTTCCCCTTTGACCTGACAGCGACGTGGACGTCGAATCGAACCCTCTCCATTCTGTCAGCGACCTCGGCGCAGGTGCGCACTTCTACGTCCGTGCCCAACGCTTCTGTGTCTGAGATGTCAGCGCCGCTGCAGTCCCCGTGTGTTGCTACCGCCGACGCAGAGGAGGACTCGCACAAACACGAGGAGATCATCCAGCGTAACGTGTACATCTCGGGGCTGCCGTCGTACATGCAGTCGGGCGAGTTTCGCGAGCTGTGCCAGCGCTTCGGCCGTGTGGAGGCGTCGAAGCTGTGCGTGGAGGGGCCGTCGAACCCGACGAAGGGGTACGGGTTTGTGCTGTACTACAGCGAGGAGAGCGCGACGGCGTGCATCAAGGGGCTGAGCGGGAGCTACCTGAATGGACGCTGCCTACAGGCGCGTCTGGCCGACACACACGCCACGCCGCACGAGTCCAAGAGACGCATGCAACCACGACCTCCGTCGCCACCGCCACCGCCGTTTGCGCCGCCGGAGCACAACGCTGCGGAGCGCCATCGCTTGATGCCGCACAAGGTTCCGTCCAGCGGCGGCAACAACGATAAAATGACATTGTTTAACGACGACGTCTCCCCGAAAGTGGTCTTGCCGCCTCCGCCTCCGCTGCCGGTTCAGATTGTGCACCCGGCCAACGCCTTTCTGATGAATGCGAACTCCTCGGCCACCTCTGCCGGCACCCCAACTGCTGCGTTTTCAATGGCTGCACAGCTGATCCCCGGTGTGGGCCTCGCCGACCCGAGCCACGCGACGATGCAGGGCATGTACTACACCTGCGCGCCGCCGCTGCAGGCCTACCAGATCTCGCCGATGTCTGGTGGTGCGGAGGGACAGGTGGTGATGCTGCAGCCACAGCCGACGATTGTGTACATGGCGCCGTCGCCCTACTTCACCGCTGCCGCTGCGACAGCGAGAACGAGCAGGTGCGCGGCGCTGCCGAACTCGTCGTTTGGCCAGGGGACGCCGACGCTGCCGCCGCTGATGTTGTCGTCGACGCCGCCCGCTGGAGTGCAGATAATCTCGCTCCCGTCTGCGCCGAGTGCCCTTCCAATGTAGAGACGCGGAAGAAAGCGAACGCAAGAGTTCCAAAAAGTGACGTCGTACGTACCGAAAAGGTTGGGTCGGGTTTCCACGTTACAACCTTCCGCGTTGACGAAGGATGCTGTTTGCATGTATGTGTGGGCGATTGTTGAGCGGCAGTGTCGCTGCTGCACATCTGGCGGATTCGAACTCTGTGTGTGTGTGTGCGTTCGGATCACAAGGTGGCGTAGCTGCATCTATCTTCTTGATCATTGAGGATCGATGAAGTTGGATCGGGCAGCACTAAATTCGAACAGTGTTTTTTCCCCTTGCTGAGGAAAAAGGAGCGTGGTGTATATATTTTTTCGCCTTGTTTTTTGCCGGTTATTATAGTACTAACTATTATTATTATTTTTTTTACTGGTGCTTCGCTAAAGTGGAGCCACCGCGTGTCGAATCGCAGCATTGGGATGTTCACTGCTTAATTGCGTGTCGCTTTTAAAGCAAACCAAAAACGAAAAAGGAAAGTACGAAAAGGTTGTTCGAGTTTGTGTCAACTGTCACCGCCCTCAGCATCGATCTGATGGATGCGTTGAGTAGTAAAGGTCGTGCTTTTTTTTTTTCTCTCTTTTCCCTTCTTCATTTTGTCTTTCTTTTTATTTATGAGTTGTTCAGCCATGAGCATCTCTACTCGTAATGTACATATCTGAGTTCGTAAGGAGCTGCGCGGTAGAGCTTTTAGAAAGAACATCAACAACAACAAAAAAGACTTCGTCGTCGTCGTAATATCTATTGATACGTATTTTTTTCTCTTTTGTGTTCTCTCTCTCTCTCGTTCCTATGCTTGTGTAATTCTCCTCCTTTCGATGGATTCATTTGCTTGTTTTTGTTATTTTCTGTATATATATATACCCTCCTCTTGCATTCGCTGACGTGAAGTTTCACGGTGAAAAAGAGAAGAATTCGCGAGATCGCGGACGTTCCTATTTGCTGTAGGTGTTTGTTGTTGGTGTTGTGTGTTTGCCAAACGGATCACTGCCCTGACGTCGTACTGCTGTTGATGACTTGACTCTTCTAGGCAGCTTCACATTCGGGTTTTTTGTTTAATAATAAAGATAATAACTATTTTTTCCGCTTTTCTCATTGCAGTAGTGACCGGCCGCTTCCCCTTTAAGGAACACAAGTGTGTGGTTTAAATGGGCGTTTGGTTATTCTTATTATTTCGCGTTTGAGTACTGAGCTCAGCGACTCACACATAGCGACGGGGTAAGAAAGTGCTGGGGGTGCGGGGCAGGGGGTTGCGACGGGGCACGGAATGGGGGAGAGAGAGAAGGGGGGGGGAGAGCGAAACGAGGAGCAGCGGACCTTTTACTTTACTATTACGATGTGGAGGCCACCTTCAAGGTGACCTGTTCCGTTGCTGTTTGCTCTCGTTCTTTCTATGCTGCTTCTCCTATTGCTCCCTTCGCGACTTCTGGAGATGCACTGAGTTGCACTCGCACACACCCAGTCAAATGAAGGTACGCTGTTTGTTTCTTTGTTTGTGTGTTTGGTTGAATTTGCGTGCTGGTTTCCGCCTATTGCTTCGGCTTCCCTTGATATATATAAACATAAATATTTTATTGATATATAAATATTTTATTGTTAGCAGTCACCGTTTTTCTTTCCTTTCCTCTTCTCCTTTCTTTCCGAGCTCTCGCCGCTTTCAAAAAAGTAGCCTTTAATCTCTTTCTTATTTTCTTCGCTGCATTTTTGTGTTCCTCATCGTTTCTCCCGTTTCTACTATTTTATACATTTTTTTTTTTCAAGTCGACGCTAAATGATCAAACCGGCTGCGTCTCACGACGGATGGGCGGTGCGCGTGGGAGCCTCATAACCAAATGAAATCCTCGCTGAGAACGTTTACCTGTTTGCGCCTTTTCTTAGAATTATTGTTTTTCTATTTATTTTGTGTGTGTGTTTCAAGTGAATGGCCACGGACATGCAGTTGTCGGACGCCTGTATGTGTGTGTGAGGCATTCATATCAGTTTTTATTTATATCAAATCGACTATTTTTTTATTTTGTGTTTACTCGGCAAAAAGAAAAATCTGAAGAAAGCTGTGAAAGAAAGAAAAATAGAAATGCAACAAGAATAGCAATGTCTTGCGCAGGGCCGATGGACGTTGTGAAAACGCTGTTCACACCAGCGTGCAGTGCGTGAGACACGCCGATTATGCTTTACTGCTGATCCAAAAAGAAAATGGAAAACGTTTTCTTTTTCGAGATCTTTCTTCCGCCGTTCTTCTACAATTTAACCGTTTGTTTTTTAACGGTTAACGGAAGGATCTCCTGTGAAGAAAAAACAACAACAACCGGAATTAAAAGTTATGTTGCTTAGTTTCCTATCGCTGTAGCTACTCTGCCGTCCTTCGCTTTCTTCTGTCTCTTTATTATTATTTGATGTGTCCCACGTCGATCACGTCGCACGTGGCGATCTCTTTTGCGAGTGAAAAAAAAATTTCTCCTCCCTCGCCGTACCTACACATGCGTTGTCCTGGTGCGAAGATTAATGCACTGCTTCTTTTCTAACGTCATCAGCGACAAAACACACATATATAATTAACTGCCCAACATCAAACAACCATCTCACTTTACGGACGCTACAGCGCTCTCTTGGCCACGTCTTCGGTTTCTTTGAAGGTACCCTCAAGAACAGTTGAGCTCCAGCAGTAGTATCACTACCGCCGACTCTTTTGTTCCGTCTGGGTCTTTGACCTCTTTCCGCTCCGCCACAGCACTCGGCAAAGGCAACCTGTTGCTCCATTCACCGTAGACTCCACTGAATCAGGGCTTTGTACTGCATACGGAGTTGGTCTCAGCCTCCTTTCGCGCCCTCCTCTCTTACACTGCTTTTCTGGAACTGTCGTGTTGCTTCTCGTGCTGGGCTGGTGGCAACAGCGCACAACTGAAAAAGGAAAGGAAAGAACCAAGACAGACGCACCTTACAAGGGACAGTAGTGGAGGAAAAGAAAGAACCGGAGGCGAAGGATTTTTTTCTCGGTATCTGCCCTCCTTCGTAGTGTTCCGCAGTAGAAGAAGAGAGAGGGAGGAAAGACGTCTGACGTACGCGCTTTTGCTTTTTCCCCGTTGTCGTTCGAGTGGCTGGCCTCCTCACCTTTTCGTGCGGTGCCCCGATCTTTCTACCTCTACCACTCTGTCTGTCTGACCGCGAAGGCACATTAGCAAAAGCCTGAAGGGACAAAACAGGGTCGTTCGCACAGAAGAAAGAGGCAAATCCCACGCGAGAAGAAGTAGCGAGCACGCGCCAACGAACAAAGGACAACGCATAACGGCGGTTTACATCTGTCTCGATTTGGCGTGTCGAAGATAGGCGTGCGCAATACAAGGTCGGGGACTGTGCTCCGGACTATTCGTTCCATCACTTCCGCAGCCTTCTTCTTTCTTTTTCTCTTCAGAGCTGGGTAGCTCTTTCGAAACATCACTTCTGGTTTTTGGTTTCTATTTCCCTCACTGTCGTAAAAAGATTTTCTGCTTTGTGCTATCCATTTTCTGGTATATAAACATATAAATAAATATATATATAGCTCTTATCATTATTTTCATCGTTATTATTTTATCAGCTTCATCTACCATTTTTTTTTTTTACCTCAGTGGCTTCGCAGGTTGGAGTATTCCACTTGCCACTTCTGTCGCAACTGTTTTTCTCGGTTTCCTTTTTTTTTCATTCTTAACCCGCTGGACCTGGCTCACGTACAGCAAAGGAAGAGGAAATAAAACACAGAAGGAAGGATTATGTGAAGGTTTTTCTTGCATTTTTCCTTTTTAAAGTATTTTTTTTTTCGGTTTCGAAGCTACACAAGCACCTAAGAAGAAATGAAACGTCAATAATTGGTACTACCTCTCAGTGGTTTTCCGTTTGCCGTCATCAAAGAGAAAAACAAAGGGTTTTTTTTCTCTGTGTACGGTGAGTTGTTTGTTGTTGTTGTTGTTTTTCGCTCCCCCCTTTCGTTTAAGTTTCGGTACGCCGTTTTTTTTTTGGGGGGGGGGGTTTACCGCACGATAACTGCTGGTGTTCTAAAAGAAAAAGTTTTTCGCCTCTTTTTTTTGTGTGTGTTTCCCTCTGTTTGATTATTTGTATTTTTTGTTCTTTTCGACGTTCTCAGAAGGTAACACGGACGCAAATTGCTGCTACGAGTTTCTTTATTTCTTGGCCGCTTTGCTTTTCTTTTGTGCTTGTGTGTGTTCTGCTCCTTAACCCCCTCCCCCTCCACCACTACCACCTGCGTTCGTATCTCATCCCCTTCACTGTTATCACAGAATCGTTTGAAAAGAAGGAGAAAACAACGAAAAAGTGTAAATATAATAATAACTCTCAGCAAAAGAATAGTCCCCTTCCTCTTCCTTTTTTTCTTGTTCTTGTTCTGTTTTTTTTTTCTGTTTTTGCAGCGTGGCTCTCTTGATAAATATACAAAACTGAAGAAGCGTTGCCTCTTCCGGTAAACGCATCTCCGAATTCTCCGCCTCTTCTTTTTTCTTTCCCGATTCTTTTTTCAACACCTCCCCTCGTTCTCTTGCTTTCCCGCTGTTCCTCGTTTCTCCTTCCGTGTGCATAATCTACGTACGTATTAACCCCTTTGCGCCAGCGCACATAATTGTTTTCTTTTCCCCACACTTAAGTTCGTTGAAGAGCAGCACAAGCTGAGTTAGAAGCCGTTGCAGCATCAAGGGTTGTCTGTCAGAAAAAGAACCGCAGTGTGGATTTGTTGGTTCTCCGCTCGCTGATAATTTCAGTCTTCTTCTGCTAGGTGGTCTTCGCTCTTTCAAAACAAAAAACTGATTTATTGGTTGCTTTCTTCTTTCTTTCTCTTCCACGTTCTGTTTTCTTTTCCTGCCCGCATATTTTTCTGTCCCAATCAATCTCTTCCTTCCTTTTTTAAATATATTTACCAGTTAAAATTGTTGTTTACTTTCCCTCCATATCTATATCTGTTTATCTATATCTATCTATATCTGTGTTCTTTCCCCTGACAACTTTTAACTTGTGAACGTACCACATCGTTTACTTCTGTTCTTCCTACTTACGATCGCTATTATTATTATTTTTGCGCATTATATATATATATAGTTCTCTTCCGTATCGCACTTCCTGCCATCACGGCTGCGTTTCATCTTCCTTCTTCTCTAGAGATTGACAAGTAGCTTTGGACTTCTGTTGTGAAGTTTTGGTGCGGTTACTATCATTAATACTCTCTTTTCCCCACCCTCACAGATAAGCTGTGTTCTTTTTCTTTCCCCTTTCTATATTTATAGGCTATCTGCAACGGTAGCTTGGGTTACACATTAACAGGATACTTTCTCTCAAACCCACTCTTCTTTTTTTCCCCCTATTTTTGTCCCCCATCTACGTAATTTGTTTTCCCTCCTCTCTTTTCTCTTGTTTTCTTTTCTATTCCTAATTGTAACGCGGTTGTCTCAACGAAAGGACAAATTTTAACTCTTCTCGAACTTAACCGTCTTTCCCCACTCGCGTTGTTCACTTCTGTCATCTGACTTCGTACGCTAAGCCCCTCTCCCCACTCTGTTTGATTTCACTATCTTAGAAGCCAAAAGAAAAGGGAACATATTTTTTTTTGTGTGTTGCGATCCTGTGTTTTGTTGATCGAAGGTACACGCATCGTCAAAACTCTTCTTCGTATTGTTTTCCTTTTCTTTTTTTACTCCTTTGCTATACGGCTGCTTTTGAAGCCGCCACACGAGCACCTGCGTCTTCTCATCTTGGTCTCGATATCACCACCTTTATTTTGAAAACAACCTTCTTCCTTACTCCCGCTACAACGTAAGTGTGCAGGGTTTAGCTAAGTCGGTGACAACGAAAGACACACCAGTATCCCTCCCTCAAAAAAAGGTAATTTCATCTCTTGTTTTTTTTATACTTCTTTTTCTTTCCTTTATCTTTTTTCAACCAATACGTCGTAGAAATCTCTTAATATCTTGTTCGAGTCGATTGAAGGTGACTTCTAGAGACATCACTATCCCCAGGACTTAAAAGGTAATCGGAAAAAAGGGAGGGAAAAGCACGTGGTATACCTAACTGCTGTCTTTCTTCTTCTTCTTTTTCGATATATCATCTCTCTTCTTTTGGTTGATCTTACCGAAGAGTTTTTGCTGTCTCGCTCTCTCTTTCTCTTAAAGACAGTTGCACACGATTGTCCTTTCGTTCGATTTTTCATACCTTTTTTTTTCTCTTCTTGTTGTCTTTTCGACATTTATAGTTCTAAGGTCTTGTCTCTTCGCCCCTCCCCTTTTTTTTTCTGTGTTTCCCGCTCAAGGACAAAAGGTTCGGGGTGTTGAGGTGCTCCATTTTTCTGTTTCGTGCATTTCCACGTCATCTCATTTTCTCGTACATTTAACGTCGGTGGTTTCCTCCCTCGCTCAAGTCTTTACTCTTTTCTTTTTCTTCTTCTGTGTGTTGTTGCTTCTGCGTCCTTCGGGAGACGGAGTACCAATTGTAAACTGCACCTTGGCTATTCGCTTTTTTTCTTTCTTTTTCTGGTTCCTGTTCAAGCGCGTGCGTGTGTCTGGTGTGAACGTGTGTTTGACAAAAAAAACCGATAAGAACACTGTCGGAAGGACACACACGGAAGGAACATCACGACACAACCTGAGCTTCGTCTCTGATCACCTCTTTTTATTTATTTCTTTTCTCTCTCGCAGGTGATTGGGCGTTTCCTGTGTATTGAAATCGAGTGTACTTGTACTTTTGGTTGTCCTGTTGTATTTTTAGGGATACCGCTACAACGCCAAGAGCAAAGGAAAATATGACGGGGTTTGGCAGCATGTCCCACTTCAGCGCCGACAACGCATCTGCACAGGACGCGTTGCCAGCTGCACTGCAGCCACGCCGGTATGAGTTGCCTTCCACCACCGATAAGACGCAGTGCATGGCGCCGGAGACGAAGCTGAAGCCGCCGTCGTACGACAGCCTTTATTTCATGAGTGATGGCAACGCACACGACCCTTTTTCGTGCACCAGCGCTGCACCGCCTTCGCTCTGTGCCAAAAACTTTTTTATTTCGAACTCCGCCAGTGATTCGAACCGCGAAAGCGGCTGCCAGGCGAACGAAGAAAACCTTGCCTGCCTCCTCGCTGAGCTCAACAGCACAAACGACACGTTCGGCAGCAAGGACAGCGTGGCGGACATGGTCGAGGGGAAGTCCGTGTCCATGCAGTCCTCCTCTACGAACCCAACGAACTACGGGCTATCGACAACATCCCTGCAGATGCGCACTTCTACGTCCGTGCCCAACGCTTCTGTGTCTGAGATGTCAGCGCCGCTGCAGTCCCCGTGTGTTGCTACCGCCGACGCAGAGGAGGACTCGCACAAACACGAGGAGATCATCCAGCGCAACGTGTACATCTCGGGGCTGCCGTCGTACATGCAGTCGGGCGAGTTTCGCGAGCTGTGCCAGCGCTTCGGCCGTGTGGAGGCGTCGAAGCTGTGCGTGGAGGGGCCGTCGAACCCGACGAAGGGGTACGGGTTTGTGCTGTACTACAGCGAGGAGAGCGCGACGGCGTGCATCAAGGGGCTGAGCGGGAGCTACCTGAATGGACGCTGCCTACAGGCGCGTCTGGCCGACACACACGCCACGCCACACGAGTCCAAGAGACGCATGCAACCACGACCTCCGTCGCCACCGCCACCGCCGTTTGCGCCGCCGGAGCACAACGCTGCGGAGCGCCATCGCTTGATGCCGCACAAGGTTCCGTCCAGCGGCGGCAACAACGATAAAATGACATTGTTTAACGACGACGTCTCCCCGAAAGTGGTCTTGCCGCCTCCGCCTCCGCTGCCGGTTCAGATTGTGCACCCGGCCAACGCCTTTCTGATGAATGCGAACTCCTCGGCCACCTCTGCCGGCACCCCAACTGCTGCGTTTTCAATGGCTGCACAGCTGATCCCCGGTGTGGGCCTCGCCGACCCGAGCCACGCGACGATGCAGGGCATGTACTACACCTGCGCGCCGCCGCTGCAGGCCTACCAGATCTCGCCGATGTCTGGTGGTGCGGAGGGACAGGTGGTGATGCTGCAGCCACAGCCGACGATTGTGTACATGGCGCCGTCGCCCTACTTCACCGCTGCCGCTGCGACAGCGAGAACGAGCAGGTGCGCGGCGCTGCCGAACTCGTCGTTTGGCCAGGGGACGCCGACGCTGCCGCCGCTGATGTTGTCGTCGACGCCGCCCGCTGGAGTGCAGATAATCTCGCTCCCGTCTGCGCCGAGTGCCCTTCCAATGTAGAGACGCGGAAGATGCCGCTGCGCCTCACTGGCGGGAGAAGCGGAGGAAAGCGGCCACGCGAAGCGGCAACACAGGGCTCGCATCAGCAAAAAAGGGACACCTCGCCGGAACGTGAAGCAAAGTGGCAAAAAATGAACGATGTGCGTATGTGTCGTGGGGCAGAGGAGGGGATGGTAGGATATGCTGGGGTTGGGAGAGGAGGACTGTAATCAAGGAGTCCTCTTCGTACTCTTTCATTTTTTCTCTCTCTCCAGCCCCCCCCCCCCCTCTCCCCTCTGTTTAAGTGAAGGATGGAACTACGTTGTCCCTTTCCCGTGTTGTGGGTTTCAAACGTTCTTTTCACCGCTGCACAGCGGCTCTCCAGCAGAGCATTTCTTCTTGTCCTTTTTTTCTGTGCTACGTTCTTTATATGTGCTCTCGGGCTCTCTTGTGCTTCCTTCGGTCGACGCCCGAGACACGCAACTTAACCACACACATACACACACACACACACACATGTATATATACATATATATATATATATATATATATATATATAGATGTGTGCTATTTCCCTAACCCATTGGTTTTATTACTTTTGTTTTCTATGCCGCTGTACGTGAGGTGCAGTTGCCCGAACGTCCTCGAAAAGCTGCGCGCCATTCGTAGGTGTAGAGCTGCTTTCATTTTCCTTTATTCTACTTTCCATGATCTGTTTATCATTTGATTGTTTAGATATATATGTGTGTGTGCGTGTGTGTGTTTCTTTTCGTTTTTGTTTTTCTGAGCTGTGTTTCATCCGTATCTCAACGGTTCACGAAACTGAGATGAAATGATGAGACGTGGGTAAACCGATGGTTTAGCACGATTGCTAGTCAATCGACCCTGTGAGTGTGCTTGTCACGTGGTGCACACACACACACACACACACATATCTTTATTCCGTCAGATTCCCTAACCTTCTTTATTTTACTTCTTTCAACGTATTATCATTATTTTGTTTTTTCCTTTTGTTTTTAACGCCTGTTCCGCGGCTGGTTCATGAAAACACTGATTTTTTAATTTTCTTTATGAACTGTATGTTTCGCCACTTCTTGATCTCTTTTTTTTTTCGAAGTTTTCACTCCGTTTTCCCTTTGTTGAGAGGAAAGACCATGGCAAGTGTGCGTGTGCGCGTCTTCCTCTCACTTCACTCCCTCAGTTTCCTCTCCATAATAATAATATTAATAACGGTCGGACGGTTCGAAGGGAGGAGAGCGTGTGGAACTGCAAGCAAGAGAAGAGCATGTTGTCGCGCTTTTTTTTTTTGCATTGCTCACCGTGCGGCGTCCTTGGTGCCTCTGTTAGAAAAGGGTAGTTGGGGACATGAGAGAAAACGAAAAGAAATGAGAGTCGGAGGTAGATACGATGAGCAGCTCCAATATTGGTACATGTTTGATCTTACCCCTCTTTTTTTTTTGTAGAGCGAGCTTTCGCACCAATGCCTCCGCAGCAGAGAAGCAACGCACATTGAGCTGCTTGTCAGGTATCCGTCTCACCCTCTCTCACACTAACTCAGCGGATTACGTACGCCACCACCGTTTGTCGGTGTGAACGGAGCGATGAAGGGGGGGGGAGCTTGAATAAGAAAAAGGAGAAGAAGAAGTGAATCATCGTTTCATGTTCCTTCCTATTAGCTAAAGCCTTCTCGCAAACAGCTGACTGCAAACGAAGCCAAACTTTCAAAAAATAATAACTATTATATACACGCGCACCCACACCCACACACCAGAAAGGAGGTGGTCAGAATCGTGAGGAGAAAAAGGAATGCAGCGGCAACAGCGCGTTTACGCAGAGTACGGAGAGTACCTCTTTTTCCCCTCGGAGGGGTACATGACCTGCTGAATCGGCGCACTTGCTACGCTTTCCTTCTTCAAAAAGAAGAGGTACATTGAAATGCCGCAACGTTGAACGTTGACATCGTCATCAGAAGCGCTCCGTTACTTTTCGCGCAGGTGTGTGTGTGTGTGTGTGTGTGTGTGTGTGTGTGCACGTCGGTGTAGCCATTCCTCTCTTACGTGCTTTTGTTGTTGTTGTTGTTGCTATTGAGACACGTGCCAGTGACACGCTTGTAGCACCTCTGCAAAACACGTCGTCTTTCTCCGCCTCTCTTCCTCTCTTTCTCTCTCCATAACACACACACACACACACACACAAATCTCTCTCCCCTGCCCTTCCGCGATTAACGCTGCACCTCAACGAAAAGATTCTGTTTTGGTGTTATTCCTTCTCTACAGGTTTTTGTTTGTTTTTCTTCCTTTCGCCTTCTCTTTCTCTACCATTTTTGATTCCTTTTACCCCCTGTTCAGTTCTTCAAATTCCACCAACTACGCTGCACCTATTCTTTGATATTTGTGCATTCAAGATCGTCATCGTTTCTGCCGTCACCGCCTTCCGCACTTGCGCCATTGAGACCTGCCTGTTGACTTTTTTTGCTGCTGCCTGTTGTGAATACCCGTCTCAGTGTTCTCTCTCTCTCCGTCGTTCTCCGTCTGTGTGAGTATAGATTGTCCTAAGCGCACCACGCCAGCGCAGTACTGCACTGTGAGTGGTGACAGCGTTGTAAAACTCCGCAAAAAACTCCAAAGAAAGAATAAAAGCAGCGACTAAATCAGAAAGTCAAAGACAAGCAGGTTTTTGGATCACGATCTACCGTGGTGCGTTGCGAAAACTGTTTTCCTTTCTCTAACGGCTGTTTATTGCTCCTTCATTCTTTTGCTATACCTCCTTCTCCTCGCGTTCTCCTCGAAACTATCTTCTTGGTATTAAGTTATCACCTTTATTGTTACTTGTGTTATTGTTATTTTTTTTTTTTGATTCTCTACTTTGTTCTTCGCCTCTTTTTTTTTCTGGAATAGTCATTATACCTTCCTGTTTTCTTACCTTGCGTTATTACTATTACTATTGTTACTTTTTTTTTGGTATTTTCGTCGAAGTAAGGACTTTGCTACCACGTTCTTTTTTTATTACTTTGTTTTCTTTCTTCTCCCTTTACTTCCTCTCCTTCTCGCTTTCTACCAAGCGGAAGGTAATTCCCTTTCTTTTATTTTTTATTTAACTTGCGTTGTAATCTCGTTTTGTGTGTCGTGGAGATCAGGGATTGTTCTCCCTTTTATCCCGATTCCCGTCTTCTGTTCACCTTAGCCGCAAAGAAACAACAAAAAAGGGCAAAGAACTGCTTATGAGCTTCCTCACTACGCTTAACTTGACACACACACACACACGCACACACATACAAAGAAAAGAAAATAAGTCTGATTCTAACGCCGCTTTTCATTTCTTTATTTCTTCACTGATCTAAATCTTGGTGGTTTCATAGACGCGCTACCTGTTTGTTTTTTCTCTTTTTGTTCTTGGTCTTCTTCTTACCTCTCCGCCGTGGGTACGATCTTAAAGACCCACCGCTCCTTATAGTGTTGCTTCTCCGTTTCCGACCACTCCCGTGTGAGCTTTTCTTCTTTTCTCTCTGTTTTTTTTTATACAAAAGAAGACATTGAATCTCTCGTTTTCTCTTTCTCTCTTTCGAAGAAAGTATATTAAACCCGCACATAAAACGAAGGTGCGTTAATATATATATATATATATATATATACATTGATCCCACGTCATTGCTTTGCTGTTTCTCCTTTAAAGTGTCCGTAAAGGCTGATTTGAGCTGTATATATACATACCCTTGTGGTCACTCTTTGCGTGCTTTCTATTGGTTTAACTAGGAAAGAAGGAAACGACACTTTTTTGTTTGTTCTTTTTGGGTTGTGTGTAGTTATTATTATTTTATTGTTATTATTGGCGCGGTTTAGCGCGTATACACACGCTTTGTCTGTTGTTGCTCCCCCAGTGTCGTTGCCTTTTTTCCTCTCTCTCTCTTCTGTTCTCTTCTGTCCCTCACATCTCTCGTTGCGTGCGTGTGTGCTTTTAAGTATTCGTTTTATTATTATTATTACAGAGCTTCCGTCCTCTTCTGTTTTCCTTTCCAGAGGCGCAACTCCGTATCTCTCGTTTTAGGCACCACCGCAAAACAAAGCAAACAAAAACTCTTGCATTTCATTCATTCACCGCATTCAAACCCTTTTTCTTTTATTCCTCTTTTTGCTGCCTTCTCCCACCAGAGCGCTTCTCCCTTATTCTTTTTCAAGTACTTTTCATTTTTTCTTCTTTCGTTTCTCTTTCTCGTGTTCTTTCTGTCGCGCTCCTGCTCTCGCCCCGAGTGCGTATGCGTGTGCGCGTGTTTCTGTTTGCAGCTTAAAAAACAATATCTTTCCTCACTCCCACCTGTTTCCTTTTCCCCTTGCGTCATCATGTCTGCTGCGCCGGCGCTGAAGACGTCAGAGCACGACTTCATCCTCCCCTTGCCTTCGGCGGAGAGTAACTCCTTAAGCCATACCGACGTCGCGCCACATGTGAGCGGGAGCCACGGCGACCACCTCTCTCGGCCCCTCACCGATGCGTTGCACAACGCCACCGCCTCAGTGGGACACGGCATGAGTGAACACCAGCCTCCACCGTCGACAAAGACGACGACGGCGACCGCCACAACCGCCGTTACGGCTGCTGCTGTCATGGCCGCACCCACCTCTCCCACGCCGTCGCTCGCCGCCTCAGCTGGCAAGTCGATCCCACCGCAGACTCGCTCCCCGTCTCCGCCGGTCGAAGTTACCGATGACGAGGACATCAACAAGAACCAAAACGTGCGCCGCAACGTGTACATCTCCGGCATCCCGCCCGCCTTCCGCTCCGAGGAGTTCCGCCACCTCTGCATGCAGTTTGGCCGCGTGGAGGCGGCGAAGCTGTGCGTGGACAACCGCAACTCCCCGACGAAGGCCTACGGCTTCGCGCTGTACTACAGCATGGAGAGCGCCGCCGCGGCCATCCGCGGCCTGAACGGCAGCTTTCTGCAGGGCCGCGCGGTGCAGGCCCGGCTGGCGGACTCCCACGCCACTCCGCAGCCACTCGGCGATGAGGGCTCCGCTGCCAGGACGACGCTCCCGCCCCCCTCGCACTACCACCTGCACCGCAATGAGCCGCGCGACGGCCGCGGCGGCACCAGCGCACACCGCAACGGTCGCAACAACGCGATCCTGAACAGCAACAACAGCATGAACGTTCGTCGCGGGGTTTCGCCGGCGGGTGTGGCGGCGACGTCGAGCCCCGGCATGCAGGGGGGTCTGCCCACGCCTCCGTATACCGCCATCCCGGCTGGCGCGACGTTGCTGACATCGCCCGTCGACGTCATTGCGAACCCCATCGCGGCCATCCCTTTTGACATGAACGCGTGTTATCAATACATGGCGGTGATGCCGTCTGTCTCCACGCCGCCACCACCCATCACCACGGCAGCCGCCGCCGCGCCGATGCACATGGGCACCGCGGCTACCCACGCGAGCATCGTCAGCCCTGTCAACTGCAGCCTGGGTGCCGATGGCGGCTTCGGCGCGGTCGGCACACCCGTCACCGGGTCTCTGAGTGCTGGTGGGCCTGCTGCAGCGCCGCCGAAAACCGCGGTGCTGTCCCCCATCTCCGTGGCGCTCTCGCCGCCGCTGCTGTCGTCGCACTCGACCGAAAGTGCCGGCTCCGTCTCACCCAACGCGCCGCGCGTGGCACCCGTAAGCGCGAATACGGCCCCCATGATCCTGCAGGCTCAGCAGCAGAACGTTCCTGCGTACGCCAGCGTGACCTCGCCGTACCAGATTGCGTACCAGCAGCAGCAGCAGCAGCTGTCCCCGCCGTTCTCGCCGCCGCACTTGACCAGTTCTTCTCCGCCTTCGGGCCAGGTGGCCATCATGACGACTACAGGGGCGGACGGCAGTCCCGCCTTCATGTACTACCCACTGCCGCCCGCGAACGGCGTCAACGGCTTGGCGGCGGCGGCGGTCAATGGGCCGCAGCCCGCATCGCTGCAAGGCGTGCCACCCATAACGGCGGTTCCCATGGCCAAGGCGGCTGTCGGGCAGCTGCCGGGTTCGATGATGTACTTCACGGTGCCGAACGGCGCGGGTGCGTCGATGATGCCGCAGCCAACGTTTGTGCCGATGCCCTCTTCGCCTACGCTGACGGCCTCCATGACGCCGAACGGGGTATCAGCGAACTACGTAATGCCATTCCAGGTGCTGCGCCAGATGTAAACGCCTCTGTCTCCCTCTCTCTCGCTATCTCACTCTCATATACACATATGTAAATAATAAATAATTAAATGTGCTGTCCTTGACAGCGCGAGGGAGAGCGAGATGGAAGGCGCCGACGCTGGGGATTTGATGGGTTTCCCTTATGTGTCCCCCAGCGCATTTTCATTGTGGCGAAAGTGTGAAGGAGAAGCGGGCTCGTGAGACATCGCGGGAGCGTACCCCGGTGGAGTGTTACATCTGTATTTGACGTTGGTGACACCCCATCATCGTCCGCTAGCGAAAAATACACACACACACACACAAACATATACATCTCTCTCTTTCTCTCGACATTATTTTTCCCCTTTTGTGTGTGTGTGTGTTTGTCTACAACTATATGAAAAATGAAGATCATCTTGAATTACACACGCACCTACGGCTGAAAAAAAATATCCTTTTCTGCCATTTATAACGTTCCGTACGCTGCTCAGACACCGACCCAACCCCACGCAAAAGCACACTAGTGTTTTTTGTGGCGCTCGTTTCACCAGCCGTTGTTTCTTTTCGTTTCTTTTTTTTTCTCTTTCCGTGTCGTGAAGGACGGCGATGACAAGCAGAGCTTTTTTTTTGGTCTTTTACGTTGCTCTGCTGCCCTTCCTCCGACGCGTCGCTCTTCCTTTTGTTTTTTCTTCTCCCTATTAGTTTAGGAATAAATAAATATATTTATTTATATTTCCTTTCTCTTTTCATAACACCTGTTTTTCGGTTTTTTCTTCGTAGGTGTTAGGCTCGGGGTGAACATCGATGTACGTGCGCGCGCGACTCTGCGTGACGGCCACGCAGAAAGCCGCGAGTGATTTTTGCACGAGGCAACTCACGAAAGCCAAATGATGACAATAACAAAAAGAAGGAGTATATATATATATATATATATAAAGCAAAGCAACATACTTTTTTGATCTTCTTTTTTTTTTGTTGCCTCCTTTTTCTGTTTTGCTTTGTTTACCCCCTTTCTTTCTTTAAGAAAGTATACTGACAGCTTCTTCTTTTCTGCTTACTTTTTCCTATTTGGGCTTTCTTCCGGAAAACCCATTCTTCGGGTTTTTTTTCTCGTCGGTGTTTCCGCGCTCTGCATAGGCTGAGGACTCACGTTTGTGTGTGTGTGCGTGTGTCAACCGCTTTTTTCCTCGCAACGCAGTGCTGTACCAACCGACACCACCTCCCTCCCCCGAGAACACTATTCTTTATGCATGTATCTTAATCGGTTGCTTTCATTATCTTGTATTGTATTTTTTTTTTTTGCGGTACGTAGTTGTTTTCTCCTGTGCTCTTTTGAGTTTTTTTGTCATTGTTGTCGTTGTTTGTGTTCGTTGTTTTGACCATCCACTGCAGGCAAAACACGGAGTAACAATCCTCACCTGTTTCTGTTGCTTTTTTTTTTTGAAGTCGAGGCGGATGCATCACGATCTTCATTTGGTTGTCAAGAGTAAGGCAGCTGTATAGACTTTCAGCGAAAGGAGGTCCAAAGGGAGTGAGTTTGAAAGGAAGAAAGAAAAGCGAAACGAAAAGAAAGGAAGCATGCAAGTATTCTCTCGATCGGTGTTTGCTTGTGTTTGTTTGTGTGTGTGTGCGTGTGGATTGCCACCGAAGTCGTAACACGGAAGGAATGGGTAAGCACAAAGTAAACAACAGCAACAAAAGCGAATATGACTGGTGTTTTGCCATTGTCCGTTGTTCGTTGTTTTCTATCTCTTCTCTCTGTGCTTCGGTTTTTTTTTTAATCCTTCTTTGGTTGATGTGGATCGGGAAATCAATTGCTTCCCCCAAGTAAGTGCTCTCTCTTTTCTTCTTTTCTTAATACATAATCTTCCGGGGTTTTTTGGTATTGCTTTTAAGCTTATTTTTGCTGTAACTGTTATTATATTCTTTTGCTAGCTTTGTGCTTCACCTTCTCCGTTTCTTTCTTTCTACCATCTCACTCTCCGTTTATGTTCTTCTTCTTTGCGTACCTTCTCATATGTATTTTCTCATTCGTGCTCTCTCGTCTCCTCCTTGCTTTTTCCCTTCCTTTCCACTGTATACTGTTTCATGTATCCAGCTCGTTTCTGTTGAGGTGCAATGCGCTGTTCTCCTTTTCTTTTTCTTTTTTTTCTTCGCTCGCATTTTCGTTTAACGTGAATCCGCATTTGCCAGCTTGTGTCATTTTGGCCCCCTTTTTCCCCCTTTTCCTCCTTTATTTTAACTTTCAGCAACACATAACACGACTTCATGTAGAGCTCAGCTCATTATTGTTTGCAAAACAGCAACAACAGCATCCCCCACCACCCCTCAAATAAAGACGTTCTGCGTTTTTGGAATCGCCCGAGTTCGTTGGCTTCTCTTGCTTGTCGTTACACCACCTCACCATTCGTTTACAGACGTTTTCTTGTCTGTTTTTTATTATTATTTTTCCGTTTTTCGTGTGTTTGTTAGCGCTCTTTTTTCTTCGCTCTCTTTCCTCCTCTTGCCCTCCCCCCCCCCTTTTGCGATTGCTACTGTTGACGTCGTTTCTGCATTGGTGTTCGACTTTTCGCCGTGCGCTTCAAGGTATCCTGGAGCACCATTGCACTTATTGTTTTGCTTTCTTCACCTCCCCCTCCTCCTCCTCTCAGCGTCGGGCACGTTAATGACTGGGAGCAAAAGTTCGTTTTAGCGACCTCGAAAGAGAGGGAGCGAGGGAGGGGAAGTGGAAGGAAGAGAAAGCTTTTGTCGCATGTGCATACGTGATATATACATATTGGTTTACTATCTCTCTCTCTCTATATATGTGGGCACGTCTGTTCAATAAATCCTCTTTAAACCTAAGACTGGCCGATCTCTCTCCCCCCGTCCTTCCCTCCCTCCGTTCTTTTTCACGTTCGTTCACCGCACAAAGGATGGTGCGTTAATTTGCTGTTGTTCCTTTTCTTCTTTCTTTCTTTCTTTTTCTTCTGCGTCTGTCCGCTCAGCTGTGTGGGGCGGCTTTACTATAAGCCTTTTCATGATGTCCTACGAAAATACCCACTGTTTGCTTTCTTATATATGTTTTAAGACACTGTAAAAGGGTGGTGATGAGCAGAGATAAAATTCTAAAAGAGACATTTGTCTTCGAACATAATTTGTTTTCCCCCTGCCACACATCTCCTTTTCCTTCTTTTTTCCGTTTGAGCTTCTCTCCTCTCAATAATACCCGTCTGCCCCCCTTTTTTTTAAATTACGTATATTTTTATATCTATTAGTTTCGTTGTCGGTGTGTGTGTGTGTGTCTCGCCGAGGTCTGCTTCATTCATGCTTGCATAGAGCGTGCCGATGCACATTTAGCAAGTGATGTGCAAAATCCGAAAGCGAAAATATAAACTGTCGTTGTGCGATGTTCTTCTTTAAAAAAAAAACGCACTAGCTTATTGACGCTCCCTCTTCATGTTTTTTTCCCGTTTAGCAGCCACCACTGCACACTCGCACAACAACAACAACAAATGTTTTTTTCGTGCAGGTTTTTAAATTTCTCATAAGTGTGTGATCGGGAAGACGTGGAGAGGATGAGCGTCTCTGTCACGCCTCCGCTGAACCCCCTCCTTTCGCTCCCTCTCACCGAACTCGTGCATTGTGTATCTTTTGCATTATCTCGTGTTGTACGACCATGTAGGTGTTTCAGGTAAACAAGGAGATTGTTTGTCATGTATGCTCAGCAACGATAACGGCAGGAGAAAAAAGGTGTCTTCTTAACTTTTCTCCATTCCCCCCTTAAAAACAACAACAACAAATAAAATGGTTGTGTTTGTGCGGGCAAGACGAAAACACCAGTGAAAGACATCGGTTCAACTTTTTTTCTTTGTTTTTTATATGTTTTCTCCTCCCTTTCCTCCCGAGGTTGATTTAAGTGCTGGGAAGTTAATGATATTATATATGTGTGTGTGTGTGTGGGTGGGGGGGGGGGATACGTTCCTCCTGCAAGTGACCGCCATCTTGCCGAAAAGGATAAGGCAACAAAAAGTTATACACTCGTCCTTTTTCACCCTTCTTAAAAGTATATCCAATAACAAACGTGCTCTCTCTCAACCTGTTGGTTTTTGTTTCCGCTACGTTGATACGTACTTGTGTGTTTTAATTTTTTCTTTTGTGTGTGTTCTGCCGTTTTTGCGATGCGCAAACGCCAATGTGAGGTGGGCTAAGGGAGCCACAGGATGCAGCCGTGCACTCAATCGCTTAGCTCTCCCCCTTCCCCCCCCCCTCCGACGGCTTGTCGTGTCTTTGCTGCTTCTCTCAACGATGCCTTCCCCCCCCCCTCTTTCTCATGAACGCATAGGTGTTTTTGTTTTGGTTCTTCCAGATTTATTTCTTTCGAATACAACGGCCGGGTATACATCTGTTATGACGTATGTATATATATGGGCTTCTTTGGTGTTCGCACATTACTCCCTTTTTTTGTTGTTTTGGCTCCTTTTTGGTTTCGCGTCTGCGAAGTTGTTGTGGGTTCGCTGCAAACGCACCTTTTCTTTCCTTCTTTCCCGTGTTTCTCTGCTCCACCCACCCACCCACGTTCTCTGTTTCAGCACGTTCCACCGCCTCCACAAAAACCGATCACGTGTGTATTCGACTTAAACGTGCGTGTGCTTCTAGAACAGAAGCCAGCCGTGATGCACCAAAATAAAAAGAAAAGGGAAAAGGGAATAGAGACCTTTGCGTCCTCATCATCTTCATCTCTGTTTTTGGTGTTGCTTCTTTGCGCTGCCCATCCGTTTGTATCACACAAATACACACACACAGCGGATCACATGAAGCTCGTCGCACTGCAACGGAGAACGGTGTGTGGAGAGCGACCTTATATTCCTTTTATGAATCGCATTGGTAAAGAGACAAACAACCGATACTTTCGTAACTGCAGAAAGAAAAAAACATGTCTTACAAAACGTCGAGCCGACGCGGTGAAGCTGCAAGGTGGTCTGCGGTGGGGGGGGGGGGGGTCGACGCTTCAGTTGAAGAACCCCCCCCCTAAGAAAAAAATTGCACGTCTCAGCACTCTTTTGTTTTTACCTCATATATATTAGCTCATCCCTTTTCCAAATGCGATGAATTTTCTTTTTTTTTCTTATGTTGTGTGTTGCTTTTCGGGTCTCTCTGTAGCGTTCTTTCGTTTCTTTCCAGCGGACACCTCTTACCTTCATTCGGTTTCTTTACCACTACTCCTAAGCACCTCTGAGCAGCTACGGAATATAAGAAGAAAATAACAATAAAAGTCGGCAGATTTCTCTTTGTGAACCGGAACTTGACCTACTTTTTTGCGGATCTGATGCGATCGTCATCTTTCCCCCTTTTTTGGTGGTTGTTTTTTCTTGATCTTTCTCTCTCTCTCTCTCTTCTCCTCACCGGATCCGCATGTAACTGTTCATTTGACTCTTTTTTTTTATTTGCGTTGTCTTTTTTCTGTTTTCCACGGGCGTGAATGTTCTTTTACCTTTTCTGTTCACTTCGTGTGCTTTATTTCGCTTCTTCGTGTATGTGTCTCCGACTTCGTGTTAAACAGGAAAAAACAACAACCATACCCCCCCCCCTCCAAAAGAAAAGAAAAGAAAACAGTGCAAAGTAAAACAAACAAACAACAAAGGCAGTGCATTCAAACTGTCAGTATAGTGGAGTTCTTCTCAACGCGAGCAACGTAAACGAAAAGAAAATATATGTGAAGAGGAGGCGAAGGCAACAGCCACAGCCTTTTGGCTCTCTGAGACACCTTACGCTTAACCAGCTTTGGAAAAAAAAAATTGTTACCTTTGTGATATTCACTGTCCGGTCGATTAAAAACGCTGGGAGCACCAAAGACAGCCACCTCGGTTATTCCCCCTCTCTTTTGCTTTCATATTGGTCCTAGTGGACTGGAATGTTTGAGGAAAGCCGAACAAAAGAAAATGCCATGCGTCGAATGCTAAAAAAGAAAGAGTGGTTTCCCCAACGTGATCTTCTTTTGCGTTTCGATGTACTTATTTCCCCCTTGTGTCCCTCTCTTCCCCCTCTTCCTTCTCATCCGCCACACGCCTTCACTCCCACACCAACACCACTCCTGACGACGCAACGACGCAGTTCACTCGGTAGAGCTGCATTTGACTCCCCGTGGGTTTCTTGACATATTTTTTCCCTGATTACTCCCCTATGCGGATTTTCTTAAATTGATTTATTGCCCTTTTTTTTTCTCTCTCTCTCACACTTCTGCTTTCGCTTCTCGAGTGCGTGTCATTTCCCCCCGCAGGATACGGAGAAGGAAGAGGAATTCACACCACGGTGCTCTCTCTTCTTCCTTTTTTTATAGCTTCTTTTCTCTCTTCTTCTTTTTTTCCCCTTTTTGTGTGGAACGCTTATTTCTGAGCACGCGAACTCCGTAGACACAATCAACTGTACAAAATTTTCTATTTATGGCTCGCTGTCGTGTTTTTTTTTTTACTTCAATCTTCAACAATAAAAATAACACCTAAAAAAGCGGCACATTCACGTGACAAGACAAGCGTTCTCGATCTGGACGTGTTCGCCTGTGCGTATGTGAAGTTGAAGATAACATATATCTCCTGTTTTACTGCACCTTTTTTTTTGTTGTTGTTCTTTTGACTAGTGCGTTCTCCAATTGTGTTTTCTCTTTTTTCGCCTCCCCCTCCTCCGTTTCGCTTCCCTTTCACTTAAGCGGCTCTACTAGTCGTATTACTTTCTTCTTTTTTTGCTTCTCAGACAATAGGAGAACCTACGCAAGCTGTGAAGCATCTCGCCTCGGAGAAGCGAATTGACGCCCTCAAAAAAACAAACAACAACAGTGACGAATTAAGGAAGAAAAAGAAAGAAGGAAGGAACACGAAAGAAAGTCTGTCGGCTGCATTACATATTTGCAACTTCGAGAAGTACTCTGGCTTTCTTTTTCTGTCTGACTTTTTTTTCCCTCTGCTTTTTGTGTTTGTCCGTTTCGTGACTTTTCTTTCTGAGTGTAATGCTCGTGTCATACTTTCGTCAAACTTCCTTTCTTTTTTCTCCTTGGATTATCTCGAAAGAAAAACGAAGTATTCTTTTTTCCTGGTAGAAACTTCATTGTTTCACTCCTATTATTTTTCTCTATTTGTCTCAATCTCCGATTCGGCGCCATTTTTCTTCTTACATCGTTGCTTTTTATTCTTTCCGTTCGTCTTTGGTGTGTATGTGTGTGTGTGTGTGTGATTTTTTTTATTCCTTTGTCCTCCCTTTTTTTTTCTTCATACGCGTTTCTACTTCCCTGTTTTTTAGCTATCTTTTTTTATCATCTGTTGAATGAATAATTCGTTATTATTATTATTTTCTTGAATTCTCATCGTTCTCCGTATTGATTTTTTTTTTTTTTAGCCCCTCCTTAAAAAGAAAAAAAAACTATCAACAGCAAAGAAACAAAGAGCGGTCTTTTCTGCTGCCATTTGTGACCGCGTTGGAGAACGAGTCACCCCTTCTTCTTCTTCTTTTCTTAAAAATTATTGTATGTCGGGTATTCGAGTTTTTTAATTCTTTTAGGATTTCCTTTCCCTTTTCTCTGTTTGCGCTTGACACTCCCAAAGAAAGAAAAAAAGAACGAGACGGAACCTCCCATACAACGCGGGTTTTTGTTTTGTCTGCGCTATTTACCTTTTCTCTCCCCCATCCTGCGAGTGGCTCTCTCTGTCCGATACCAAAAAGTTTGTTTTTGTTTTGCTATTGCCTCCGATTTTTCGTTTACGTGTTTTTATTTCACCGTAGCGACCATTATTACCTTTATTATTCAGTATTCCTTTTGTTAGTACCTTTTTTGTTATATATTCGACTAGACGCTATTTGATCTTGGCGTTTTTTTTTCTTCTTCTCCCTGCCTTATTTGCTCTTTGTTGTCGTCTTAATACTCTTTTCCTGAGAACGGGCCGAAGTGACAGTAGAATTAAAAAAAGAAGCAATAACACAGAAATGGCGGACTCGTTCACCCGTCAGTCAAAGGGTCACGGGTACGCCCTGCCCGACGCCGCGCCCGGGTTAACCATCTCCAGCGGCTTCCAGCCCTACGCTGGCTGCTACGTGGGCTCGACGACCATGTCGGACGCGAGGATCATGTCGATGGCCCCGCCGCCTCCGTCGCCCACCGGCCTCGCCTTCGCGCTGACCGCAAACAACAACTCCTTCTCCTTCTCCTTCTGCGGCTCCGATGTGCTCGGCGCCGACGATGTCATGGGAAGCGACCCCTCTCCGACGCAGCAGCAGCAGCAGCAGCCGTATGCGATGCCGCTCAGCCGCAACAGCAGCGGCCGCAGCAGCGCCCAGCCGACCCCGCCGTCGCACAGAGTATCCGGTGCGGCGCCGAAGCCGGTGTCCCTCTCTGCCGCCAATTTGGAGCACTTCTACGGCATCCCCACACCGAGCGCGCCGCACCGGGCTCTCTACGCCACGTCCAACACGAGCAACAGCAGCCGCACCACTTCCTTAGCGACACACCCGTCTACCGGCAGTGGCGCCAGCGCCAGCGGTGGTGGTGGTGGTGGTGGTGGTGACTCCTCCTCGGCCCTGCCGGACGTGCAGAAGGACTTGTTGGCCTTCAGGGCGGCAGAGCAGGAGCAGCAGAAGTTTGTGCTGCAGCAGCGGAACGTGTACATGTCCGGCCTGCCGGTCGACTTCCGCCCCTCCGCCTTCCGAGCCATGTGTGAGGTGTTTGGCCACATCGAATCTTCGAAGCTGTGCATGGAGGCCGACGACGTGAACCGCTGCCGCGGCTTCGGCTTTGTGCTCTTCTGTGATGTGGAGAGCGCCAACTCCTGCATCGCCTCCCTTAACGGGAAGGTGATGCAGGGAAAGACACTGCAGGTGCGGCGGGCAGACTTGTCGGCCGCCCCGCAGCCGCTCAACCAGGCCACACAGCGGAACCGCTCCGGCTCCTGCCTGGTCACCCCGCCCGCTCTTCCGCAAATTGCCCATCAGCACCACCGCCACAGCGGCAGCAACAACAATAGCATCGGCGCGAGCAACGCGATGCTTGGTCCGGCGGTGCACAGCGGCACGCCTGGCCCGGCGACCACGGGTGGGAATTTCGTGTTCAACCCGTCCTCCCCCGCAGCGAACGCAAACAACGGCGTGTCCCCCTCCTCCACCTTGTCGGCGCTGCCCTTCAAGTTCGCGACGCCGACAGGGTTGGCCTCTGCGCCGAACAGCAGCAGCGGCTTAATCCAGCAGAAGGGCTCCGCCATGGGCTCATCTTTTATGTACAACGGCCCCTCTCCCTCGAGCTCGATGGGCAACTCCTCCACCCCCACGGTGTTGTACCCGGCGAACACGGCGGTGGTGTCCGCCATGCGAAATGGGCTGCCGATTATGCAGATGTACGCCCCGTATCCCCCGCCGGGCTCAGCCAGCATGCTGCCACTGGCCCAGCAGCAACAGCAACAGCCGCAGCTCGTGTCCCATCCTTCGATGAGCCGAAATGAACTCGTCAACTCGCACGCGGCGACCCCGTCCAGCACAGGCAGCTCCAACATGAACTTGGGCTTTGTGACGGCGCCGCCGTTGATGCCACGACAGCTGCCACCAACACCGCCGCATCCTCAGCATCAGCAACAGCCGCCACTCATGCAATTTCAGCCGCAGCCGCCGATGCAGCCGCCGATGCAGGCGCAACGTCCGGGTGCAAACGTCGCCTACTACAGCACCGTGGATGATCAAGGTGCTGCGATGGCACCTGCGAAGAGCAGCTACCCCCACAGCAGTAACAGCGGCTCTGCGATGCAGCCGTCAAGCGCGTACGCGTCGAACGTGTTGATGCAGGACTACCTGACGGCTGCTACTGCGCTGGAGCCCAATGTGTCCACCCCCAACATTTACTACCTCTACCCTCAATAGGCGAATCCGCCCACACAAAGAAAACCAGCAGCAACGAGAAGGTTTGCACTCCGCTGCCGTTGTCACGCGCGAGTGGTGGGGTCACTACTCGCAATCAAAGAATAAACCTTGTACTATTGCACAAGCTTTACATAAATAAGTGTATACATAGATATATATATACATATATATGTGGGGGGTGTACGAGAGGGCACACATGGAACGCAGGACAAGCAACAGTGAAAAGGCAAGCAAACACAAAAAATGAACAAGCTACCTGTCTGTTGCGACGATCAGTCGAGGTGAGGCCATATTGTATGTGCTACCGTGGCATCCGTTGGAAGGTAAAGCGACTGGCAATAACAAACGAGACCAAAATGCATTACTCTTCACGTTGTTGTGGTTTTTTTGATGCCCGTGTTGTTGTCGTCGTTTCCCATATTGTTTCGGGTTTCTTGCGTATGCAAAGGTGGTGTTGCAGTCAGGGAGGGAGAGAGAGAATTCACAATGCCGTCTTACTCCTTTTGTATATTTTGCCCCCCTTTTTGTCAGTAAGGAACGTTCTTTAAGCCTTTTCGTCCTCACTGGTTTCACGACTTCCTTCTTGCGCTTTCACATCATTCTTTGTGGGTTCCCCCCTCCTCTTTTTTTTTCTGGTTCCTCACGCGACTCTCCTTACTGCGGTGTCTTTCTTGATATGTAGACCTGTCTTCGTTTCGCTTTCATGACCTAACTATCGGGGAGAAAAAATGGATTTTTGATTATCTTCTTCAATGATCGTTATAGTGCTTTTCTTTGCCACTTTTTTTTTGCTGTTGTTAGTTACAGCCCACTGCACAATCCCCCCCCCCTCCCCCAGACTGTGTGGCGTCTGGTTTGAATGAAGACCACCATAACGGGAAACTATCATACACCGGCAGTTTCATGAAACAATACCTTTTTTTTTTTTGACAGAACGCAGATGAATGCGCACGAAGCCGGGGCTTCACTGCAGTTCAGTAGAAACTGGCTGAAAGGTGGCCTTTAATCGCTCGTCAGCAACGGCACCGGACGAATGCACGGCTGCGTGACAGTCTGACCCGTATGTTCGGGTAAGTGCACTCTCCATTGGTATTGTTTCTTGAGGGTGGTAAAGTGCTCTTTCTTTTTTTATTTCTCCTTTTCTTTTTTTTTCTTACTCTCTCTCTCCCACCAAATATACGTATATATATATTGGCAGACGTGGTGTTCATTGTTTTTCAGTCTTCCTGTTAGCTTCTGTTCTCCTTACCCCCCTTCTTTTCTTGTTTTCACTCCCTTGAATTCTTTTCTCTTCTGCGGTGAACGTCTTCTTGTTTCTTTTTTTTCCTTTTCTCGTACTGTTGTCAAGACTTTTTTCTTTTCCCTGCGTCCGTACGCTGCATGCATGAATAGGGTTTTTTTTTCTTTCCGGCTTTCAAGTGTCGAAAGCGCTTTTGTTTTTCGCGTGTGCTTTGTCGGTGGTGGCTGTTCCTCCTGCAAATGTATACACATCTCTTTTTTTTTCTTAATGCTATTTCCCCTACTTCGTCTGTTGGCGCTACTCGCGTTCTCCCTCGCAATTCCGGTCTTCCTTGCTGTCTTTTCCGCCCCTTTTCACGCTGGATGGCGAGCGGCGTCTACGACCGTTCATGGTCCTTTTTTATTTTTTATTTTTATTTTCCGCGACGTTGGACGTAGTCGTTCCTTCCAGACGCCTGTAATCGTCAGCTGACGAGGTTTCTCTTCTCCACTTCTCTGGCTCCCTTACCCTGGGGCACAGTGGGACTTGCTCCCTTCATTCTTTTTTTCTCTTTCTCTCTTGTCTTGCTTGCAGAGGAGAGAAGCACCTCTGCGAGGGTCGAACAATACGTGGACCTCGAGGGCTTCACGACTTGCTCGCCGCTTTTTCCAGCAACTTGAGGAAGCAAATGTGTTACTACTTTTCCCTTTATTCTTTTTGAATGGCTTTGACTGGTCCGTATTCTTTTAGGTTATTTGAAGCATCGGCCCATCAACATGTGTGATCTGAACGCGCCATTGTAGCGTGTGGGCGTGTGGGTGTGTGGGTGTGTGAACTTGTCCGTTTTGGTGTGACGTGGACGACAGGGAGAGGGACAATGATCTGGAAGGGGATAAACATCGACAGCTGACGTTGAAATTCACGACTGATGCTTTTTTCTCTCTTCTCCTGCTGTTTGGTTTTTTAAAATCTGAGTCGCGGGGTTTTAAAGTTCTTTTTTATTTGTTTCTGTTGTTGTTTTCGACTGAAAATGTACACGGTGTTCTGCGAATGAGAAGCGCATACAAAGGCATAAGTCGGTCCCTCCTCATTGTCCCTCTCCTCGACCGAGTCAATGCAAGTAACGTACTCCGTACGATTCCGGGGATGCGTACGGCAGGACGAGATTGGTTACTTTTTTTTCTTTTTCTTTTCAAGTATTATCGTTTTCTTTTTTTTTCAGATTCTCGCTCCTAACCTCCTCCTCCTCCTCTTGTTGTTGTTTAGCAAGTGCGTGTGCGTGTGCGTGAAGGACAGAAACGCCCTTTCGCGAGCGCAGTACGCAGGCGTTCTTCGAGCGGATGCCTTATTTCCCGGCACAGCCGCACGCACCTTCTTATGTAAAAAGGGGGAAAAGATGTCCCGTTCCTCCCTCTCCTCGTCAGTATATGTGTTATTGAAGTCTTCTGTTAACAAACAGCAGCGACGGAAACAGCAGCAATATATATATTACCTTAATTCATTATCGTTTTCAAGTCTACCAAGTGTCGTTGTGTGCGTGTGCTGCTCGTTCTGCTGTGGTACAATCTCTTTCCTTTTTTCTTCTTATTTTGGTTGTTTTGCTGTGCCACGGCCTGTGGCAGGAGTGACGTTGTCGCTGCCACGGAGCGCAGTACCGACTGTATTAATGGTAGCAGTCAAAGAGGAGTCTTGTGCCGCGATGCACTGAGAGAAGGCATGGAACAGGAGGTGTACCAGCAGTACTGTCCGCCGCTTGGCCAACAAATATATATATAATGGACTTCTGGGCGATGAAGGGTAGAGCTCGCTCTTCCTTTGCGTTTCCCTTTGTGTTCCTTTCCCCTTCGTCTTTACACCTCGTGTTGAATAATACAAATGATCCTCTCTTCTCTTTTTGTTCTCCAGAAGGTGCAACTGTCGTTGCTGAATACTAAAAAAGAAAACCAAAAATGTACTTACTTCTCTACGCACAGTGAGCACGGGCGGTATGTGACCAAAAAAAAAATAAGCTCGATTATTTCTGCTGTTGTCCTTGAAAGCATTCGCAGTGCTTTGGCATGGATTTGTTTTTTCCGTTGTTAAGCCTCCCGTGTGTGTGTGTGTGTTCTTCCTACGTGTGATACTGAGTTGGAAAACGAAGTCAAATGATGTAGGTAGAAAAGGATGGCAAGTCAGCTCTGCATTTGGTAAAGCGAAGGTGTTTTGGGCATTGGAATCGGCACTGACGCTTTGGTCATGTATTACTCCGTTTGTTAGATGGAATGTGGCAAAACACCATATCTGTGTTCTTTACTCGCTCCCTCGTCTCCTCTTCTGATTCCTTTCTTACGGCTAGCTCAGCCAGTAGAGGTAGCCGGACGGCACAACGCGACAGAGATTTTTTCTTCCTTTCGGCTCTGCTTTCCGCTCCATTCCTATCACCATGGAGGGCTTCGATTACCAGAACGCAACGCCCGAGATCAAACGGGCGTGACACGCCTGCAACATGGCGCTCAAGCTGGTTGAGTCGCTGCCCATTGGACCGGAGCGTGATAAGCGTCGACACGCCGCGATTGACAACTTCCTGGCGGCTCAGCTGAACCCACCCAGATCGGCAGGAGACCCTTTCGCGACCTTCGTCGAGTCGCGTGACCGCTGCACCCTGTATCCAGGATCGATCCGGTTGGACTTGAACCAGAAGAAGGAGAAACTCTTCGACGAGGCGTATGCCGATCCTAAGTTCGAAGCGAACCTCTTCGAGGAGTTTTACAACAAAGCCCAGTCGAACCAACTGGACCCATGCTTCGTTGTATTCATGGGGATGACGCTGGCAGTTGGTGGTGCGTTCGCAGCTGACGATATGAAGAAACGAGTCAACCGCTTGGCCCACATCTGGCTGCGGGAGCCTTCGGCGACGCAGGGGGAGCGCTACAATTTTTTCAAGGCCTCTGAGCTGCTGGAGGAAACCTTGCTTTCTGCCTCTCTCGGCATCCCGCAGTTAACGCTGCCGCTTTTCCCCTTTCACCCGCTTATACAAGCGAAGAACAGCGAGCTGCTGAACAGCGCGCAGGCAGTGGAGGGTGGCGGCCTGGACGGCGGCCAAAGCCAGAAGGAGCTTCGATCCTTCTACAAGTTCCCCACCCGGACGATTTGGGGAAGCGGATACGCGGCCCCCGTCTATGACTCGGAGGGCAAGCAGGTTGGCGTGGCCGACCTGTCGGAGGTGGAGGCACATTTCTGTAACCTCCAGCAGCAGGTCCAACGCCTCACGGAGGGCAACGCCCGAGAACTTCGCCGCACGCTCGACCGCGTCATCGCTCAGTACGAGCGCAAGAACCCCCGCACCACCAAATCGCCCGCGCCTTTTCAGCCCGACAGACGGCGAGCCGGCGCCCGTGTACACCGTGGTGGGGCGGCAAGCGAGCCGGAGGAAGCCCGCGACGATTTCCTCGAGGACCTCTTCCCGACAACGACTCAGCAGCCAAAAAAAACGGAGGTGCTGGAGCCCGCAACCACCCAGGGTCTTAGTGCTGGGCGGGGCACCAAAACGCCCATCGTTTCCGCTTTGGGGCGGAGATTTACGCGCGGGGAAGACCTCTAACATCGAGTTGGACGCCCTGTACGCGAGGTACCTACCCCAGCGATCCGTTGTTCGGTGCGATGTTATGCTGTACCTGACCAGTGCACAGGCGAACACTCTCGCGCGACACGCGTTGTCCACCACCTTGTACTTCCCCATTTTCCTGCAGTCCCACTGGATTGCGGGGATCTTGGAGTACGACAAGGCAGACAAGAGGGTGGGGCTTACGATCTACGATTCGGCTCCCAACGACAACGTCCATAGCGAGATGCGCCGCAAGCTCCACGCGGTCTGGCCATCTCTCTCTATTTCCCGCGGGGCGTGCGCTCGCCAGCTGCAGTACAGTGAGGATTGCGGCGTCCACATGACAGCAAATTTCTTTGCGCACCACCTTGGCGTCAGGATTGCGGATGGATCAACGGTAGCCGCTCGCTTACGTCCTTACCTGTACGCGGTGTCCGTGTCACCCGTAGCCAAAGCGACCTTCCTGGCAGAGACGGGCCGAATTCTGTCGCAGCCACGCGGCAGTGCTCTCATTCGCGGCGGCGTTGGTCCAACGCCCACACGCAGAACCCTTCACACACCCGCAGCCGACACGCGCCCCTACGGACGACACCGTGCCCTAGGGGTTGCGCGACAGATTGGCGTACCTTCCGGAAAAGACGTCGCAGTACCCACCGCAGACCCGACCACCCCAACACCCTCTCGCCCATCTGGGCGGGTGGACGAAAGCGTCAGCTCGACCGCGTCGAAACCTGCGGACAGCTCTTCTCCTGCCGCGGCAGCGGACGCGTCACAACAAGTAGCCCTGCGCACCGAAGCATCGGCTACGCGCCCTATGGGAACAGCCCTGGAAACACCCCGGCCTGTCTCCAAGGCGTACGTCGACACGAGACTCGCCGCGGCCCTTCGCGCAATGATCGAAGAGGAAGAGAACGAGCAAAAGAAACGACAGCGCACGCCGCCACGCAGAGTTCACTTTACGACACCACTGACAACTCACAGGAAAGAAGCACCGTACTGTGGAGGAGACACCCGGCTCGGTAAACAGTCGCCACTTCGAAGCACCATTGAAGCAGGGAACGGTCCGGAAGCGAACGGAAACGCGGGAATGGCCCCCTTTCTTACACAAGCGGGGGAGAGCGAAGACGCCGCATTTCGCGCGACAGTTGACTACCTTTGGGCAGCGACAGCGTTGGCGAACGTCGGGGACGGCGGCACGCGTGCCTTGACAGCCAGGGCTCTCGTTACCCAGGCCGGCCGGCTTGTTTTCACCAGAGGAGTCCCATACTCAATGAGGGAGGCCCTGCGAGCTCTCGGAAAGGAGCCACTGGAGCTCCCTTTACGCAACCGGCCCCAGGCACCGCCGAGCACTGCAGCCGAGTCTTACCTGATCCGCAGCGGGGAAACGGGAAGCTTCCTGCCCTCTCACCACGGCGATCGGGTTTTCCAACTTGGAGCTTATTTCGGCGCGCCGAAGAACCAGGATCTTGCCGCACAAGGAGGGCTGACCTTTGGCCGCTTCAGGCTAACAACATCTTTGCAACGCGCCTCAGTGGGAGTTTACGTCTCGACAAGCCAGCAAGCAAATGCGGAGAGGTTTCGCAGACAACGCCTACCGGCGGCTACCAGGTATCGACCTGTAGCATCGCCTGGGAATTTCAACACGGAGCCCCACCGACGTTACAGACTGACGGGCCTCACGACAAGCTTATTCCCTCCGGCATACGCGATGCCCAACGCTGCGACACGCGTGGCTCCCCGCGAGCGACGGGCAGTCCATGAGGTGGAAGCGGACGAGGCAACTCGAGCATTGACAACAGCGACAGGGTTTCATTTAAACGACAGGGGCGGGCTGCTACCTGGGGGTCCGGCCTGCCCGAGAACGTGGTATATCCACCCAGGGAAGCCCCCGCACATCAGCCAAATGGCCTGGTCCGCCGTATCAGAAGGTACGCGGGCAGTACACCGGCGGTGGCTGTACGAGCTGCGCGCACTACCGGCCGACCTACTGAGCAGGCGCAATTTGGCTGCGGCAGTGGTAGAGTTTGTACGCCGCATCGCGGTGACAAGACAATGGAAATGGTCGACCACCGCGAAGGCCCTGGCGTCCGTCAGTGGTGCGCTGCAACAACTGCCCCTCTACACCAATCAACGCGAACCGATACATCTCAACCGCTACCCGGAATGGCAGAAGACAGTGGCCGCCGCGCAGCGTTTCGACCGGGAGAGTGTCGCGGCTCCGCCGTCCCCTATCACTCAGGAACAAAAGGACGCGGCGCAACGGAACTCACTACGGCAGCGCGATCAGGAAGCTTCTCTGTTCCTCGAAATGATGTGGGCATTTGCGGCTCGCGCGGGCGATTTACGGACTCTGCAGTGCAGGGATGTACGCTTCACGGGGGAGGAACCGCCACCATTTGTGGACGGAGGTGTGACAATATGGCCAGATCGGTATGGCGTAGTCCTGACAATGAGACGCGGCAAAGGGGCACGGTTCCGAGGGCCGTATTCTGTTCCGTCAACCCTGCCGCGCGAATCGGCGCTGATTCTCGCGCACCTCCTCCGCAGCCGGCGACCTACGCAGCACCTGTTTGCTCGACCGACCGAAATCACCGACACCATCCGCACGGCCCTGCGCCGCGAGAACCCTTTGGCAGCACTACCGTCAGTACGCAAGGGCGCGCTACGCTGCATGGCGGCGAACGGAATGGCAGAGCACGAACTGATGATCATGTCAGGTCACCGACGCGCCGACACACTCCACAGGTACCTGGGCTATGGCCACCAACTCACGACGGAGGCCGCAACCGCGCAGGCCAACGCCAGCGCGGCCCTTTACGAACTGAACAGTTCGGCCTAACCGCACCTACAACGCAAGACTTAGCTGTCGACCCCACGGAGGTATATCGAGAGATTCAGCGCCTCAAGGGCGCCCACAACGCACCGCCGTTACCTCCACCAGGACAATGGCCGCTACACCTCAAGAAGACAACTCCGCTGAACTGGAACGCAGTTTGCGACATGACAACTACCAAGCCAGAAACACGGGCTTTCCTCGGACGAGTGGGGATGTTTTTCACGCCTGAGCACTTCACCGGCTTTAGGACATCGAGGACAATTAAGAAATGCCACTTGCCGATGGCAGATATCGACCGAGCAGTGGAGATGGGGAAGATGGAACTGTGCCCCGCAGCCGACAACATCGAGGGTAAGCACCTCCCAGAAGGAGTACACGGCGTTAACGTTTTCGCAGTACCGGAAATGAAGGGCAGGAGACGACTCATCACCGAACCGCACCTAAACGCGTGCCTCCAGACGAGCGACATGCCGAAAGTCCAGTACCCAACGCGCCTAGAGCGAAGGCAGAGTTTGCGGAACAAGCGGTACATGCTTCAAGTGGATTTCGAAGCGTACTATGACGCCACCCCGCTCCCTGGTGAGTTGCGAAACTTCTTTGTCTTTCGCGCCCGCAACGGCGCCTACTTCCGTCTCTGCACACTGCCTACAGAAGCACGGTGGAGTGTCGCAGTGGGTCAGGGTATTACGTCAACAATAGTCGACGTCGATACACCAGTAACGATCATGACTATGATTGACAATATCTTGATTGCAGCGGACGAAGGACAGGAAGAGGATTTTGTGTCGGCTGTCCGCCGGATTGTGGCGCGTATACGCGGCGCCAACCTTCTCACATCGCCTGATCGCGAATCCTTAGCAACCATGGACGACACGTCATTGTTGTCGTTGGCTAAGGAACCGAACACGGTCTTTCTCGGGGAAGAGTATAGGTGGAACGGTAGCGAGCGCTTAGTGCGCAACTCGGCGAAGAGTGTGGCGAAGTTGATCGTCGCGTTACGAAAGCCCGCCTTCACAATTCGGTCCTTTGCGTCGGTGGTGTCGCTCATGTTTTACATGTTGCACACCACACTGATCAACCCTGCACGTGCATTCAGCCTGGCACGGGCCTACCGAGGGGCGGCCCGCCTGGTTAGCCGAGGGTTCGATTGGGACGACCCACTCCCTTTCCTCCATCCACAAATCCACGCCGCCCTGCACGAGCTTGGAGCCCGCTTGGTGCACAACCCGTGGCAACCCATCGCCAGGGAACGCTCCGCCACGTACTCGGAAGACAACTACGACGTGGTGTGCTTCACGGACGCCTCCTTAGGCGGGTGGGGCGCGTACGCCCACAAACACCTGCGCAACACGTCAAGGGAGGCAGGCTCCGTCGGGCCACTCGATGGCGCTGAGAGCATCACCGCATATCAGCAGATGTGGGTGAATGAGCTCGAGCAGACCCGGTTGCCACGGGCACGTGCACCCCTTCGGGGCCGCGACTCCGCGGAAACTGACGACCGACCGTACTTCATGGCCAAGCACTCGGCGCACGCTGAACCGCGCGCAGCCGAGTTGATGCTGCGGCAACTCGTCGAGGAGGGTTTACCGGACGGTGCGAAGATAGCGCTGGTAACGGACCATTTTCCCATCGTACACGCCCAAAAGCAACTCAACGGTTTCGGAGGGATAGGCCGAGGGCTGTCTCTGAACAAACTGTACGAGTACGCCTATGACGTGTTCTACGAACGAGGGATCAGCGTTGTCTTTTTCTACATCGCCGGACCAATGAACCCCGCGGATACGTTGTCGAGGAACTTTGGGGATTTCGAGCCGAGGCAGCGTGGGAGCCTGGCTCGCACGGTCGTAAACGATGTGGCCTTGCCTTTGCTCTGCAACACGTTCTCTCCGCTCTGTGAAGGAAAGGCAGAAGTGCAGGACGGATGGGCACCGTAAGGGAGCGGACAGGTGGAGTACTATGGGGGAGTCGGTGTCATGCCACCGTAAATCTTGCAACGGATGAAGTGCGACCGTAGGGAGTGACGAAGCAGCATGCGCGTGTGCCGCCCGTTTGAGGGCGAACACAATCGAGGTTCCGCCCCACTGGCGCCACTTGAATGCAACACGCGTACTTCCTTGATGCTGGGCCGTGGCGTTCCTCAACTGTTTCATCTCCTCCTCATTCCCTTCGCTTCTTTATCCTTTTGCAGCGCATGTGTCGACAAGAAAGCCTCATAAGGCCAGCTGTTCCTACATAATGATCCTACAGTCGTTTGATGCGTTGTCGTGTTCTTTTCGTTACGAGGTTAGCCTAGTCTCCCGCTGATCAAGCACCTTTCATGCTGCTTCTTCGTGTGCTGTCCCGTCGTCCGTTGTGGATGATTGCCCTTGTCGTGCTTACTTCGCTGTCTCGTGCTTTTCTCGTGTGTCGTTGGTAGAGCGTTGTTCATGTACGTGGTTGGAACTCTTATAACTGGTGGATGTGTTTACGTTTGATATTTCTAGCCCTTGCATTTGTCGCCTTATTTAGTTGTTTTGAACTTTTCTTCCCCTCCTCTTCTTCTTCCTTGGTCGCTGGGTGGACGATTAAAAAACGATCTTTTCATTTTTATTTTGGCGTTTTTTGAAGGATGTCGAATAACGATATCATCGATTCAAGTGTTTTTTCTTCGGTTGCTGCACAACAGTGAAAGAAGGTAGCATTGCGGTAGGTAGCGTCCCATGGAACTGTGCGTGTGTGTGCGTGTGTGTGCACGTGTGTGTTTGTGGTTCTAGTTTTCTTCTCCTTTCTTCCCCACTACGCTTCTGCCGGATCTTCCCGTTCTTCCTTTCCACCGTGCATTCTTTTTCTTTTTCTCCCCCTTCCTTCTTCTTCATTTCATGTTTGAATTTTCTGTTGTTGAGGTGTTTTGCGTGTCTCCGTAATTCTTTTTGTGAAGAGCTATTAAGCCCGAACGAATGAAAAGCAAAGAAAGAACAAAACGGTGGTTTATGCCCGTTACACACGTGCGGGTGGAGAGCCGCCCGTGTTTCCCACTCAACGTACACGAACTCCTTCTCGTTGTTGACATTGGTGACCTTTACGTCCCCCTTCTCGGATGTTGAGGAAGGCAACGTGAAATACGGAGAAGCCGCAACGGAGATCGATGGAGCAATTGAACACGGTTGCGGGAAAGCGGGTGTATTTTGCCTTCGCACTTGTGTGTGTGTGGTGGGGTGGGGGGGGGAGAGAGAGAGAGAGAGACGGGTGTATTTTGCCTTCGCACTTGTGTGTGTGTGTGTGGGGGGGGGGGGAGAGAGAGAGAGAGAGAACGACATTGAAGTGGACGAGATCCCCAAGGCAAACAGGTACCGCGCATCAATGCCTGGCAACCCACCACCACCATTTAAAAAAAAAGAAAACAGCAGATTCCAACATCGTCATGTACATATATGTGTGTGTAACTTCTATTTGGCGCTTCTCTCCATTCTTTCTCTGTTCTGTGTCCTTTTCGCTCATTCTTTTTTTTTCCGAATTCCTTTCAGTGGATTTAGCTCAGTTTCGTCTTCTCTTTGCATTCACCCTATTTACTCGAGGTACACCCCTGTCCCACCTGCTGCCTGCACTCCTTCCGCACTTCTCTGCCTCTCTCGTGAAAGTGGAGCCGGCTTCTTTGTCTACTGCCACAGCTCGACCTCATTTTTCCACCTGTTCTTTTTTTTTTGTGTGTTCTTCAGTTCCGTCGTGCGGCCCAACCATGTCCGACAACATCGTGAATTTCATCTCGCCGGGGAGTCCATATGCGCTGAATAGCCCGCTCTCTGCCTCGCAGCAGGTTCGTGACTTCAAGCACGTGCTGGATCAGAACGTGGTGCAGCCGATCTCGTCGAACAGCGCGAGGTCTAGCATCGGGCCCCACCTCGGCTCCCGCATGCACGTCTACAACTACTCGATCAGCCAAAACGATCAGTTCTGGGCGGAGATCGCGCGGCGCGACTTTTACTGGAAGAAGTTCTGGGCCGACGACCAGCATGTGAAGACGTACAACTTTGACAAGTCGAAGGGCCCCATCTTTGCGAAGTGGTTCGAGGGCGGTGTGACGAACGTGTGCTACAATGCGCTGGACCGTCACTTACCGGAGCACAAGGACCGCGTCTGCTTCTACTTTGAGGGCAACGACCCGAACGTCACGGCAACCATCACGTACGGGCAGATGTACACGCAGGTCGTGGAGATGGCGAATGTGCTCAAGTCGCAGTACGGCGTCCGCAAAGGCGATTGCGTGGCGATTTACCTCCCGATGATCCCCGCGGCGGCGGTGGCCATGTTGGCGTGCGCCCGCATCGGCGCGATCGTCAGCGTCATCTTTGGCGGCTTCTCCGCGCAGTCGATCGTGACGCGTGTGACGGACTGCCGCCCGAAGCTGTTCATCACGGCGGATGCGTCCTTGCGTGGCGAGAAGCCGATCCTGCTCAAGTCGATTGCCGACCAGGCGCTGACGGAGTGCAAAGAGACCGCCAACTTCAACGTGCCCTGCCTCGTCGTGGAGAACTGCAAGCGCCAGCACTGCACCATGACGGAGGGCCGCGACACGTGGCTGACTGACGCCGTCGCCAAGCTCTCTGCCGCAGAGCACGAGGACTGCCCGGTGGAGTGGATGGAGGCGGAGGACACCCTCTTCCTGCTCTACACCTCCGGCAGCACCGGGAAGCCCAAGGCCATCGTGCACACCACCGCCGGCTACATGGTGTACGCCTCCACCACCTTCAAGTATAGCTTCGACTACCACGCGGATGACGTCTACTTCTGCACGGCGGATGTGGGCTGGATCACGGGCCACAGCTACGTCGTGTACGGCCCACTGATCCACTGCGCGACGTCGGTGCTGTTCGAAGGTTTGCCGAACTACCCAACCCACTCCCGCTGGTGGCAGCTGATAGAGAAGTACAAGGTGAGTATCTTCTACACAGCCCCGACGGCCATCCGCTCCCTCATGCAGGCAGGCGACGAATTCGTGACGAAGTACGACCGCAGCTCCCTGCGCATCCTCGGCTCTGTCGGCGAGCCAATCAACGTGGAGGCGTGGAAGTGGTTCCGCGACCTTGTGGGCGAGGGCCACTGCGATGTGTCAGACACGTGGTGGCAGACGGAGACGGGCGGCCACATGATTACACCGCTGCCTGGCTGCACGCCGATGAAGCCCGGCTGCGCGACGCTGCCGTTCTTTGGTATCCAACCGGTGCTGCTGGACCCGCTGAAGCTGACGGAGAACGAAGGCATGGCGGAGGGTCTCTTGGTGATCAAGAGCCCGTGGCCCGGCATGGCCCGCACTATCTACAACGACCACGCGCGGTTTGAGCAGACGTACTTCAGCGTGCCCGGCTACTACCTGACGGGCGACGGCGCCCGCCGCGACTCGGACGGCTACATTTGGATCACGGGGCGCGTGGATGACGTGCTGAACGTCAGCGGCCACCGCATCGGCACGAGCGAGGTCGAGGACGCCGTGAACTCGCACCCGGCGGTGGTGGAGAGCGCGGTGGTCGGAGTGCCGCACCCCATCAAAGGCGAGAGCATTTACGTCTTCCTCACCTTCCACGAGGGCACCGTCATCACACCGCAGCTGTTGGCCACTGTGAAGGCAACGGTGCGCAAGGTGATTGGGCCGCTCGCCACGCCAGACGTGCTGCATCCGGCGCAGGAAGGACTGCCCAAGACGCGCTCCGGGAAGATCGTACGGCGTATTCTCCGCAAGATCGCCGTGCACCGCGACGACGACCTCGGCGACACCTCCACGTTGGCCAACCCAGATGTCGTGCCGGCGCTGAAGCGTGCGCGGACGGAGTGGGTGGAAAAGGCAAAGTAAGACGTCGCTGCTGCTGCTGCTGCTGCTGTGAGGACTTCTTCTTCATCGGATCTCTCTGTTTTATATAAATCTATTTTTTCTTTTTGCGTTCCACGACGCCCGAATGCACCGTTTCAGTGACGTCGTCACCTCCCGCGCGTGACGAGGTAAGAGAGAGAGAGAGCGCGGTAGAGTGCGGAACAAACGAACACACAAAAAGGGTGGAAAGGAACGGGAAAGGGAAAAAGCCGAGGTGGAGCGCCGCCTCAAAAATGAAAAGAAAAAAAGGAAAAAGAAAGGAACACTGCAGTCACGTCAAGGCGGAAGAGAAGGCACATGCACACACCAGAAGTACTCGGGCGGCATCTCAGCTGCAACGCATCAGCTACATCTCTTGCCTTTTTCTTAAAAAACCCATCTCTCTATATATATATATATATGCGTGGCTGCGAGTGTTGTAAACAACGTAAAATATATATCGTGCTGTGAAGTATTTAACCTGGCGCAGCGACGTGCTTTTTTTCTTTCTTTCGTTATGTGGAAGCCACACCAGTCTTTTCCGCATCTTTTTGTTTCCTTCCGTGGTAAGTAAACGAATGGGATAAGTAAGAACTGTCTTAAAAAAAAACCCATCACTAGTGTGTGTGTATATGTGCGGCGAAGAACGCGCAGCTTGACAGACAGCGACGTAGATGAATACAATCGAAAAGAAAGAAGAACAATGGAGTAGAAGGTGTAAATGAATGTTGCAAGGAACTTGCGGCGCTGCGTAGTAACACGTGGAGCTGCCCTTCTTTTTTTGTTCTTTCGCGTCGAGGTTTATGAAGATGAGAGGCTCTTTTGTACTGTCGCAGAAATAGGAGAAAAAGGAGAAGAAACACATCTCTTCTTTTTCTGCGTACTTGAGGAAGCTGTTGGCGTTCGGAATGGGAATGGACTGGACTAGAGAGGGGCTGCCGGCGGACCTCAACAACAGGAAAAGCCGCCGAGTGAGGGGAAGAGAAAACGAGGACACCAAAAGATGACGAGAAGGCAGAGCACACTTCTGCGCTGCATTATCTCTTACAGGGGAAAACGGAAACTGCCATTTATTTATTTATTCTTACATACCAAATTGCTTGTCGCAATCTTTTACGGCCATTTTTGTTTTGCTAATACAAGATGTTTTTTTTTGGTTTTCTCGTCTCTCTTCCAAAGAGGAATCCTGTACATTAGGAACTTCACTCCATTACCGCTAATCTATTACATGTTCCCTTTTTCATTTAAGGCTTAGTTTTATTATTACTGTTCTCCAAGAAGAAAAAGATAAAAAACATACACACTGACACTTAGCTTTCTAGTTTTATTGTTCCCCTTATCGTTCCGTGTGTGTGTGTGTGTGTGTGTTGACTTGGAGGTGCTTTACGAGTTTTTATTATTTATTTATTTAACTACCGTTGTTACTATCGTGACAACGCACCCAGCGTAGGTTCATTTGTAGGGCTGTTTTCGGCGATGGCGTTTCCACGTGATTCCTCGTCTTAAAAGAAGATAAATATAGCCTGAAGGGAATTGTGAGTGCACATTTCCCTTTTAAAGAAAACAAACAAACAACAGCGAAACAGGCAAACAAACAAAAAATCACTGACCATCAATCTGCATTGCCGGTTCTCCCTTCTTTTTCCTTTTCTTTCCAACGGCAATAGTGTTGTAGCGCATGTTTTTACACCTTTTAAAAAAAAAAAAGAATTATCGTGACGCGTAAAGCGGCCATGCAGGCGAGGGCGCGTTCGTTCTCTCCTGCTGATATCGCTCAAACATCCTTCATACACAAGCGCACAGTAGCAGGAAACCAAATTTTCAATAATAATAATAATTGCGTGTCTCCGCACGCGTTAGTGAACTTCAGCTGTTAAAGATAACTATTTTTTAAAAACCTTTTTTCCATGAAAGTAAAACCGTTTTTCTTTTTCCTCCCACTTCTCTCTCACATCAGACAACGAAAAGCAGAGAAACAAACCAAAATAGTGAACTCGCGGATGTGGTCAGGCTATCATAAACTTCCTTACTGCTGCACTGCTCGACAGGCGTTTTCAATCCGACGGAGAGCAACGAGGCATCCTCTTTTATCTCCAGATGTTCATGTCTGCTGTTATCTGCCTTCTCCTTCTCTTTGCTGGAGGAATGAAAAGGAAATACGAGGCAGAGCAGCAAAGATTGAAGCGCGCTGCCGGCACAGGTTTCTTCTGCTCCGTTTGTCAAGTTTTTTTTTTAACAGTTTTGCTTTCCACCTTTTCCCCCGTATTCAGACCACGAGTCTTTGAAGGAGCACGTTAAGGGTCTCTCTTTTTTTGTTTTATTTTCCGTGTTTCTCATGCACTTCTGTGTTATTCCACCAATATATTGCGTTGTTTCACTTTTTTTTGTCCGACATTAAAAAATGACCTCTTCTTCTGTATTTCTTTTGTTCCGTCTTTGGTGTCCCCCGTTTTACAACTTCTGCCCTCTTTCCCTCCTTCCATTCCTCTCCCATTGCGCTCTCCTCTCGCTCCCTTGCTGTACAGCTGCTCCTCTGTAGTTTCTCTTGGGTTTTAGATCGCATTGTGGTTTGCTGGGCAGCCTGTGTTTGCGCTGCCTCGCATGAAAAGAACGAACAAAAGAAAAAAAGAAATCATCAACTCACTCATGCACCGCTACTCTTCGCCTGTTTTAATGCTGGACGCACTCAACACCTCTTCCTTCTCTTCTTCCTCGATTGTGATTCTCTTTTTCCGGGCGTTCCTGGCGTTTACTGGAAGGCATTTTTGTTTGTTTTGTTTCCTGCTGTGAGCCGCTCGCGCCGTGCTGCACACGCATCACTCAAAAAAAAAAAGCCCGACAGGTTCTGCTTTGGCTGTTATTCCGTTGTGTGCCACCCGCATTATCTCTTTTTCTTTCCTTGTTCCCTTGTTTTTTTGCGTCGACTTCTGCGGTCGGTGCTTTGTCCGCATGCTATCCTCTCCTTTCTCTGTTTCTCTCCTCCTCAACTCCTGGCGAAGGAGGTGGTGGTGGTTGTGGTGGTGGTGATGGTTGTGTGCGTGCGTCTGTGCGCCGTGGATTACTTTTCGTTTTTGTTTGTTTGGGGTTCCATTAGCTTGCTTCTGTTTTTCTCTCTCTCTTGTTCCTACACTATTATTATTATTATTATTATTATTAAAGGATATCGCTGAAACGTGTAAAAAAGAAAAGACAAGAACACTAACGCTTGTTCTGGTTTTCTTGTTATGCAGTGGGAGCGCCGCTGTGATAGACAAACACCAACAACAAAAAAGAACCGTTTCTGTCAAATTCATTCACCCCTCTTTTTCCTTCTCTTCTTCTTGTAACGCGTGTGGGTGGGTATATATGTGTGTGCGTGTGTGCGTGCGTGTTGTTTGACGATGATGGCGAACACGAACGTTTTATGAGCTCTTCTTCTCTATGTGTTTTATGAATTCCCCACTCCCCCTCCCCGGCAAAGCACCGCACGCATCGAACGAGGAAAAAAGAATGATGATGATAAAAGAACATGGGTGCTGTGAAGTTGATGCGTGACGTGGTGTGCGTGTGTGTGCGTGAGAACATGTGTTGTGGGTTTATGTATATAATTTCTGGAGGACCATCTGGCTTCCAAACGCCAACAACAAAAAGAAGGAAAGCAACCGCGAAGTAACACGTGTGTCTCCAGCGCAAAGGATACGCGTTCGACAATAGACGTAGAATCTCTCTCCTCTCACACACACACACATGAGCAAAGTTTTATTTATAACTTTTTCTTTGCTGTATGATCAGGTCTTTTCTTTCCTTTTTTTAATTTTCTCTTCGGGCGGTGAGGCACCAGAAATTCTTCTGTCGGTAACCCACGAGGGCGGAAAGATGATCTATCTAGGCTGGAGGAGCGCGTTAAACGTTTGGTTGGTGTTGTCTCTCAATATACAAAAAAAAACCAAGAAAAACTAAGAAGGAATGAAGAAGAGAGAATGGCTCGGAGAGGGCAGAAGGGTCTTCTTCGGTACCGTGCGGTAGTGAGAAGAACACAGAGAGCGAGAGGGAGGGACACGCTTCAGGGCGGTTCTCGCCTCTTTTGCTTTTGTCGGCACGAGCGTTACTCTTGCTGCACAGGGTGCGTATCCGTATACACGGAGCCTTTGTTTCATTGAACGGTGCTCAAACAGATAGAGTGGAGGCCGTGGAGGCTGTTTTTTTCTTTTCTTTTCTCTCTCTGTGTGTGTGTCTGTGTTGCGTAGGAATGCACGCAAAAACGATCATGTTGGTGTGCAGACACGGCCACATTATGTGAAGCTCTTCGACGATGGACACAGCGTACTCGCGTTTCTGCACCTCCATTTCTTTTTGGCTTGTGTTATCTTTGCCAACACCTTGGCTTTCTTTGCTATCATTATTCTTCTTTACTGAAGCTTCCTGTGACTGTGCACGCACATCAGAAGACGTCCTTTCCACACACACATTTACACACATTCACACGCGCGCTCGTGCTTGCTCGTTACCATGGGCATCGACACCTGGAAGGAGTTCCCTAAGATCCTGACGGAGTACCCGAAGCACGGAGTGCCGCTGCCGTGCTCCGATCAGAATCCGCGTCTGCAGTGCCCGGAGACGCGGTGGGCCCGCGACTTCTGCCTAGCACAGGGCGGCAGCTGCGAGTACAAGATAGAGGCCCACTTTGACTGTCTCGAGCAGCACTACCCGAAGGAAAGGGTTGACCTCCTGCGCAAAAACTTCAAGCCGAGCACGCTAGACTACCCAACCTCGGATACCTACATTCGCTACCGACACTACTACATTGGTGCGCCGTGGATGTCGAAGAACAACTGGGAAGGTACGCGTTAAAGACGGAAAGCGAGAGGGAGACCGGCGTCTGCACGGATCCACCCCGACGTGGTTTCTTTCTCTTTTTTTTTCGAGATACGACTCAGGTTTCATGCGGTCGGCCTTGTGTTGCGCTGGCGGTGTGTTGTGGTTTCGGCGGTGCGTTTACGGTGGTGCGTTCCCTCCTTTTGCCGTCGTTGTGTTTCGTATCGCTTTAATATCGCCGCAGAGAAAGTTTTTTGTGTGTTTTGGTTCCAACGTGTACTTTTTTTTCCAATTTGGCTTTTTGCTTCTCCCTTTGCTTTGTAGTGTAGTTAGCCAAAACTGAAGAAGGTAGGATAAAGTGAGGGGGCGGGGGGCTTGCAAGAGGGAAGATAGAATACTGATCGTAGTAGATAACCCACCCCACCTAGCAGGATTTGTGGAGCGAGTTGCATTCGGCAGAACTTCATAGATCTCCTGTGTTCCTTACGTTTTCTTCAGGGGAAAAACAACGCAAGTAGCAGTAGAAGTGTTGGCGAGAGCTTGTGAGAGGTGGCTTGTGCGGAGGGTGCTGGACGACTAGACCTGGCAACGAACTACGCCCTTCCCCTCCCTCTTTTTTTTTTATTATCAGCTTCGCGACGTGTGCGTGTGCGTCCGCAATCAACAGTCAAAAAAGAAATGACCGTGTTATGCAAGGGAATATAGGCGAAATATGTTTGTAGCTCGTTAGCCGACTTTGACGTTTACACTGTTGCGGGACAGCGGTGCGCCGTGCCGCGAGCGGACACGCAGGCGATTTGCTGGGATGTTTGCGGCTCCTGTGGGTTGGCCCGCCGTACCATTTCGAATGCTGACTTTGAGTGGCGGCTTGCGCTGTCTTCCGGCATGCGTGCAATGAATTTGACTCGACAACTTTTTCTCCTGCAACTTCTTTTAATGCGTGTGTGTGCGTGTGCTCCGTATCTCGTTCATCTCCGTGAACCACAACAACGTCGTTGTCTTCGTTCCCAAACAACGACAGTTGTGTTTATTCGTGTTATCATATCTCTTGTGCTCCGTCTTTTTTTGTTCTAAAATTACTATTATTGGTTTTACGTGTCCTCTATCTCCGTCAGTGAATTTCTTCCAGCTCGCTCTCTTTGGATTGCTTTCATCATAATTATTACTATTATTTTTTTTACCTTCCTTTGTGCCTGCCGTTGTTCCTTCAGTGTGCGTCGACAGCGACAATAACAGAAAGCAACAACAACAAAAAGAAAGCGCAAGCATGTTCCGCGCCAACCTTACGCATTTGCAGGCGGCGTCCCGCGTGTTCATCGTGGGCGGCCACATTACCCCCTTCATCGGGAAGGGTAGCAAGCTCTTCATTGACAAGAAGCACCCGGACTTCGGCAAGAAGCAGAACCCCACCCTCGAAGAACTGCTCGCCACCACGGTGGAGAAGACGCTGGAGAGCACCGGCATCCTCGGCAAGGAGGAGGTGCTGGACCACGTCGTCGTTGGCAATTTCCTCGGCGAGCTCTTCTCGAACCAGGGCCACCTCGGTGCCGCCGCCATCGGCAGCCTCACCTACGGACACCCGGAGAAGAAGAACCCGCTCCTGTTCAAGCCGGCCGTGCGGGTGGAGGGCGCGTGCGCGTCGGGCGGCCTCGCCGTGATGACCGCCACCAACGCGCTGAAGGCCGGCACGGCGGACGTCGCCCTCGCGGTCGGTGTGGAGGTGCAGACGACGGCGTCAGCCCGCGTCGGCGGTGACTACCTGGCTCGCGCGGCTCACTACCAGCGGCAGCGCGGCATCGACGACTTCACTTTCCCCTGCCTCTTTGCGAAGCGCATGAAGTACATCGCCGAGCACAACCACTTCACGATGGAGGACACGGCCCTCGTGGCGCAGAAGGCGTACGCCAACGGCAACAAGAACCCCCTCGCCCACATGCACACCCGCAAGTTCAAGGCGGAGCAGTGCAAGGGCGACGACCCGTCGAACATCCGCTTCCTCGGCAATGAGACGTACAAGAACTACCTCCGCATGATCGACTGCTCGCAGGTGAGCGACGGCGGCGCGGGCGTGGTGCTGGCGAACGAGGAGGGCTTGAAGAAGCTTGGCCTCAACGCTAAGGACAGCCGGCTGGTCGAGGTGAAGTCTCTCGCGTGCTCCGCCGGCGATCTCTACGTCGACCCGGAGGATGCGTGCTGCATGTTTACCTCCCGCGACGCCGCGCAGAAGGCACTGGCGATGGCGAAGGTGAAGCCGTCGGATCTGAACGTGGCGGAGGTGCACGACTGCTTCTCCATCGCGGAGCTGCTGATGTACGAGGCGCTTGGCTTGGCCGAGTACGGCCACGCGAAGGATCTGATCCGCAGCGGGGATACCTGCCTGGACGGCCGCATCCCCGTCAACACCGGCGGCGGCCTGCTCTCCTTTGGCCACCCTGTCGGGGCGACGGGCGTGAAGCAGGTGATGGAGGTGTACCGCCAGATGAAGGGACAGTGCGGTGATTACCAGATGAAGAAGATCCCTGCCCTCGGCGCGACGGTGAACATGGGCGGTGACGATAAGACGGTGGTGTCCACGGTGCTGGAGAACATCTAGCAAAGCAGCAGCAGCAGCAGCACAAACAAATTAAAATGAAACGACAAAGCAGTAAACAAAATGACGAGGAAGCTAGCGCACCGAGGGAGAGAAAAAATTCTTTTTCATTATCCGCCGAAATGTGAGGAGAGCGCAACGGAGCGTGATAACGCAGACAGAAAAGGGGAAAAGGCAAAAATTAAAATTAAACAAAAAGAAATGAAAATTAAGTCCTTTTCGGCCTCTGATCTGTTTTTGTTGTTGTCGTTTTTGCTGCCTCGATTGTGGCATCGCTTTCTTCGTCAGACAGTCGGCAAGGGCAAGGACGGAAGAACGAAACGCCGCTCCTACTTGGTAGTGTTCATTTTCTTTTCCCTTTTCCTTTTCTTTTCTATCTCGGGTGTGCTCCTCCTCTCCTCTCTTGTCCTTTTCTCTTTTCTTTCTTTCTTTCAGTGTAATGCATGCGAACTGCCCGATCTGCGTAGTTCTCATTTTCTTCTTTTTTTTCCTCTTCCATTTCTACCGTCTCTGTCAAGCGTTTCTTGGTTTCCTGTTCTTTGCTCTGCTCTTCCTCCTCTTCTTTTCTCACGTTTGTCTCGTTTAGTTTTTGCCACAGTGAGGCGAAGATGAAGCGCAGCGCAGTGCACCTCTCCCGTGCTCTCGTGAAATCAGCACCTCTGACAGCTGGCGCCGCCTCCTCTTGTTGTTGTTCTTGTTGATGAAACTGAAATAAGACGGGTAATCCTCAAGGCAGAGTTGAACCCCACACGACAGCTAATCATAATAATCGCCAACTTTGTGTCAGGAGCAGCCGCCTTGGCCGGTACGTTGTCGTGGTGTTGTCGCTTCCTATTGCCGTTTCTGGGTTCTTGTGCAAGCGGTGGTGCTCTCATTAAGGTGTCTGGCGTCCAGCTCGTATTCTCGTGTGCGCATGACACTCTCAAAACAAGTTCACGCATCAGCAGGAGGAAGAAGAACCGACGGAGAAAGGAGTTTTTCTTTTCTGCCTTGTATGCTTTTCCCAACTCTTTTTTCGCTTTCCGGTGCTTGTACGTTTGTACGAAATGGAGGGGGGGGGGGAAGCTCCTGCACGGTGTCGCACTCGTGAGAGGAACCACGGAAGCAGGGAGGCACTTGAATGAGACGGTATACCGACGATTTTTTGTTTCTTTTTTTTTATCATTACCATGATTCCGGTTGGGGAACAACGTTAAAATGGCGCTACGCCAACTTGACGAGGGTGACGTGAGGCAGCAAACGAGGAAGGCCAAATAGTGAAAAAAAAACAAAATTATAGCGTCATATTCAGCGACAATCTGTACACCGTTTTTGTTTCCTTTTCTTTTTTTTTCTTTCAATATAAAATGAAAGCTAATAGGTGAAGCGTAAAGAAAAAGAAAAATGTTGTTCTGTATGTATGCTTTCGGATTCATTAGTTCCCGAGTGAGATTTCTCGCCGTGAACATCACAAATGCGGCTTTTAACGACAGTAAACAAAAGAGAAGCACAGCGACTTAAAAAGCAGCAGCAAAGTATCTGCGTGTTTGTGCGCGTTTAACGCTGCAATACCGCAGAGGCAACTCGCGCTCTCTTCCCTCCCCTTCCCTGAAAGAAAAACAAATGAAAGGCATTTTTGTGCTTGAAAGGTACTTCTGGAATTAATCTCACTGACAACAGCAACAACAAAAACCCACTCTCACTCTTCTCTCTCGGTTTGCCAAACAAACAAAAAGCAGCATATAAAAAAAGTAAGTATCATTGCGGTTGCGTGACGGACAACTCACTCAACGCACACCATCGCCTATAGAAAATATCGATGAAGGCAGGAACGTCTCCCTACACGGCTCATACACATTCGGAAAAGAAAGACAATACACCCCTCATAGATCTACGATTATTAATCTATAGATAACGTAGTTGACGCTACTCCCGCTCTTGTGAACTTGAGCGTTGTACAACATTGCCTCCGCCTTTGCAACAAACAACAACAGAGAAAGATTTTTTTGTCTGGACTTTCCACGGTTCGCTACGCAATGCAGCGTCGGTCCACTCTTCTCCTGCTCAAGCGAGCCATCAATCTGGCCCCTAAGCGGCCCATGGAGGGGTTCGGTGTAGGCTCAGCAGCCGCCACAGCACCTGCAACTCCTGCTGCCGCTCGTCCGCCGCTGCCCCGCCAGGCCCCCACAGCGACGGCACCGACCACCGCGGGCACTACCGCTGCAGCGGCCACCCCGCAGGCACCGGTGCGTCCTGCATCCCTCGTCACGCCACCGGCGGGTGGGGCACCCATCACCGGCAGCGGGAGCGGGATGCGCAAGAAGAAAATCATTCGTCGCATCGTGAAGCGCAAGCGGACGAGCGGGGGTGCCGTGGTTCACACTGCCGCTTCTACCACCGCTGCTGCTGCTGCTGCTGCGACTCCCCTTCGCGCGTCTGCCGGGGAGATGACGGCTGCTGCTGCTACGGTGGCTAGCCGGGCGACGGCAATGTTGAACGAGATCCGCAAGCAGCCCGAGGGAGTCTTGACAGAGGAAGAGAACCCGCAGCACTATGACGACACCGCCACTGCTGCGGACGCCACCGAGGAGGAATACACACCCGTGCAGGATGACACAGCGGAGTTCCATCACGCGGTGCAGCCGAAGGAAGACGCCGAGGACGACCTCTCCACCGCTGCGGGCGCAGGAGAAGCCAACGAGTCCACCGCCGAGCACTACGCGGCGGACATGCAGGCCCTGCACGACGAAACGGATGAGTTGGCCGGCACGACCACCACCTCGTCGCGCAAGACCGCGATGGTGAAGGGCTACCGCATTGATGAAGTGAGTAACCTGTGCAGCCCCAATGATGCGATCTTCGCCCGCCGCATGCCGTCGGGTGGGTGTCAGTTCTTTGCCTGGCCTGGCACGCCATTGCCGGTGGCGAGCAAGGCGATTCTGTCGATGCCGGACACGATCCGCACCGTGCACGCCGTCTTTGGCCGCCCAGGCACGCCGATGGACATCGTGATGGATATCGATTGCCAGGTCCCGCAGGAGTACTGGACCATGACGAAGATTCGCCCGTTTCAACTGAAGGTGCTCGACGACGTGCTCTCGTCGCTGCAGGAGGAGATTGAGAAGATGGGGGAGTCGATCGAGACGCAGGTGGTGCTGCAGTCACCCAACTTGAAGAAGGCCTCCTTCCACGTGCACACAAAGCTGAAGGACGCCGCCTTCGCCGACTTCAACTCCCTGCACGGATTTCTCAGCAAGTTTCAAGAGCGCCTGCCGAACGTGGACATGCAGATCTACCGCCCCCACGGCATGCTGCGTATGTTCAGCTGCATGAAGGAGAACCACACGAGCGCCATCGTCGTCTTTGACGATCCGAAGTGGAACCTCGGCTTCCCGGGCGGCAAGGTGAGCGATGCGCAGGCGGCCCTGCACTCCGTGTGCGTCCGAGACCCCGCCACCTTCACCCGAACCCTCACCTTCGCCTCCCCGCGTATGTACTTCGGCGCGACCGGCGGCAAGGCGGACGACGGCGGCGCGGATGGCGAGGGCAGCAGGCGTCTGCCCCCGCAGGTGCGGCTCCCGTTGACGGAGAAGGAGGCCGTCGCCAACGCCTCCCGCTGGCTGCGCATGGCGAACGAGGTGGAGGTCGGGGAGTGGCGCTCGTGGATCGGCTTGGGTCTGTGCGCCTTCCGCATCGCGCATCACTTCCGCAACGCCAAGGGACTGCCGCGGCCGGCGATGGAGGAGATGTTGGCGGCCTGGACGGAGGCGAGCCGCAAGTGCCCGCTGAAGTACCACCAAGGCGAGTGCGAGACCCGCTGGTCCGCCTTCTCGCCGGACAAGCTAGGCGAACGATCGGATTGGTGGGGCGCCTACAAGCGCATCGGTCGGTTAGAGGGGCCCGTGATGGAGGCGGAGCAGAAGGAGGCGGCGGAGGCGGCGGAGCGGGCTCGCCGTGTTCCGCGGCGCGCGGCTGCGCCGTCGAATGCGGAGGTTTCAACCCCCGCCGCGTCGCCGCAACCGGCGAGTGGAGCTGCGTCTGCTGCTGCTGCGGCTTCTGGTCCGAAAGAAAACGTAGCGTCCGCCTCGCGCAAGCTGAAGCTGAAGAAGCGGACGATACGCAGCGCCCAGTAAGTCGCTCGCTATCGGGAGAGGCGGTCGTGGGCTTCGTTTATTTACGTTCTCGCATTCGGATCGGGCTCTTGTTGACGGAGCGCAACGTCTTGGTTTAATTGCTGATTGGAGAGCGTCTCGCCCACCCCCCAATCTTAGCGGAGCAGAGCCTGGGAGTGCTGCCATGTGCTGGGATGGTTTTCCATTTACGTTTTTTATTGAGGCAATCCATTAGATGCGAATAGCGATAGAGTTGACGCGCGCTTGCCAGATCTAAAAAGAAAGAAAGAAGAAAAAAGTGAACGGCATAGGAAAGGACAAAGCAAACACGCAAGCATAGAGCGGTGCTGGTTGTTGAAGCGAATGGAATTCTTTTTGTGGTGGTGGTCGGGTGAGAGGTTTGTGTTGTTGGTTGTATGAACAACCTTCGAGGACGGACGTTCCAGCTATTTCTTGCGCATGATAATGCTTTTTTTCTGGTTTTACGAAGAGAGAGAGAGTGCGAAAGAAAGAGCGCGTTGTGCGTTTGTTTTCTCTCTTTTTATTATTATTTTTTTCGTGAAGCGTGATGATATGCTTTCACCGATGCCATTTCGTTTTTGCGCTGCTCAACCGTGCCCCAAACGACGAAGACTGGCGCAACAACTGTCCGATAGTAACTCTTTTTTTTTTTCTTTCTCTTACCTCATAGAATCCTTCAGCAGCTTCTAAGTCTATGCGTTGATATATACCTCTTCTGTTGTTGTCGTCCTTGTTCGTGGTGTTTAATACGCGTGTGATGTGCCGCAGCGTCAGCTCATTACTCTAATGGATTAAGCAGCGTGTTACACGTTGGGGGGCGTTACGTATTCAGGGCTCACCTACACCTCCGAGCGGGAGAGAAGAAAAGACGCGAGAGCCGTTTACGCGATGGAAACTCCGCGTTGCGGTGCAAAGAAATTCTCGAGTTCTTTCCGAGACGAAGACCTCCCCTCCCCCGTCTTGTGTCTAGATGCGTTTTCCTCTTCTGATGTTCGTGATGCATTAGTTAAGCTGCACGGCGTTCTGATCATCCTCGCGTCTTCTCTTACGAAGAAGAAAAAAAGAAGGAAAGCAAACGAGATCCGCGATGTGCCTCGATGCGTAGTGGTACTGCGAAACAGTTCTCTCTCTCTCGTTACTGCGTCCGTCTCTCTTTTCCTCTACGCTTCTGCCGTGGGCGTACGCGTACTGTATTCATTCAAAAGGAATACTGTCGCTTTGCCTTTACAAGCTTCTTCTTTCCTTCTTTCCTTCTTTTCTTTTTTTTGTTTCTGGTTTTGAAGCCAAACTTCTATTCTGTAAAGCAGCATCGTTCCTACAAAACCAAAACCAACAAACAAAGTTGCTTCCGCATAAGCCCCCACCAGAGAACAGCAACTTCATTCAAATCAAGTCAAAGCAGGACAGCAAAAGAAAAAAGAGAACCCACAGAAGGAGAAGAGAAAAATGAGCGAGCGCGTTGTTCGTGTCGGCTTTCTGGGTGCCGCCAGCATTGCATGGCAGGCGTGGGCGGGTATCAGAAACAGCGGGCTGGTTGTGACGCGTGTGGGCTGCCGCAACGCAGAGCGCGGGCAGCAATTCGTGAAGGACGCGTGCCGCACCTTCCAGATTGACGCCGCAGACGCCCCATCAGTGTGCACCTACGAAGAGCTCGTCGCAGCCGACGATGTGGACGTGGTTTACATCGCCATCCCCGTCACTACGCGTGAGAAATGGGTAAAGGAGTGCGTGGCACACAAGAAGCACGTCATTGGCGAAAAACCGCCGGCGAAGGACGCGGAGCAGCTGCGAATGTGGATTGAGGCTCTAGATGCGCAAGATCTGTTGTACATGGACGGCACGATGATGTCCCACAGTCAGCGCATGAAAGATGTGTGCGCTGCCGTGAAGAAGCTCGGTGGTCCGGTGAAGCACATCTACGCCACCTTTTGCTGGACGGCCACACCTGAGTTCATGGCAAACGACATCCGCTTTGACCCGGCCCTCGAACCCCATGGTTCGTTGGGGGACATCGGCTGGTACTGCATCCGCTACATTTTGCACATCATGGACTTCGAGATGCCCACGGAGGTGACGGGACGCATTCTGCAGCAACACGAGAGGGGCGGCATCATCGGCTTCGCGGGGGACATGAAATTTGAAGTGGACGGCGTGCCCTGCATCGCCAGCATCTACTGCTCCTTCAAAACCGCGTATCAGCAAGTGGTGCACGTGGCAACGACGGAGGGCACGCTGCGCGTCGATGACTTTGCGTTTCCCAACACGACTCGCTCCGACTCCCTCTTTTATGAGGTGCACAACAGCAGCCACGATGAGGTGTGCGTCGCGCACAACGTGTCGACCACCATCACGCACACGGTGCCGAACGATAACGCGAACAACGTGCGGGATGCCATGTGGCGCGACGTAGCGCGGGTGCTGCGCGAAGAAGGCGAGGGCGAACACAAGCGACTGAAGGCAGACCCGGAGGAGTCGCGCTACTGGGCCACCATTGCGTGGAAGACGCAGGCGGTGATGGACAAGATGCTGGAGTCTGCTCGCCAAACCAGCGGCCTTGCCCCAGCGACTGCGTGAACAACGACGCATACACACACACGCACACAAAACAGAAACAACAACGACAACAGCGATCGAAGCGCTTTCCTCTTTCCTTCGCGTGTCTCGGCAGTTGAGGCGCTGATGCAAAGAAAAGAAGCGTCTGGTACACGAAAAGGGACGACATCCACTTCCGTTGCGCCACCACCATCGTGCTTCACTATTCGTCTTGTTTTTTTTTCTTTCTTCATTTTATTAACGCGTTTTTTTTTGTGAAAATTATTTTCTCTCCTTCGCTCTCACGTGCGTTGTATTTGCGTCTTCTACGCTTTATTTTTTCTTTTGGTTGGTTTTTTGTGTCTTGTGTGGGGCCAACTTGAGCTTGAGCCCTTTGTATCGGTGTGTATGGCCTGACCAACTCTCACCTCAGCGCTCTTGCTGGATTGCCTTCTCACGGCGGGAGTGGGAGAGTGAGAAAGAGCGTGTTTTAAGCGGTCATGCATTTTCTTTCTCTGCTGTTGTCGCCTTGTCTGAGATTTGTTTTGCGTGTTTTCTCGCGCCCATGCAGCGGAAAGCTATTCGCCTCCGTCTTCTTCTAGGGTGTTTCTTGCGTAGTTAAAAAGAAGAACACCCTCTTCGTTTTCCTCCCCTCTCCTTCTCCCATTTTTCACTGCCCTTGTCGGTTTGTTTCCCGCTCCGCCGACCGCGCCTCCACAGCTTCCATACGGCTCAAATCTATTCGGTCTTTCTTTCTTGTTTCTGAAGAAAGACCGCCGTTGTGTTCTTCCCCCGATCAACACCTCCGAAACGCACACACAAACGGACAGTTACAAAGACGGCAATAGGAACCACAGTAGAACAAAAGAAAACGACGGCAGTTTATGAGCTGGGGCGGCTTCGGCAACTACAGCGGCTATGCCTCGGCGTACGCCAATCGCGGTGGCTCATTTCCTTCTTCCTCCTCCTCGCCCAACTACAGCCGTGGAGGCTATCGCGGAGGTGCCGGGGTGGGTAGCCACGGCTATGGCGGTGGCGGCTACGGTGGCTACGGTGCGGGCGGTTCCTCCTATGGCAGTGGTGTGAACAGCAGCGTGTCGGCGTCGTTGGGGTACGGAGCGGCCGGGTACGGCAGCAGCAGCAGCACGGCCGCGAGCCTCGGCACCGGCACCGCCCGCATCGCAGTCATTGGTGCCACGCAGGCGGCCTTTACGAACTGGTGGGCGATGCACGCTGCCGGCTTCCAGGTCAGCGTGGTGGTGGGCGTGGATGATGTGAAGGGTAGCGGCAGCGAGCGACAGGCAACGGGGGCGCAGGTGAGAGGGGAGGAGGAGGAGGCGCGGAGGGCGTCTGCAGAGACGGCGCGTGCGTTTGCGGTGCGCTGCACGGAGTTCTATCACCTCCCTCGCAAGGCCACGGCTGCTTCTCCACCCACTCCCACCGCTCCCCCCGCACGAACAACCACCACGTCGGGTACGACGACTTCACCGGCAAAGCAAGGAGCCACGGATGCCCCTCCGCCTCCTGCAGCGGAACCCGCAAAGAAAGAGGTGGTGGAGGTGCGCGTAAAGATATCAGACGAGTCCGCAGACGAGCCAGCACCCACAGGCGCCGCGACGACAACGGCGACCACCACCACCAGCACCGCTGCTGCCGCGACGGCACGAACGGCTTCAGCGCACCTCACACCGCAGCCGGGGACCGCAGACGGCAAAGGAGACGTCAACAGCGGCCCGTGCATCACCGCAACGGCATGGAGTTACTTTCTGAAACCCTTCTTTGATGCCACAAAAACAAACACAGAAGACAAGGACGGCGGCGTCGACGCAGCCCCGTCGCCAACGGCGGCAGGCGGCAGCAGCCGCTGGTCTACCTGGTCTCGCTCACAAGACAACACAAGTAACAGTAACGCTGCCGCTGCTGCGGCGGCGGCGACTACACCGCTGATCGACGAGGTCGAGGTCATCTACGTGACATCAATTCCGCGCAGCAGCAACGACGCGGAGGCACACAACGGCAACGGCGACAACCGTGACGAATCCGGGGTGCGTGCCGCTCTTGTCTGGCTCATCGGAAAAGGCAAACACCTCGTCGTGGATTGCGCTCTGTCTAGTGACACGCTGGCCGCCTGCGCCGCCGCTGCCGCCACCGTCACCCGCGGCAAGCCGGCGATGCAATGCGTTCTCTTGTACCGCGGTGGCGGAGTGCGGGTTGGGTGGTCGCCTGCCGCGATGACGCAGCTGCGAACGGCGCTGGCGGTGCGTCGGGGGACGGGACAGGCGTCGAAGACCAGCAACGTGAAACTTGAAAAGCCCGCGCTGGAGAGCACAGCAGGCGCTGCCCCCGCAAAGACGATGACACCGGCTGTATCGGCGGCAGCATCTGCGAAGGCGAAGCCAACCGAGGCTGACGATCCGTTTTCTGTATTCGAACTCATGGATAGCGTTGGCGCCGGCGCCTTCGGTGGTGCCCTGAAAGAGGCGGAGAGCCACGGCCACAACGGCAGTCGCAGGACCAGCATCAACGCAACTGCGGTGAACACCGAGGCTACGCGGAAAGAGGAGAGTGCCAGTGCCGCGGCCGGCACGAAGCAGGCGGAGGAGAAACCGAAGTGCAGGTCTGCCTCGCAGATTGCGACGTCGATTGCGTTGGGCGCGGAGGGCGGGGTGGCCGGTGCGCTGCAGCAACTCCGCTTTACCGTATGCGGCTCCGGGATTAGCTGCGGTGGCGGCTGCGAGGTGCCGTGCGCGGCCTCGCTGGGTGTGATGGACACGTTCGGATGGGACGCGGTGGCGTGGGTGCTGCACCTGCTTGACTGGACACCGCCGGACATGGTGCAAGGGCGAGTGGTGCGTCGTGCTACTGCGAACAGTGCGCCTCTGTGCGTGGAGGCGGAGTTCTACTACGGTATAGATGGCACCGCTGAGGCGGACGAGGAAACTGATGCCGAAGGCGACAAGGAACGTGATGGTGACGAAGGTGGTCCACGAGTGGCCCGCCCGCGCTACCTGCGTGTGTTACTGCACATCGGCGCCGGCGACGCAGTGCGCGCGGACACCGGCGCTGCGGAACCGGGCCCCGGCGTATTCCAGCAGTGTGTGCGTGCGGTGGGCACGACGGCGGTGGTGACGGTGGACCACCCGCTGCTGCCGCCGCCCTCGCTGGCCAGCACCACGCTGGGCAGTGCGACTGAGAATCGATCTTCCTCGCCACCACCGTCCTCCGCAGGCCTTGCCGCCTCGCCGTACAAAGCCACGTTCACCACAAGGGTGACGGGTGTGGGGGCTGCTGCTGCTACGGCCGCAGCGACAACCCCCCTCCTGCCTGCAGTTCCGGGGATCGCCTACAGCTACGTGACGGCCACGCAAGACGTCCCGCCCGGCTCCCACCAGCGCGTGCGCAAAGAGCAGACGGTTGTGCTACCCAGCACAGAAGGGGAGCCGTGTGCCGAGGCGCGGCTATGGCAGCACGTCCGTGCACAGCTGAACGTGACGAGCTCCACCGTTACCTCGTATGCCTCATCCCTCGCGGGTACCGGTGGAATGGGTACCGGGGGAGGCTACCAGACCTACGGCTCCCGCTACGCCACACGTGGTCGCTACGGCGCGAATATCGGTTTGGGTGGTGCGGGTGGCTACTACGGCCGTGGCCGGGGCGGGTCGGCAGGCTACGGCGGTGGCCGATTTGGTGCCGCTGCTGCTTCGACGAGTCCGACGGTGGCGGTGAAGACGGAGTTGACGGCGCCGGAGGCGGCCGCGTTGGATGTGCAACGGGCGTGGCTGGTGCAGGTGGTGGTGGAGCGCGTCCTGGCCTCCGCCGAGTCCAACGGAGCACACGTATAGAGAAGTGGGAAAACAAACAAGGGAGGTAGAGGTGGGCAGCTCTGGCTCTCATCGTCGCTTTCCTTCCGCGCAACATGCCTCCAATGATTTTTTTGGCTTCTTTTTTTTTCTTTTTGTTTTGGCTCTTCTGAATCGATATCGAAAGAGAGCGTCTACGACAGCTGAGGGGAAGGAGTGTGTACTTTATGTGGTGAGACGAGTTACGCACGAGTGGGGCGACGGAGTCTTTTCCCCGGTTACGATGTTGCACCGCTTCTAAGGGGTTCCGCCGCTTCTTCTTCTCACGCCTCTGGATGTTTTGGTTCGGCAGAACCGACGCATTCGGGCCCTATGCCTTTCCCATTGTTTCACGGCTGTTACTCTTCTCTTAGCCGTTGCATGAACCCTTTTCTTCTCCTTCTCCTCTCTCCCTTACCGTGCAAAAGGTCGGAGCTGCTAACGGTCAGTAATTAAACACAAGGGACGCGGTTTCTATTTTTTCTGTTGTGAAGAACCAAACGTAGGCGTACTCATACAAACAGCGCGCAATCCATCAGTTTCGAATGACCGAGGTGTCAACGTTGCACAGCGCGTGGGACGTGGACCGGCACATCGTCCTGGACTCCGCCGAGAAGTTGGTGTTGGTCCGCTTTAGCAGCTACACATCTTTTGCCGAGGAGGTGGAGGATCACCGGCAGCAAGAACGCGGTCGTGCAGCACCGCATGCGGCGTCGAGGCAGCGTAAGCGCGGCCGTGACGACGACGCTCTCGCCGACGCGGCGGCGTCCCTGCTGCTGCAGGACGCAGACGAGCACTACCTGCGGACGCGACAGATGGACGCGCTGCTGCGCGAGATCGCACCAAAGATTCGCAAGTACTGCACCATCTTTCTCGTTGACACGCGCGAGGTGACCGCCTTTAACGACCTCTACGAATTAGGACACGACCGCGACCCCTTCGCGGTCATGTTCTTTTACCGCAACCGGCACATTCGCGTCGATGTGGGAACCGGCAACAACAACAAGGTGAACTTCTTCGCCTTCGAGGATGTGTACGACTTTTTGCCGGTCGTGGACGCCGCGTACAAGGCTGGCAAGCAGGGGCGCAGCATCACGAGCTGCGACAAGAAGTTTTCGACGGTAGCGCTGCGCCGCTAGTCCGTTGGCTCTCTCGCACATACACGCACACACAGACACATGCAGAGATGACTCGCTCCCCCTCAAAAGGCAATTCATTACTCCCTTGCGTGTTGCGTACGCAATGCGCTTTTTTTTTGCTGTTTGTGGAGAACAACTTACCGTTGGGTGCAACAGGAAGACTAAGGCCATTGCCGCGGGGTCTTTCCACAGTCATTTCAATGCCAAAAAGAGTGAGGAAAAATCTCAAGTAAAGCTGCGAAGAGGACTTAACAGAAGAAAACAGCGAGGAGGTCTTTTTTTCTGTTAACTTGGCCGTACTGGACACGATTCCAACTTACTCAGCCTATACACGGAGAAGACACGGCGGATTCTCTTCTCTTCTCCTCTCTTTTATTATTATTATTATTTATATTTTTCACCTCCGCTGGCGCGGTCTTCTTTGTTCTTGGTATTTCTGACAAGTGACCTCTCTACTCCCTCTCCCCCCGCCCTCCTCATTCTCGCTGATCCTTCCGCCCTTACGCTTCACAATAATTTTTCAAAAATAACTTTGATGTGACTTTCATCGCGGCAGATTTATCCATTTAGACGTTCAAAGCCGCGTAGTTATAAACTAGGTAGACAAAAATACTTTGTTGTTTTCCTACCATTATTTTTGTTTTTTGTATTTCCTCCTTTTCATCTTCTAAAAAATTGCCATTGCTACACAGCGCGTAGGCTCGTGAATTTGATCCGCACTTTTTTTTCTTTTGCTTTACTCTCCCTCATCACAACAGACATACACATACCCACACATACACACACGCAAAGGCATGACTCGCCCGTTCTGCGTGGTGCGCCGCCGCACGTTTCTGTGCGTGACGCTGCTTGTGCTTGTGCTGGCCATCGCCCTCGCCTTTGTGCGGGCGCAGGATGACGCCGCCGCCGCCGCCGCTGCGGGTGCCGCTGATGCCGTCCAGCAGCAGCAACAGGAGCAGCAGGAGGAGTACGCGGCTCCGGTCACTACCGCAGAAGAAGTCGCACCGGTCAGCGAGGAGGAGAAGCCCCAAGCGATGATGGAAGAGGCACAGCCCTCGGCTGAAGCCCCAGAGAACGTCGCCAATCCCAACGCCGAGGCGGAGGCGGCGGCACTGCGGCAGCAGCAACAGGCCGCAGCGGAGGAAGCAGAACGTCAGCGCCTGGCCGCAGCGGAGGAAGAGCGTCAACGCCTCGAGGCAGAAGAGCGCCAGCGCCGTGAGGCCGAAGAACGCCAGCGCCGCGAGGCCGAAGAGCGCCAGCGCCGTGAGGCCGAAGAACGCCAGCGCCGCGAGGCCGAAGAGCGCCAGCGCCGTGAGGCCGAAGAACGCCAGCGCCGCGAGGCCGAAGAACGCCAGCGCCGCGAGGCCGAAGAACGCCAGCGCCGCGAAGCCGAAGAACGCCAGCGCCGCGAAGCCGAAGAAGCAGCGGCCAGCCGTGCCGCAGAGGAGAAGGCGCAGCGCGAGATCGACTCCGTTGACACGATCCGCGACGCTGCGAAGGAGCTTCCGGAAGGCTGCGCCAAGGCGGTGGAGAAGTACCTCTTCCGGGTGCACGAGGAACGTCGCCAGCCCGCTTCGGCCGTCAGCGAGGCCCGCGCTACGCTGAACGAGGCTCGCGTGAGCGCGCCCAAGAAGGTCGTGAGCCTCGAGAGGAAGCTGGCCTCTGCGCAGGACGCGTTGCTGCGGTACGATGTGCAGACCCTACGTGCCTACGGCGGTAACGTTCCGAAGACCTGCATTTCGGAGGGGCAGGCGTGGTACGACCGCCAGCCGGCCGTGGAGTCGGCGAGCACGTATGTGCAGGCCTATACGCACTTCTACCGCCTGATGGCAGCGCACTTGTACACCATGTACCGCACCGCCGAGGGCCTCGTGCACTACCTCATGAACGCCTACACGCCCGCTGTCGCCTCCTTCACAACCACCTCCTCCGAGTACCAGAGCAAGGCGTGGGCGCTCTACGAGAAGCTTTTCCCTGCTAAGGGCAGCCGCCCCGAGATGCCGACGGCGGAGTTGGCGAAGCAGGTCGCAACGATGGTCAGCTACGCCGCCGTGCCCCTCGGTCTCGGCGTTGCCGCTGGCGTCGTGGCCGTTGTGGCCCTCCCGCCTGTCGCCGCTGGTGTGCTTGTCTATGAATTCCTGTATAAGATCTGGGCCGAGCTCTTCGTCTTCTACTACATCTACGGCATGAAGCTGCCGGAGGGTCTCGTGACGGCGGCGAAGACCACAGTGGAAAACGTGAAAGCCGGGGAGTGGGGCACGCTGGGCTCCCGCTCGGCCGACGCCTTCTTCGACCTCGTCATCGACTCCGACAAGATCTTCTACAACGGCATCCTCGCTGTCTTTCTGATGGTGCACATCGTGGCGATCGCGGCCATTTTGGTGTGCGTGTGGTGCCGCTGCTGCGTGCCCGGTATGCGCCGCCGCAAGGCGAAGGCGAGCCCGCTGCGCGGCAACAACAAGAACAGCAAGAGCAAAGGCGTGAAGGAGAAGACCACAGCGGAGAAGAAGAAAAACTAAGCTGCACTTCGTATTTCCCCTCCCGTAGCCCTATTTATTTCTTCTCTCACTTTATTTTTTTCGCGGTGCAGGTGTGAGATGAGGCGAGGGGAGAGCGTGCAAGTATCAAAAGAAGATACGCACAGCAACTCCCAAAAACCGATAGGAGAAGCGAAAGAACGGTAAAAAGAAGTGTCGGGCGGTGGGATAAAACGGTGCTGCAAGGCGGTGTTTCTCAACAACCGCCGAAGCTGCACCGGCTGTCTACGTCGTCGTCGCCATTTTCTGTGCCGGCGGCATCCCCGCGCACACGGGATGTCGTTTCACTTACTATTATTATTTAAAGCTTTTTCACTTATAACATTTCTCTCTCGCTACGTCCACGTAATCAGCGTTTCATATATATGGTTTTTACTCTCTCTTCTTCCTTTTCTTTTTGCTGGTGAGTTGGCAGTTGCGTGGCTTCCTTGTATTGCGTCGCGATGGGGCTTTGTGTGTGTGTCTGTGTGTGTGTGTGTGTGTGTGTGTGTGGATGGGTTGGGGAAAGAGCCACTCGTACGACTACTGTGGCGTGGAGGGCGGCTCAACTCTGTCTCCGCTGTGAACCACCGTGGTCAGGTGTTGTACATGGACCGCCTCTTTCTTCATCCCACGGCGGCTTCATTCCCTTTAAAAAAAAAAAAATATGCAGAAAGAAAGAAGTGGGTGAGCGACACGGCGTAGCGCAACGCAGCGAAGCAAAAGGAAAAGAGGAGAGAAAAGTAGAAAGCAGACGGAGAGTGCGACTCCATACGTCTGCGCGTTGTCTTCAACGGTTTTTTTTTTAAGCCGGAAAAACAAAGGTTAAGTAACGAACTCTTCTCTATACATGCGGTCAACAGGAGAGAAAAAAAAAAGATTGTGTTGGGCGTTTGCTACTCTGTGTTGGGATGTGTGTATGCGTGTATCTGTATATGTGTGTGTGTGTGTGTGTGTCTGTGATGTGAGATCGACGTGTACATCTTCTCTTCCGACGGTTGTACCCAACTGGGCTGAGAATCAAAAAAAAAGCCCGACGGAAAGGAATGCCACCGCCCCCTCAACCAAAGCGAATTCACAGGCCTGGATGTTGTGTATGGCTTGTCTGCAGCGCTAACTCGCTGAAATGCGCACAGTCGACCTCCCTTCCTCTAGTTTTACGTTTGTTCTACCGAAAAAAGACGTATATATCGTTTTACGTTTTGTTCTTATGCGACAATCGTGTGAGAAGGATCCAGTCCAGTATTCTGTCTTTCCTTCAACAACAGAAAGAGAGTTGTGTGCGAGCTTGTCAGGAAGTCTATCGCAGTGTCTCATATCGTGCGTTCGCCAGGAAACCGACGTATTTTCTTTTTTTCTTTCTTGTTTGCAACACCAAACAAAAACAAAAATATGGGCTGTGATTTACTTCTGGAGGCGCGGTCGCATCGCCTAAAAGAAAAACGGAAAAGAAGCTTTCGTGCTATACTGTTTGATGACATGAAACCAACGATTGAAAACAAAAAAGAGACCACAGAAAAAAGTGGTGCTGCTGCCGAACCTTGTGAGGACAAAACGACTGTGTGCGCGCCCACTTGACGTCGACACGCATTTCTCTATATCGGAGTGAGGTTCAGAGTTTTTCTCAGCTAACTTCCGCAATTGCTCTCCACGGAGGATCGTATGGTGACTCAGCTCAGTTCGTTCTGTGAAACAGCTCGATTAAAAGGAAAAGAAAAAGAAGAGAGGAACTGCGCCGTGTGTACCATGTACTCTTCGTAATATCAAGAATCTTCACCCGAAAAGGCTGATGGCGTAAATGACGTATGCTTCGAACTCTCTCTCTATGTATATTTTTAATGCTTTGTCAGCCACCTCTATCCCGCGGCTCCTTTGCCTGTTTGCTATTGCTCTTGTCTCTTTGTGTGTCGCATTGCCGTCTCTGCGTGCACCACTGTCACTATCAATGCTCCACATTTCCTCACCAGTACACTCGCTTGCCGATACCACCGAGGTATTTTTTTCGTTTTCGCCGCAAAGCTCTTCAACGCGGTGTAGACAAATAAAAACGTTTTAACATTACCCGACTGTGTAAAAGCAAGAGGTGAAAAGGAGGAATCAACAGGCTTGCGTGGTGCTTTGTTGCTTCGATACTTTTCTTTCTAGATGCAGTGGATTCCTGGTTTTCGCGTTTTGCTGTCGTGACGCGTAGAAAGCACTTGTACTATATATATATATATTTTTTTTTTGCTTTCTTGCGTGTGTTCTTTCTTCCTCCAGAATCAGCGGCAAATGGACGGCGGCAACGGCAACGGCGATCGGCCGTCACCGCGGCGCCGCATCATCCGCCGCTCCACCGCCGCCCGTCGGCAAGTCGATGACGACGGCGTCAACGGAGCTCCCGCTGCTGCTGCCCCGGGCAACGGCATCGCACCGTCGCTGCGGCCGTCCGCCGTGCCCCGAGCCCCTGCGCCGCGCATCGCCGGACCATCTGCCGCCAGCAGCGCTGCGGGCGGCGGCATCGTGACACCGCCGAGCACGGCAGGCTCCACGCCCGTCCCACGCAGCCCCGCACCGGCCCCGGTTCTCGGTGTTGCGGGTGCCGCTGCTGCTGCTGGTGATTCGCCGCCTGCTCCCCCTGTCAACGAGGCAGCCCTCGTCCCCCTCTCCTCCGCAGCCGCCGCGGCGATGGAGTCGGCCATGGCGAACCGACGCAGCCTGGTGGACCGCACCCTCTTCAACGCAATGACCTTCTCCCCCCCGCTCTTCGTGAACAACGTCTCGCAGCGGCTGCTATACCCTACGCTGCAGAAATACCGCGCCGAACAGAAGAAGGTGATGGCGTCTTCCGGTCCGGGAGGCGGCGGCGGTGACGGCAGCGCTGGTGGCGGTGGTGGCGGTGGTGGTCTACGTGCGGACAGCGAAGCAGCGCGGCTCCTCGGCAGTGACGGCACCTCCCTCTTCGGCAGCAGTCACATGCCGATGAGTATGCGTACGCGCGCAAGGGGTGGTGGGGGTGACCCTGACGGCAAAGGCGGCGCGACCATCGATTACCGCGCCCTGGCTGGCCAGCTGTCGTCGACCCTGGAAGAGGCCACCGAAGACGTGCGTCGACTGCTGGAAGAGGAGGAGTTGACGCTGCACCGTGAGGAGGTGCGCTGCAAGCGGGTGGAGATACAAGAAAAGCGGCGCCTCGCCACCGTTCGACTGGGCCTCGAGGGCACATCCGCTCGGCTGCAGATCTACGAAAACCGTGTCAGCAACGCGCAGGCCGCCACGGCCGGCATCGAGCAGCACTTAGCGCAGTCCAACGCACGCGTGCAACGTGGTAAGGCCGTCTCACAGCTGCTGCGCTACTTCAAGATGATGACTACGCTTTCAGCCGGGGAGCTGCGCGTGCTCTTGGACTCCATCTCCGCAACGCGAAAGCTGCAGCGAGCGGCTGTGACGACGCGCTGGGCATCCGGCCGCGTCTCCGCCTTTCGCCCGCGCTTTTACACGACGGCGGTGAACATCGCAGCGGTCGCGGCCTCGTCCAATACGTCCTCAGCCGTGAGCGGTGGCCGTCAGCGTCGGCGCAACTACCCGCCGAGTCAGCCGGAGTCCGCGTCATCGCGGCTGGCGGGTGCGGGCACAGGCGCCGCCGCAACAGCGGACGAAGATGCCGCCAACAAAGCCGTCGGTACACGGCAGGTTGGCGGGGAGGGGACGGCGGCGGCAGCAGCAACAGGGCCGTCGCGACCGCGGGTGTTCCGCCGTGGTGGTCGCCGTGCCGCGGCCAGCCGTGAGGCCTCACTCATGTCCGGCCAGCAGCGGCGCTCTCGCCACCCTTCTCTGGAGTCGGCAGACGGCGGTGATGCGGAGGTCGGGCACCGCGCAGCCGAGACCACACCAGAGGCGACAGCACTGATGACGGACGGCGTTGGTGGCCCGGCGGAGGACGAGGAAGACGAGGAAGACGCGGAGGAGAACAACGAGGACGTCGACGGCGACGCGATCGTGGACTTGTCACAGGTCCGCATGCAACGTTCGGAGGCCGCCGCTGTCGCTGCAGGGCTGGACCGGCTCTTTGCCCTGCGCTACAGCACGGAGGCGCAGGTGGAGTGGTGTCAGCGGCTGACCCTCCTCGCGAATGAGCTGGGCGATCTCGCCAAGAACAGCAAGAACGTCCGCCTCTACGTCGACTGGCTTCGCAAGGAGCTCGTGTCGGATCTGTTTCACGTCGTGACGTGCTTCAATGAGTTCTACGACCAGCGGAAGGCGACCGCGGTGCATCAGGCGTACGGCCGTGCGCTGCTCAAGACCCTCGGCCGCATCTCATCTCTCTACAACACCTTGACCTCGTCGAACGATGAGCTGCTGACGACGTTTTTCAAGCGCTCCATCAACGAACTCGGCCTGGCGCTCTTCTCGGAAATGAGCCCGAAGCCGCTCCCCAGCCTCCCGCTGCTGACGCAGGCCACCGACATGCGTGCTATGGACTTCTACAAGCATAACACGGACAAGGAGCTGCAGAAGACGTTCAACTTTCTCACGGACCGGATCAAGCGGGATGTCATTATCGTGGAGACCATCTTCGGCACGACGAACACCGCGCGACAGCAGCTCCTCTCGCAGGTCACCGACGGTGTGGTGAACCGCTTTCTCAGTCAACAGATCAAGCTGGCCAGTGTGGTGGAGGACAACATGGTGAAGGCGGAAGCCGCGCTGACGCCGCGGACGAAGCGCCGCTGCGGGGTGCGGGTGGCGGATGCCATCGCCTATCACCTCACGATGGAGACGCGGCTCTTCTCGTTCTATCAGCAGTACATGAAGGAGCTCGAGAACACCTTCAGCGCGAGTGAGGTGGAGTTCTTGACCCGGTTTGTGGATGTGATCTTTGCCGGGCGGGCCAGCTACGGCAAGCTGCGCACCGAGCTGAATCTGCTGAATCGCTACTTTGTGCTGATAGAAGAGAAGTACACACGCAATCTGCACCCAATCCCAGACGAGTTCTTTGACCTGCGCGAGGCGCACATGGCGAAGATGAAGGACGTCATGGACCGACTCGCGGAGGTGACGACCCGCGTGAAGACGTACGCGCTTCCCACGGAGGTCGGCGCCTACGTGTACGAGCTGATCAAAGCCACGTTGGTGTACGTGGGCAGCTACCTCGACACGGAGCTGCGCAAGGTGCTCGACTCCCTCCGCGGTGACCGCGACAACTGGCGGGTAAAGCCGAAGAGCGAGGATGATCTCCTCCGGCCCCCCAAGCCGGAGTCGCAGGAGTGCGCCCTGCGCATGCTGCTCTTCGCCCAGTCATCCCTCATGAGTCTCAACGACAGCATCAACGTGATTTGTGTGCCGCTGTTGCGGCAGCACCCGCGGCTTATGCAGAACGTCGAGGACGCGCGCGTGAGCGCGTTGGAGAGTCTCGACGAGCGATCGGAGCGGGTGCTGAACATGTGTGTGCAGGCGATCCTCCTCCGCTCACTCTCCATCCTCCAGCACTACCAACTGAAGAACGACTACCTGCCCAAGCTGGACGCGAAGAACGCCGAGGCCGACGCTGTCGCACCACCGTGCACGCGCGCCTGCACCCTCTTTTGCTACTACGTCACCCGTCAGCTCGACATGGCGAAGGAGTTTATTCGGCTCTCCAACGGGCAGCTCGCGCAGCGGCAGACGGCCTCGCAGCTGGCAACGGACGGCGCCATCGGAGCCGCCGTGCAGCAACACCAGCAGCAGCAGAACCTGGCGGCGCGCGCGGCGGCGACGGAGGCGGTCGGTCGCTACGGCGGTGCAGCCGGCGCAGCGGCTGGCCGGCCAGTCGGTGGTCCGGCCTTCAACAGCGCCCCCGCCGCGGCGCTATCCGGCGTCAGCGCAGTGCGGGCGCGGGCTCGGACAATGAACCTGCAGCAGCTCCTCTACGGCGACGGAGGGCCCTCGTCGTTCGTGCGCACCTTGGGCGTGTGTCTCTACCGCGGCATCGCTGCGCACCTGAAGAGCTTCACCGCGAACGATCGCGGTGCGTTGGTGTATAAGCAGGACGTCACCGCGTATAAGGAGGCGATGGGACCGCTGACGAACACACCCGGTCTGGGCGGGGCCGTCGTCGAGGTGCTGTTCCAGATGCTGAAGGAGACGAGCAGCTTGCTGATCATGCCGCTGGACCACATCAAGGAAGTGAAGGAATCTGGGACGCTGCGGCTGATGTCGGCGGAAGAAAAGCTGCGGTACCTGCGCATCCGCCAAGATGTGCGCGCCGCCATGAAAGTGATATCACAGTAAACCAAAAGGGGGGGGGGAGGAGGGGACCAACAAGCATAACAAAAAAGCCACATCCTCCTTTCTTAACTGTCACAGCCTTGTTTTCACTCTCCTATGTTTTTTCTTTTCTTTTCTTGTTGACGATCTGCTTGCTGTCAGGACGGCAGGTCCCTCGATACACTCGTGTGCAGAGAAGACCAACGAGGAGTCGACGACGCAAATTTGGTTTCGCCAAAAGAGTGAAAGTGAGAGGGAGACAACACTGCAGACAAGACTTCCAGTACGGGTTTCAAAGAAAAAAGAAAAGAGCGAAATAATAATATGAAGAATTATTTGAAAGAGTCATTCGTTTATCTGCTTTTCACTGGCTTGTTTTTCTCACTTTCCCAGAGGGAGACGCACCGCTGCTTGATACAAAAAAAAAACAGCAGCCGCACTCGCGGCGTGACCAGCTGACTCTTCCGCCCTTTTCCCTTCTAACGCTGCTCTTCTTCTCCGCGGTCGCCGCTTTCTTTCTCGTCTCCTCTCGCCTACTACGCCATTTCTCTGTGGACCGCAAACAGGTTGAAAAGCATAACCTCTCTCTCCTGCTCCTCTGTCAATGTGAGCGGACTGAAAAACAAAAAGTCACTGCAACTCCTCTGTTCGAGATCAAGATTACTACATAACTAAATAAATTTGGAAAACCTCCCTTTTTTCCTCTTTTCCGGTTGAATCTGATTTAAACCAGACGCCTTCGGAATGCGCCCTGCGCTTCATCAGGTCCGTGTCTATGCCACTCGCTAAATAAGTGCTCCTGTGAAGATTGCCTACTGAAAAATTCGACTTCACACATACTCTCACACAGACACATATCTGAGCTGCTTTGCGTGTCAAGTGGTTGGCTGTGACGCGACACATTCTTCCGCACAATTTGCAGCGGCAATCGTGATTCCGCACCTGTAATTTTTTTCTCTTCTCTGTTTCTGTTGCTCTTTTTTTTGAGGGGGGGGGGGGTTATTTTTCTCTTTTAGAGCAAGGCATTTTTTGAATCAGTTTCTGCTGTTCGGCGTTGTTGCCCGTGGAGTCTCTCTCTCTCTCTCTCTCTCTCTCTCTCTCTCTATATATATATATATATAGTTATCTTTGCACCTACAAGGCGTTCTTTATTTCAAGAAGAAAATATTGATCGTAGGTTTTTCCCCTTTTCCTCGCCGTGTGGTTAAGGTACGAACGTCTCTTCACGGTTGTCCCTCCCCTTTTTTCTAGATTGAAGCTTTGAACTGTGTTTCCTGCTTTTATACATTCACCATTTCAGGCGATACACAACACCTTTTTCCCCTTCTGTTGTCGGTGTAGTGCCGCTATTATTGTTATTGTTACTACTATTATTCTTCACTTCATTACGCGCTTCCGTGCAACGCCGTGTCTCCACTCTGACGGTATACTATTTCAACGTATCGGTCGGTACATTCTTTTTCTCTCCCTCTACCCCACCCCCTCCCTTCTCTGTCGTTCGCCGCCATGCAATCCGTAAAACCGCGGAAAGTGTCCTCGTTCTCCTTCTCCAGCCTCAGTGATCGCACGCACGACTTCGTCGACGACCCGGCTGGCATCACGCGCTCCTCGCTCACCCAAGAGAGCTGCCAGAACGACTCAGGGTGCCACACGTGGGAGTCGTCTATCGCAGGCGGCAGTGTGCTGACGCTGCCCCTGCATGCGCAGACATGGGTGCAGCTGACCCCAGGTGATGCTCCAGTAGGGCTGCGCTACGGCGATGACGACGACGACAACGTCAGGGCGGACCTCAGTAAAGAAAGAGAAGATATCGGTGAAGCGCTGACGCGTGTGAAGGCTCACGAGGCAGAAGAAGAGGCGGTGATGGATGTTTTTGACCTCGCCTTGGAGGCGGATGTAGAAGCACGACAGGACCGGCCTCGCCACCATCACCACCGCCACCACCATCGACAACGACGACGACGTCACCATGCATCTCTCACGCACTCAAATCATCTGCTAACTGCTGTAGCAGGCGATGCGTCGAGGAACGAGAGTGCCGTCAACGAACTCGCTTCTGCTGCTGCTGTCGTCAATTCGAAAGCGTGCACTAACGCCTCGCACACGTTCTCTACGGTGGGGACCGACGCCGCGACGAGCACGCGACACAGCCGAGTCAGCAAAGGATGTCAGGCGACGGCGCCGTTGAGTGCAGCCTCGTCTACCGCCATTGCCGAAACCCCTTCCATCTTCTCCGGTAGCATCCCGCTCTGTCCAGAGGCGCGACTGCAGCATTTGAAGATGCTTCTAAGTGAGACGCGCAGCCTGCACGAAGCATTCTGGAAGCAGCTGCAAGATCTCCAGCGTCAAGAGGCGAAGGAGACGCAGCAGCAGCGAAAATGCGAGCGGCACGTATACACGGCGTGACCAACAAGCGCAACTCCTGTTCTTCTTTTTTTATTATGCCAAACATCCAAAACGTAAATTGGTCGGCAAACTAAAGATGTAAGATTCGTCTCTCGAGACACTAGCAACTGCTGTTTGTGGTGAAGCTGCGGCGAAGATGCAAAATCAAAACTAATTCGAACGATAAAAAAAAAGAAAGCAAGGACTGAACGACTAACCTCTTTGAATCAGCACAAGACAATAAAAGTAATTCAGTTTTTTTTTTCATTTGCACGTTGTCTTTGCCCGTTTTTAGCTTCTCTCGCTACTTCCCTTCCTTTTGCGCGGTACCAGCGTTTTTCTTTTCTGTGTGGTTTTCTTCCTCATTTGGATTTGATTCTTCCGTTTTGCCTCTTCGACTTTCTTTTTCTTGTTTGTTCTGTCGCCGTTGATGTTGTTTATATTATTTTCCCTCTTTCGTCTTTTCCCTGAGGCTCTATGTCGCATCGCTACGACGGTATTTCGTTACTCAAAGATTTTTTGTACATATATATATATATATATATATGTTTTTTTGTTTCAGTTAGTTCTCTCTTTAGCTTGGATGGCCTTTGGAGGAATCGGTGCGTGCTGCAAATCTCGCTTCCTCTCACAGTTCTCTCATCGGCCTGGTTTTATTGTCCCCCTTGCGAGTGCGGTATAAAGCGTGTACTCTGCTCTCCCGACACATTCCGAGGAAAGAAAAAGGAAAAGTGGTGAAACCTGACAGGACGAGAAGATACCAGTTCTCTTCTTACCTTTTTCTCCCTTTTCCCTCTTTTGCTGTATTTTTCTATCTTTACTCGACCTTTCAAGCCCCGGTTTTCTTTCTTCCCTTTGCACCTTCCCCACACTGATATCAACGACTTATTTCATCCCTGTCAGAAATCGCTCTTGGAGTCGTCATGGAAACACTTTTCGAACTGTGATGAGCTCTTCGTAGCGCTGCTTCAACTTGACCTTTTTCTTTTATGTTTGTACTGTCGTAGTTGTAGTGTGCTTTAATCATTATAACAGTAAAAGGAAAAGATTATCGACTCTTCTCTGTTATGTTTCAAGTTTATTTTTAAATATATATAGTCAGTACAATTGCTGTTTTCACGTGTGCCCATCCTCCTCTATACCCGGACGATTCGATGTTTATTTCCTTGCTTTCTTTTTCTCTTTGGCTCAGCAACCACTTCTGCGTATTTCAATTTTTAAAACGTTTTCTTTTCTTTTCTTCTCTTCTTCTTCGAAACTCCGTACTTGGTGCCGTCAAAAATGCTGAGTAAATGCTGCATTTGTTTTGGTGGCCACTTCATTGATGTGTCCGAAATTTAATAGTGAGCTTCCGAAAGAATGAAAAGAGAGAGAGGCTGAATATGTATAACCTGCTTTACGTGGAGAGTGTTCAGCTCCTTCTCTTTTTCTTCTCTTGCGCATCCTATCTTGTGTTTGTCTTCCACGGTTCCCGCTGTTTTACCTTCACCTCTTTTTGGAGTCTGTTCTTTCTTTCTTCATGGAGCGGTCGAGCCGTGCATTTGTAGCCTTTCTGTTTTCTTCATCGCTACGCGTTCCGACAAACGTCAGCTCTTTCTTCTTTCTTCGTTTTCCCATTTCTTCTTTTGTCGCGCTGTACACCCAGGTGCAAGCGATGACATGGATGCAGTTTGTTGTTGTTTAATTTGTTTTATTCGATAGTTTCACCGCTGTTATCATTGCCGTGATAGGGAAAAAGATCACATTTTTTTGCCTTTAAGTAGATTTCTGATTCCTTCTCATTTATGTATTGATATCATCTTTATCGAATGCATCTGCGCGCCCGTGTGTGTGTGTGTGTGTTAATGTGTGTGTGTTTGTGTAATTCTTGCTATACCTCCTTTTTTATTATTTCCCTCTGTCGTTGATCGTTTGCCGCTTTGTGATGTCTGTTGTTGCTGTTGATGGGTCTCTACGTACACACACACACACACACACACACAATGTAGTGATATTACCCTCTTCGCCGCTCTGCTTCGATGGCTTTCTTTCCATGATCATTGCCCGATACAATGTATCTCGCAGTTGTTGTGTGTATTTGTGTCTCGGTGTGTATGTTATCGCTAATTACTCAGATCACATCTGTCTGTGCATGGGCGTATCTTTCTTCACCTTCTTCCCTTCCTCAATTCTGTTAAATGCAGTTTTTTTTTTTTTTTCGTCTGTTGTTGTATACGTCAGTCCTGCGGCAGTCACTTCGCTTCGTTTCCTCAACCAAGCTGCCCGTATATAAAAATAGTGATGAATGTGGTTTTAGTCGTTTCCACGACACGAAAGTGCTGTTAATGAAAGACCCTCTTTTTAAAGGTGAGAAGGACAACGTGAGCTGTTGTAATGTTTTATTATTCTAACGTGTACTCGCCTTCCCGTCCCGTACGGAGAGTGAGGAAGCCATTGGGTAGAAATGGTAGCCGCCCGCCTTCTGGTAAGAAATAGGAGACAGTCCTTCCTGACAGCGAAACTGCTGACACTGCTTCTCGCAGCCCACGGCACCAACAGCGACTGCAACATTCTCAACCTCAATACGTGGTCACGACAAGAGTTCAATGGAGCACCTTCTACGTCTATCTGCCTCCTCTCCTTGTTTCTGCTTTTCTGGGACACGCATCCTCCACCCACTCACGTCTTGGCGAAGCTTTACACACGCACACGTATCTAGCATAATACAATGCCACGCCCAAGTGACTCAAACCGCGGGGGCAGCGGTAGCGGCGGTGCACCGTCAAATGAGGTGCGGGAGGTCATCGAGCGGCGCACCAAAGAGCTCGCGGAGGAGTCGGCACAGCATGAAAAGAAATTCCTGCAGGGCCGCTGGGTTACCGACACCGCCGCCCTGCGCAACCGCGAGGCGCGCCGCCGCGAGCAGGTAAACCGTCAAGCCCCAAAAAACTTAGCGAAGGTGAACATGTACTACCAAATGGAGGCGGCGAACACCGGCTTGGAGCTCGACGCGCGTGAAGTGGCGGACCGGATTAGCCAGCAGGACATCGCGCAGGGCGTCGATCTGCAAACGCAGCAGAAGCGCTACAGCCTCGTGCTCGACAAGCTCGGACCGTACAAGATCGACTTCTCCATGAACGGCACGCACCTCCTGCTGGCGGGGCTGCGCGGGCACATGGCGAACATCCGCTGGAAGTCGTTCCAGCTAGAAGGCGAGACGCAGCTGAAGGATCGCGTGAGCGACGCCGTTTTCCTCGTCGACCACAGCATGACCGCCGTGGCGCAGAAGAAGTACGTTTACATGTACACGAAGGAGGGCACGGAGATGCACCTCTTGTCGAAGATGGCGAACATGGACCGACTGGGCTACCTGCCCAAGCACATGCTGCTCGCCGCCACCTCCTCCACCTACAGCACGATGCAGTACCTGGACATTAGCACCGGCGAGGAGGTCGGTGCCAAAGTACCAGCGGTGATGCGTGACCCGACGAGCTGCCTCGCGGTGAACCCCAGCAACGCCGTCGTGGCCACCTGCGACTTGCGCGGCATCGTCAAATTTTGGTCCCCCTCCGTCGTCGACCCGCTGCTGCAGCTGAAGGGACACAAGGGCGTCATTGAGGACATCCGCTTTCACCCAAACGGCCGCTTCTTCCTCACGTTGGGCGGTGATCACAAGATGAAGGTGTGGGACTGCCGCACGCTGCGCCCCCTCGAGGAGTACGCCATCACGTACAGCTTCCACACGCTGGATATCGCCAGCTCAGGACTGGTCGCGCTGGGCGGCGGCACGAACGTACACATCTGGAAGGACCTGTTCGCCGCAGCCAAGCCGAGCTCCCCCTACATGAAATTTAATCTCGGCTACGGCAACATCGCGGAGCAAGTCAAATTTTGCCCCTTTGAGGACGTCGTCGGCATTGGACACTCGCGTGGGTTCACCTCGCTGCTGGTGCCCGGCTCCGGGGAAGCAAATCCTGACTTCTACTACGCGAACCCGCACGAGACGGAGCGCCACCGAAAGGAGCGCGTAGTCACGAACCTGTTGGATAAGCTTCCGCCGGACACGATCTCGATGGACATTCAAATACCCGGCGTGAATGAGAAGCGACTGGCGGAGTACAACGAGAATCTGCGACTCAACCGCAAAGCACGCGCGATCCGCGAGAAGAAGATACGCCGAGCTGCGAAGTCGCTGGGAGAGGCGGCCCCTGCGGCGCTGTTAGTTGGCAAGGATGACGAGGTGGAGGAAGAGCTCGGCTACAAGGAGGCACCCAGGACCCGCGAGCTGAAGTCGAAGTTGGAGTTGCAGCGGGAGCGCAAGATGGCCAAGTGGGACAAGAAGGACAGCGCCGACAAGGTGCGCAGCAAGCAGGTGCTGCGGTCGTCGCGGATTGTCATGCGGAACCGCGCGCAGCGGGAGCGGGACGCCCGCACCGGCGTCTTCGACGCGGACGCCTTGGATGAGGCGGAGGCGGCGGCCCTCGCTTCGGCGGCGCGTGCGGCAACGCAGCACAAAAAGCGGCACCGACAGGAGGCGCAGGAGCTGGCAAACGACATTCGCGGGCAACTCCGCGTGGACTTCGACGATGCGCTCGAGCCGCAGCCGTTGCAGCGTCGCCTGCGTCCACGTGATGCGGAAGCCGGCGCCGCGAAGGAGCAAACCAACGCGGCCCTACGGCGCTTTACGATGTAGGGTTGACCTCCACGTGTGTGTTGGAACGTGTGGAGTAAGGGGAGGGGGGAGGAAGGGAGAGAGAGAGAGCGATTTCACCCCCTCCCCTCTTTGTCGTTGAACAGCATCTTCTCGTCTCCTTTGGAAGTTTTGTTGGGCACCTCGTGTGCTTTGAGTCCTCCGCCCCTCTCGTATCTGCTCCGGTCCTCTTGATCATCGTTGTTTGGCTTCTCCTTCGTTTTTCTAAATATTCTAATCTACGCTTAAAATCTTAACTGTTAACGACTTCGCCAGTCTACGTAGGATGGGGGCCGCGGCTTTCCTTTTTTTGTTGTTGTCTTGTGAGACGATCTCCCTCTTGCGTGTGCGTGTGCGTGTGTGTGTGTGCCCTGGTGGCAGTGCGTCTTTTGGCTTCCAATGATACATTAACATGCCGCTAACGAATGACGACCACAGTACGTTCAAAAGAAAAAGAAAACTAAAAGAAAAAGAATTCATTTAAAGCGACTGGTGGAGGTGATGCGGCGATGAGTAGATAAAAGGGAGAGCTGCATTCGTTTGACAAGAAGAGGACAATATGGGTCTTCTCAAATATGGTTGCAATCGCCCTCGCCTCTTGGCTTTTATCGAGAAAAGGAGAGAAGTTTCATAATTCCAGTCGCCCACGAAACTGTCACAAGTACGTCTCTGCACTTGTGACTATCTGTCTGCATCTGCTTGTTGGAAACACCAAAGTTCACAGATCGTTCGTAACACCAAGTGTACTCCCCTTCCTTTTGCAGACCACTGTTTTTTTTTCCTTTTATTCTTCTCGTCTTCGTATTTATGCTCTCACCTCTATTATTATTATTTTCGTTCACGTTCCTTTTTCCGCGCTACCGCACATCGCCGCAGTACATGTTGGTGTTTCAATTTTCGTGGACACATCATTCGCATCGTGTTTTCCAGTCTGAACGTTCCATATCGTGGCACTTGTATTACTATCACGACTACCACTTTTTTTTTTTAGTTTGGAGCTCGCTGTCAACAGGGGAAAACTCCAACGCGCCCGTTATAGCCACATTTAAATCGTCTCGTAGAAGTAACTCCCCCTCCTCTTTGTTCTTGTCGTATTCGTCTCTTTTCTCTATTTTTTTTTGTTTTACATTGATGTTGACAACACACCCGTTCGTGCTGTGAACGGCCCCCCCCCCCTCCCCAACCACACACACACAAACACACAAACGGCACGAACGCTTCACACAGGCTTAACAAAAAAAAACTTATTTAGTATTAGTTCTTACTCTTCTTTTTTCTTCTATTCATCGTACCCCCCGCCAATACGACTAATTCAGACGTTCATCTCTTTCTTCCCTTCTGTGCGTGTCGAGTTCGTGATAGAGATATCAGACTCCTCGTGTCCTTTGTTTTGTTTGTTTGGACACCTTTGTCACAGTCGTCTTTGAATAAGTTTTTTTTTCCCTTTTCCCTTACTACTGTTGGATTTGTGTTGGGACGTGCTGTCGTGCCCCGTTGCGAGTTGCGCCACCCTTCATACCGCCTGCCATCTAGGAGTCTGCGTTGCATGTTGTTGCCACGCATCGAAATCTCGTTAAAAGTTTAGGCTTTTCAAATTCGAATGGACTTTCGACAAGACCTCTTTAACCGCCGCGAGATCGTCGCCATCCTGCTGGACCTCGACGAGGAAACACTCCGACGCACCGACTGCGCGCTGCCACGACCACCGTCGTCGCCGTCCGTCACACGCGACACTCCGGCAACGCATGCGCCACCGCAAACCCGCTTCGATGTCGCGCGAGCAGCACTCATGGCGTTTGTAGCGGTGAAGCTGCGTTCGGCTCCGAATCCTTCTTCTATGTCCTTTGGGCTGTACGCCGTGCGTGGGGAGGGGCAGAGAGTGGATGACGTAGTCGCACTGGTACCTCCGACGTCGTCTGGTGGTCCGAGTGCGCGAGCTGTGCAAGAAGCACTGCGGGGGTTGAGTGCGGACTCCTACGCCAGTCGCACACACATCGATACCCCCGGCACTCCATTTAAAAGCCTAAAAAAGCATGAGGACGGGAGCCCTGAAGTGGTTGCGCCGTACACCGGAGTTTTGCAACGTCTCCAACAGCTGAAAGATTCAGTTGACGCGCAGCAGCAGCAGCAGCCGGCGACGACTAACGCGTTGACACCATCACCTAGCTTTACAGCAGTAGCAGCACTGTATCGGACACCCTTTCAAAGCAGCGGAATCTTTACCGTCGATGGAGTCGCTGCGATTGCGCCAGGAAACGTAAGTGAACGAGCGAGCAGTGACAGCAGCGGAGGTGTGTGCCTCGTTGTACACGGGATCGCGGTGCGTTCGCATAGCACGTCGCTACCGACTCTGTCGTGGTCCTCCAACGCAGCAGGCACGTCTTCCTCAACTCCTGTGTCGGAAGGAACAGAGTCGTCGGTCTGGCTAGATGTGGTGGTGCTCGACGGCTCGTTGGAAACTGCGGCAGTGACCGCTGCTGCTTTGTCTCCTTCACGAGAATGTGTTGTACACGGCTGTCGATGCACCTTCCTGGACCCGGTCGAGCTCACAGGTATCACGCATCGTGGCTTAGCCCTCGGCCCCGCGCTGGTACGCGTCATGTCTCTTCCCGAAGCTCGCACCTCTGCCTTCGTCCGCCGACCGCTTTCTTTCCTGAAGATTCTTCGCAGCACCAGTGCGGGCAGCGACGCCGTCTTCACCTCGGCCTCGTCCGGCAAGTCCGCCCGGCCCACCACGCCCGTCACAGCAGTGAGTGATACAGCGGTGGCGACGACGACGACGACGGTGCGCGCCGATCATAGACACCGCTCCCCGCCGCGGCCGTTAAGTGTAAATCGAGGGGCGGGCGGCGGCAACGTGGGAGCTTCCGCACCGCCCAACACCGCTGCTGGGGGAGGCGTTGCTGCGGAGCGGTCAGGCGTCGACTCCCACAACCGACGACCCACGCCGCCACGAAGCCCCCACCGCCGCCACAGCGGACCATTCACCCCCGCTTGACGCTCCCGCGACTGTCCTCGGGGTCTGCGTTGGCAGGTGGCGACGGGACCGCAGTGGGACACCCGCCCACGGCGCGTGCCTCACCACCAACGCAGGAGTCCGACGGGACAACGGTGCGGTCCGTGCAGCACGGCCGGCGGTGACGCAGCCGAACCTCTCCACCGTTGCCGTCGCCACGACACCACCGCAGCGTACGCAGCAGGCGATGGGGGACGAAAGAGAAGGCGCCGTGCCTCGCGCCACGCTGCGACAGTCCCCCTTCAGCGTGGACGAAGACGTGCCTGCACGCGACGTGAGCGCCATAACGGCGGCAGCTGGTGCGCATCGCTACGCTGACCGCTCTCCTGACGCGTCATTGTCTCCCCATGGCGAGGAGCGCACGTCGACAGAGGATGAAAAGCCTCGGCTCTCCGCCGCACAGCCGTCGTCCACTCTATTTGTCCCATCAAGACGCACCGTTGCCGCCGCTGGTCCTGTCTCGCCGAGTCTGAGTGGGCGCAGTCCGGAGAAAGCTTCCGGTATTCGACGACCGCCTCCTTATTCGCAGCCCACAACGATCAACACATCCGCGGCAGGAGCAGGTCGGTACACCGGTGTGGCAGCGACCACCACGCAGGCCCCGCTGAGCTCCGCTGCTCTGCAACAGCAGCCGCAACAACACTTCTCTTCCTCGGCGGCGTCGTCGTCGCCGAGCATGCCGTTTAGTCCACAGCCACCTTTCCCTGCCAACGATGAAAGCACCAACGGTACGTCGCCGCTGTCTCGTTCCAGCGGCGTTGACCCGTCCCATTTCCGTGCGACGCCCGGTTCCCACAGCGGAGGCATTCCATGTGCCTCTCTGCCGCCATCGATGGTGCCCGCAGGCAGACGTGTGAATGCTGCGCGCAATCCTCCTTTCACACGTGCGAAGCCGCCTTCTGACACACAGAAGTGAGTACATGTGGGAAGCGATGCACGCTTGCTTTGGGTGTGATCCAGTACTGTTCTTGTATCTCCCTTTCGCGGACTGGGATTGTCTTATCTGCTCACATCGTTAGCTTTTATTGGTTTTTTTTTATGTTGTTGTTGTTTGCTTTTGTTGTCTTGTGTGGGATTATCTGGGTTTTTTTTCCATGGGAGTATGTCTCACTACGGATGACAGGAAATGCTGCTGTGATGAGCCGTTTTTATCTCCTCATTTACAGAAAGACACACACACATACACACAATGACTTATTGAGCACGGATGAAGCCCCGGTTCTCAGAAGCGATGCGTGTGCCGTTATTCTGCCGGCTCCGAATGAAGTGAAGAGAGGGAGCGAGAGATCCGAAAAGGTCTTTCTTTTTCTTTCTATGTAAGAAAATGCGGAAACGGTTTCCCCTCTCCTTCATTTCCGTATTCTTTACTGCCTCGTCATCTCTGCGTTGCCGCGTCTTTCACACTACACACGCTGTGCTTTCAACGCTGGAGGCTGCAGAAGCTGCGACCTCGTCTGCTCACAGTATCGGGGGAGAGAGAGAGTAATGTGGTGGACTTCTCAAGACGTTGCTCGCCAATAGTAATATATATATAGACACACCCAATTCGCTTTTGTGATTCTCTCCCCATCGCTGCATTGGTGGAGTCACACGAACCCTTTTTTTTTGGTTCTTCTCCTATAGTGCTCCTCTTTGGATTGGAAGATTCACCAGTGGCACCTGCAGCCTTTATAAACCGCGTACGCCACTGCTGCTTTGGACCGTGGGGGAAAAAACGGTTACAACCACAAATATATACGCCACTCGTTGTTTCCACTGAACAGTACGGCGTGATGGGGTTGGGCATCGGCTGCCTGTACGCGTGTGCGCCCTTCACGCTCATCGCCTCCATCCTCCTCTTCATGATGGCGGTCATGCTGCGCGACGGCAACTGGACGTTTGAGGTGCTCGCCGCCAAGCACGGCTGGGACCGCAGTGCGAAGTCAAAAGCCTGTCGCAATGGCGGTATCATCTACATCTGCATCTCCGCCGTGCTGTGGTGCTTCGTGCTGTTGGACTCCTTTCTCATTCAGCTAGAGAAACTCCCCTCTGTTGTATCCACATTGTGGCGGCAGCGACGGCTGCCCAGCTGGCGTGAACTACGGCACAGCTCTCGAAAGCGGAGTGCAAAAAGTGCGCATCCTGCCGCCGATGTTGTCGTGGCCTCGCTTAGTCCTCACCCTCCGGCGCAGTCCACACAGACCCTCACCCCATCACCACCGCAGCAGAAACAGAATCAAACAGATGCCCAGCAGTACGCCCTCCCTCCCGCCACCGCGTCTGCCATCACTGCTCTTTCCACTTCTCCGTCCTTACCAGTTAGCGCCGCACGAGAGAGCCTCGCCGCCGCCCCGCCGTACGTCTCGAGTCCGTTAACCGCACAGGTGTACGAAGGCTCGCGCGGGGGGACGACGATGTCGCCTGCCGAACACGCACGGCGTGCTGTATCGCCGAGTGAGAACACCTCCGCGACGGCGAGTGTGCGAGAAGCTGACCACCTGCTTGGCTGAGCCCATCGACTCCATTGCGGAATGAGGCGGCATGAGGTCTGGTGTGTTCCCCGCTAAAGCTTTGGCTGCATGCAGTTGCCATGCAGTGTTCCCATTACTTTCACTATTGATGTGCGCGTTCGTGTGTGTGTTGTGCTTCATCGTCAAGGATGAAAGTACTCTTTGTGTTTTTATCGCGCATACCTTTCTTTGTTTTGTTTGCTATGGCTTCTTTTCCGCTTCCTTTTCGGTTGAAAAGAGAGTCCCGCTGGGCAGCAGAATGCGCAGTGAGAGGAGCGTCGAAGATGTGCGTGGTGATTCATCAGAGGTCGCTGCTTTTGTACTACACGTGGAATCTCAAGGAAAGAGGAGGGAGAGCGGGGGTAAAGAAATGCTTCTCCCCTCAGAAAAAAATCACATCGCAGTGCGACTTCTTTGCTTATCCGAGTGTGGGCCCGCCGTGTTGCCTCTTAAGACTCCGACCGCGCGTGTGTCTGTTCAACGCAAACCGCCCCGTGTCAACGATGTTGACTTACACACGCGGTGCATATTTGCACCGTTGCATCGAACCCGTTGTATCAACCGCTCCTTGTTTTTTTTTCCCGTCTTTTACTACCGCACCGAATGCCATCCGTTTGTCCTGCCCCTCCCTACGTCTCCGTGTTTGTTGCCTTTCCTTTCGTCGCGGGGAAAAACTCTCCCTTTTGCCGCTGTCATTATTGCGGATTTCTCATCGTCAGTGCATTTCGAGTGTTCAACCTGAACAGTAGGGAGTATCGTAGAAGAACAGAAAGAGTTTTGCTTTCACCCTTCTCCCACAGTGACATTCATCCTTGACGGTCACGGTGTACTTCCGTTTTGAGCTGTGCAGGAGCTGCCGTCGCTGGAGGACTGACGTTACATGCCTCTTTGTGCTCCGAGGCGTGGCTTTTCTTTTTCTCTCTCCTGCGACGCGGCTCTTCGCATGCACAGCACGTGCACCAACGCATCTAGTTCTCTACCCGGACTCTGTGTGTGCCGCACTCATTACCCCCAAACCGCAAAGGAACCATCCTGCCCTCTCACGGCAGCTCGCCTCATTGTTGTGGCTCTTTCTGTGCTTTTGCATGTTCTTTCTTTTCTCGCCCCGCGTGCGCGTCTACCTTCGCGGTTCCCAAAGCAGGCTTCGTTGAGTATCGTCCTCCGTTAGGTGCACGCTACGCATCAAAGGCTGGCAGTAGCACCAACGGTGTGCCGGGAAGTCATTGGATTTTCATTTAAGCTATTTAGTTGCCAAACGAATTCGTATATATAATACTCCTACTCTGAGGCGTTATTTTAAGTTAACGTGCCTCGCTGAACCACACGTAGCAACGGCGAGGTACATTTTATTCTTCGTAGGTTACTGGGCGATTGGTGAGGCTTTGCATTTCCGGTGTTGTAACGGGGAAAGAAAAACTGTTTTTCTCTCTCCAGTTTTAATATAAGTATAGTGATCTTCGATAATGTCGTTCATGTCTAGCTGTGTCGCCGTGTGCGCACCGCTCACGGCCGTTGCGTCCATCCTCCTCTTCATGATGGCGCACATGCTGCGCAGCGGCAACTGGACGTTCGAGGTGCTCGCCGTGAAGCACAGGTGGGAGAAGGAGGAGAAGGCACGTGTGTGTCGGCGCGGCGGTCTTATTTATCTCTTCACCTCTCTCGCGTTGTGGGCGTTGATGCTCCTCCACGCTCCACTGCTGCGCTTATGGATGCTGATGCCGTGGAGTCGAGACGAGCGGTGTGTAGGCGAGCCCCATACCCGGCAGGGTTTGCTGGCGCCGGAGGCAAGTAGCGGTCATATGAATATCTTGCGTAACGGTGGCGGTGGTGGTGGCCGCGGCGCGGCACTGCGATCGCAGGTCCGTTGTGGACCCCTGGGCGAGGAGGCGACGGAGATGTCTGCGCTCGACTGGGGAGAAGAAGGGATGGGTCCGTCGAGACACATCAAGAAGAGCGGGCTGGCGGTCAACGGCAGCAGTCCACTGACGGGTGACGACCCGGCGATCTTCAAGAGCACCAACGGCGTTGATATTGCCGTCGCCACTGCAGCGTCCCCTCGTAATGGTCGCCGCTTTCCCAACTTTTCGCGTAGTCTGACGGAAGCCAGCGATGGCACTCCGACCCACCCGCGCGACACGGCGTCCATCACGGCGGCCGGTGTCTCGACTGCGTGGGGCCGTGCACGCGGTCTGCACAGTCGCGCTCTGCAGGACGTCGCTGCGGAGCCGCAAGGGACGGTCACGATCCATCCCGACATCGTCCCTCCTGGGTCAGCCGTTCCTCCGTTACGCCCCTCAAAACGGCAGCAACAGCAAAGCGCGCAGGTTGATTGGTGGAGCCGCAGCGGCGAGCCGGACAGCGTCGACGATTCTGATTTTCTGTCCGACGTGGAGCTCGAGGGTGCTCGTCACCGCGGCCTGCGTCAGATTCGGGCGTCGGGCTGGGGGATGCAACGTGCTGTCGCCACCACCCGCCACCGCGGTCGTGTCACCGACGAGGGTGGGCCTCTCCAGTTGGAGGCGAATAGCAGCGGCAGACACGGTGGTGGTGCATCACCCTCAGCCCCAACTGCGGCGGCGGCGGGAGGCGAGACTCAAGCATCGATGATCACCACGCTGTGGCCGACAGCTCCGATAAGCGCTTCACGCTCCAGCTCGTCCGCGTCGAGTCCGCTTCGTAGCCGACAACGCGGGTCTGCAAGTGCGGGGCCGCCGCCTGCGACGCTGCGTCCCAAGAGCAAGCTCATTTGAAAGCTGCAGCGGCAGCCTAGTTGCTCCATTTTCTGGTTGACGCACGTGTGTGTGTTTGCGTGGAGGCTGGGCGTCAACGCCAGAGGTTACTGCGGGGGCGAGAACGTCGAAGTGGGTCATCCGTCGTCTGCGTTCTTGCCGATCAAGGGGAAACCTGCATATATATGTGGTAATTGTTGTGGCGCGAGGTAAGACGCGAGTGGCGCGTGCACTGCTCCGCTGGGACCGTGGGGAGGCCCTCACGAACCTGTACGTCTCGAGTAAAAGCAGTAGCTTGTTTCGTTGCTTTTACTTCTTCACTTCACTGCAGCTACAGCTGCATTATTGCAGGGGGGCAAAGGGAAAAGAAACTCATGTTGTTCGCTTAGTTTCATAAACACGAAACGTCGCTGGAGCATCGCTTACAAGCAAGCACATGTGAGCATTGCCTTGTGCAGAGAGAGACCCGGAAAATGCAGCAATGTTTGTCTCCTCTCCTCCTGTTTTCCCGGTGCGTGTCATGGGACCTTCTCGGCAATCGGCATTTACGTATTTGTTGAGACGGTGAGGGACAACTCCATCGCAAGTGATACTACTAGTCTCTCTCTTCCTCCTCCTCCGCTTTCCCCATTCCTTTTTTATTAATAATCTGGTTTGTCCTCAAGTGGGTGCGCATTTATTTTGGCAGCTGCACCGCTGCCTCCGTTTTTTCTTCTTTGCCTCTCCTGAGGATTTTGCTGCTGTAGAGTCAAATCAACAGCGAAAGCGGCTTCTACGCCGACGGAGTTTCTTACACAGTTTTTCTTTTTTTGAAGTAATTGTTTTTCGCCTTTCCATGAAGGCAAACAGCCGTGTCTCGCCCTCGCCCTTCTCGGAGACGGCAGTGAAGGCGTCGTCGCCGTCTGCCTCGCCGTCGCTCCCCCACGGCGCGTCCTCCAACGGTCGCGCCTTCCCGCTCTCCTCGCTGAAAAGACGCACACCGAGTCATCCTCGTCGGCCGTCGCAACAGAGCCAGTCATCCGCGTCGTCTTCCCCTTCCGCCACCTCGCGACCTCTCACCCCCGCCAGACCGGCGAGTCCTCCTCTCGCTTCTCCGCAGACGTCGGGACAGTGGGCAGAGGAGGCAGCAAGAACAGTCGGCGCAGATGCCACACCAACTTTTGCCTCTCAGGCGGCGATGTCGCCGCTTGCACGGGCATTGCAGGCGCGGTGGCGGCAGCAGCAGCAGGACATGTTAAGCCCCTCCGCCCTCACCGTCGACCGGCGGCAGCACACCACTGCAGAGCAAGACGCCCTGCGTGTGCTCGGCTCTATCGCGAAGTGGGTCGCGATGGCCGTCGAGGACGCCGCGCACACCGTCCCCTATCTCCTCGCCTTCGCTGTCGCCCCGCTGCCCTCGCTGCGGACTCAGGTGGTGGCGCTGGCGGCGCTGCGCGGGGTGCTGTCTTCACTACCCGGTGTGTACGGCACCGACGCTGCCCGTGCGTTCGTGGAGGACCTATTTCTGGGGGAGCATCAGGCCCTGAAGGCACTGAGTCTGTCTGCGCTGGTTGCGGTGGACGGCTCGCCTAGTGAAGGAGGCAACGTGAAGGGTGCCTCGCCGTTGCCCTCGGCTGCATCGTCATCGTCATCCTCCTCCTCCTTGCTCAAACGCCGAGGCGGGCACCGCAGTCTTCTCTCCCGCGGTGGTCCCGCGGTTCGAGGAGAGCTTGGAATGATCAATGGCGAGCTCTCCTCCACCTCTCCTCGTAACGCCCATGCTCCCCGGCAGTTCATCTCGTCTACGCGCCGCAACTCCCCCTCTCACGTAGTGCAAGAGGAGGCACCAGCAGTACAATCCGCAAGCAAGGCAGCCGAACTGCGCAGCCGCGTCGCGCACATCAGCCTGTGCTTACTGAACGATGCGGCCACGCTCTGCCGTTCCATCGCAGATGCCCTCCTGTCCAGCGACGCCTTGCTGAAGGCTTCCCTGCGCTTCCTCGCCACCGCCGCCGCCGCCGCGACTCCGCAAGCCATTGCACCGTCTTCTGCAGCCACGAAAACCTTCGATAGCACTCAACGCAACGCCGCGGACATCATTCGCGTTCTGCTGACTCTTCTCACGACGGAGCCGGCGCAGGATAACGAAGTGGCATTGGTGCTCTGCAGCTACGATGCCCCGCGTGCCGTGTGTACTCTCGCGCAGAGCTTGCTGTACCCGTCCTATGACGCCCGCGGCGCCGTGCGCGAAGCCGCGACCGTCGACGAAGGCGGAGGCGAAGCAGCGGAGAGGCTCCTGTGGAATTCGCTGAAGGTGCTGGGCTGGCTGACGCGCGGGTGCCCGTCCGGCTTGAAACACTACCTGCGCGAGTGCAAGTCCCTCGCCTCGTTTCTCTTCCACGCGCTCACTGTGCCAGTGGCCGAGATACGCGAGGCGGCCGCGTTGTGGCTCGCCGCACTCTTAGAGACCCAGGCCCACGCTTCTCTGCCGCTGGTGAATGAACTCCTCGATTGCATGCCCGCCACTGCCACCACGACTGCCGCAGAAGCGGGCGTGTCCACCATGGGAGCTTTGGTGGAGATGCTGCGCTGGCGGGGTGCGCAGATGCACGTGTACGGCGTTGCAGCCATCGTGTGTTGGCGGTGGATGCTGCTGTCCCACCCATCTCGTGTCGCCGCGGTGCTACAGCGGGACTCCAGCCTGCTCGCCACGCTGATGGAGCTTATCCTGCGTATTTCGCCTTCGTCCGCTACGCTGGTGGAGGATACGGTGGGAACTGCATCGGACGTCTCAGCTCACCGAAGAATACGCGGAGCAGAAGAGAAGAGCCCCTCGCAATGCCCCGCAAAGGCTTCCAGCGGCGCCCGAGAGTTAGCGTCCGCCTCGCTTCCGCTGCGCTTGATGGCCCTGGAGGCGGTGCACGTGTTGACGCTCTCTTTCGCGCTGGGCAGCCTTGAAACACGCGCGCGACTGGCAGCGCAGCTCGTCGGCGGCTCGCTCTCTCCCACCACCCTCCGCCGCCTGCGTGAGGCCGCACACTACCTCATAGAAAAGACCCACCCCGCGTACTACGACGCCTTCCCAGCGATGGAGGTGAAGCTCGCCGAGCCGGAGCTCAGCGCGGGCATGCGACGCGCCGGGGCAACACTCAACCCACCGACCGCTGTCGCCGTCAGGAGCAGCGAGTTGGACATCGCACCCGCCTCACCGCCCAGAGCAACCACAAGCGTGGTGGTGCGTATTACAGCAGGTGGGCAGTGGCGCCAGCTGATCGTGGAGAGTCTGGCAGAGTTGACCGCGGGCGAGCCGGCGGGGTCCAGCGAACTTGTCGCCGCCACTCGCACGTTGTCCTTGACGGCACCCTCGTCGTCCTCGTCGCGGAGGCGGACAGGGGGTGCGTCGCGGCAGTCCGCCAGCGACCGCCAGCACCACCACCAACTTCCGCTGCTGTCGCCTCCACCGCACCTACACAGCGCGACCTTCGGCCTGTCTTTAAGCGGGGACGCGGACGCTGTCGCGCCGATTCGTGTGCTGGGCGCCGCATTTCCCTCGTCTTCGTGGGGCAGTGGCGAAGGTGCAGAACCAGCAAAGGGTGACGGCAATGATGATGATGAGCACGTGGACGAAGAGGAGCATCGAGTCGATATCCACTCCATCGTCTCCGCCTCTCTTGCCGAAGGTCAGGGTGGCGCCGTCGTTCCGGCCGCCACCGCACTGCGCATGCCGCGCACCGTGCGGGAGGCGACGCTGCTTCCGACAAGCCAAAGCACAACTAGTTTTCGCTTTCGCGTGGTGCAGCAGGCGGAGGGGCTCGGCGGTCTCTTTGTGCAAGACAGCATGTGCACCGTCCTCCATCTGGCGCAGCACTACACGTCGTCCAAAGAACCCGCATGGGCAGGGCAGGACAGAAGGCGTGCCTCACAGATGCGAGAAAAGGCACACACGAGTCTCACAGATGCGTTGCACGTGGATGCGTTGGCGCATCCGCGCGGCACATCGCCCAGCGCCGTTTTCGGCTCTGCACCCCGCTTTGACCGCACCCTCTCCCCCACGAAGCGCAATCCGTTTTCCCCGGTCGCGAAGGTGACGAATTCTGACCGTGCGTGGTCGATTCAGGCGTTGCGGCGCGAAGACGTGCTGCTCTTTCTTATTCGCTACGCACGCCTCATGACGGAGCTGCCGGAGGCGATTGAGGCCGTGGAGGATCATCTGTACTACCTTCGACGGCAGCTGCAACTGTGCCCCACGCGAGACGTGCGCCGTCGCTGCGTGCTAAATGACCTGTACATGAACGTGTACCCCAGCATGCATCTCTTTCTGCGTTTCATCAATCAGCAAGCACGGCGGTCTCGTGGGGTGCTGCAGATGTTGTCGTCGTTGAACGGTGGCACGATTCACTCGGGGAACTTGCTGGAGGCCTACGATGCTGTGGGCCAGTGCGTGGGATTGTTTGCGGTGGAGTGAATTGAGAAACGGAAACGCATGACCGTTACGAGGATTCAGAGCAGCGTTACTGGTCATTCAAATCTAGCGCAGCGGATGTGTATTAGCTAGGCCAGTCACGACTCCGTGTGCGTGGGGTAATAATAATTATTATTCTTTTTTCCCTCCACGTTCTTAGAACTTTGTGTATATATACATATATGTGGAACGCATAGAGAAGCATCGAACTACGCATTCACGGTTCAAAACAACGTCATTTCAACAGATGTACGAGAAATTGTTCCGAGTGGGACAGCGAAGAGCTTCAACGGCGAAAACACACTGCGGTCGGGCTTTCCGAGGTCTCGCGGGAGTAGTATGGGATCGACCTCATTACGAACTAATCTCGTTTCCACTTCCGCTTCGGTTCAAAATGAATGTCATGCGTGAGGAGGGTTCATTTGTGTTTCTCTTCAGAGTCTTAGGTGCTCCTAACGTCGTGGCCAGCGTGTCGCCGACATTCCAGCGTCTTACCATTCTTTATTCTTTGCTCGCGTCTCTCCCAAAACGTCTTGTGCCACGTCTTCTGTGTCTCTTCCTGCTCCTCTTTGTTTTTAATGACTTTCTCGTGATGATGAGCAACGATTGTTTCGTCGTTGCTGTTGTGTATTACCGGGCTTATTGCGTGCGCAACGCCGAGCGGTGCTGCTGCGAAACAGCAGATCTACTTCTATCTGTTTATCCACCCTCGGTCGCTGTATCGGTTGATTGATTGAATTATTTTTTTATCCCCTCCCTTTCTTGTCATGGATCTGCGCAGTCGATCAGAGAGGCGCGTGGCGGATGGCAACGGCGCTGCTGACGCAGCCTTACTTGCAGACGACCCCTACGACGACCGGCACCGCCAAACCAAAGCGCTGGCACGGTTCGAGCGGCAGAAGGTCGCGTGGGAACGCATGCAAAAGCACCTCATGTCCGTAACCGCACCCGCCTCGTCGCGCATAACGAAGGGTACCGCCGCCACCAGCCGCGGCAGCAGGGAACTCGCGCACACGATGGGCAGCTCCGTGCCCAACATGGTTATTGCCACCGCGGCTGCCCGGTTGAAAGCCGAGGACGACACCCTTCTGCACGTCGCCACCGCGGCGTCGCATCGCGGTGATGGGAGTCACGCGTGGGAGGGTCTCCTGCGCAGTACAAATGAGCAGGGCACTCGGCGGCTCGTGCCCATCGGTCGCACCTGCCAACCGTACCCGCTCTACGGCGAGGTGCACGACCCGAGCACGCTGCCGGACGACCACCTCGCCTTTGCCCGCGTCGTCTCGGAAGAGGACGCGATGGAGGCGTCCAATGGGCTCGAGAGCCGCAGCCAGCCGTTCGCGCAGTCGACGCTGTCGGGCGGCGGCACGTGGAGCGGCGGCAGCAGCAAGCTCATGCGAGAACACACGGTGGCCAAGCAGCGCGTCAAGGCCGCCCTCACCAACACCACCACCACCAAAGCGGCTCCAAAGGACCTTTTCATCGACGAGGCCGCATCGCTTCCGCACACCGCGGCGGCCTACGAGGACGCCGAGAAGGAGCTCTCCCCCTCGTCCTACTACGAGGAGCAGCTGCGGCGGTTCGCGCCCTACGTGCAGAATCGGCTGGGGCATTTCCTGCAGCCCCGCACCTTCCTGCACGTGGAGGGCCACCCCGCTCCACACGCCACCCCCGAGGACGAGACGCGCCTGCGAGAGACGGCAGCGGCAGCGGCAGCAGACGGAGAAGACGACGCGCCGGGATCGGTACCACCGGTGGAGTACTTCCCTCCGCCCCCGCAACCACCACAGACGCAGCTGTGGACCTCCAGCGCCTTCGCCAGCCGTCTGCCCAGTCGGAATAGCGCCAACAGCGCCGCCGCCGCTGCTGCTGTTTCTGCTGCCGGTGCTGCTCTTTCGGTTCACAGTGCCGCGACGTCCGCGCGCCGTGCGGATCAGCGGAGTTCGATGGGTGAAAATGACGACGGCGAGGACGAGCGTGAACTCCCGCGTGACAGCATCGCCACCGCACAGCCGCACTACACGGAGTCGAGCACGACGGACGGCGACCACCACAACGACACGCAGCGCTCACAGCCGCCGTCGCCGCTGCACCCAATGCGGGTGCAGGAGAAAGTGACCTCTGTGCAGGCGGACAAGGGGAACAACGCGTTGACACTGGAGCCGCAAGACGGACCGGCGATGGAGCTGTCGACCCGCTCTCTCCTTTTTCGAACCTGTCCGCGTGAGCTACTGCAGGGCAGTGCGACGCTGCGGAACACGGGCACCACAACAATTTACTACAGCTGGGCAGTGGTGGACGCGATGCAGGAGCACCTGCGCGAGCTCTACGAAGCGGAGCACGAGGCAGAGAAAGACGAGGAAGAGGTGGCAGCAGCCGGTGGTGAGCAGAGCGACAGACGCAGTGAAACCAAGAGACATCGACAGCCAAAGGTCAAGCCAGACACAGCGCTTCCCTACGCATCCTTGAGTCTCACACATCAGTTGGCCGCCCACCAGCACAACGCGCGCGAGTCCTTCTTCTTCATGTCCGCCCCAATGAACGGCGTCGTGTTGCCGGGCGAGGAGGTCATCTTTCCCTTCTCGGTGCGGGCCACTCGTGAGGGCGTCTTCCAGAGCACCTACGAGCTGCTCACCGTACCGCCCGCGCCGGAGCGCGTCTTTGTGCGGCTGCGCGCCCTTGTCCAGCGGGACGGGCCGACACTTGAGTGGCTCGCCCGTCCCGTGGCCGCGGCGCTTGAGGCGAAGGTGGCGGTCGACGCGCAACGGCGACTGGTGCAGCACCTCAGCTCGAACACGCGCGCGATTGCCGCGTCGGCGCTGCACGATCGCGTAGCCGCGCTGGACGGCGCCGTAGAGGTGGCGAAACGGGCTGAGAAGGCGACACGTCGCGCGCAGGCGGAGGCGTGGCACAGCGCGAATCGCATGACCTTTGACCGCATCCCCTATCATGCAGCGGTGTACGACAAGCTGGCGAAGCTGTCCGCTGTGGTGCGGGAGACGTATGTACTGCTGAGCAAAGGAGACGACAAGACAGGCAGGGCGAAAGCCGCACCGCAGCCGCCACAGCCGAAGGAGAAGGAAACGGCGTCGGGCGGGGCGGCAGAGTCGCGCGTAGTTGACACTCCGCAGAACCAAGGCACCGCCCCCGCTGCTGTGGTGACAATCCTTTCTCCAGCTCCGAAAGACCCACAGGCACCACCACCGCCGCAACTGCAGCAGCAGCAGCAGCCACTTCCTCCTCCATCCGAAGAGGAAACGCTCTCCCTGACAACGATTCAGTGGGACGGCGCGCTATTGCCCCTCTTGTACCAGATCATGCACATCCGCGACAACGCCACACGACAGGTGTTTCTGGAGGCGGTGCAAGTACTCCTGCGCGCTGCTCGCGCCGCCAGCGATGTGAAAGCGGCCAACAAACCGGGGACCGGCAGCGGTGCCGTTCGCGGAAACCAACACGGTGACCCCACGACGGTGAGCGGCAGGGAGGAGGAAAACAACGAGGGCGGGGATGATGCAGAGGAGGAAGAGGTTCCGCTGACGATGCTGTTGCAACGTGCCGCCGCCGCCCTCGCCGACGCCGTTGTGTCGCGCCAGCAGACGATTGTGGAGAAGCAGTGTGAGGGTTTTTCCGCACAGCCCGTCAAGCCCGCCGCCGCGCTCTCGCTGTCGCCTGCGCCGCCGTGCGAAAGCGGGACCACCAGTGGCACAGGGAAAGGCCGCGCCACGTCCTCCTCGGCGCAGAGTGGGAGCGGCGGCAGTAGTGCTGGCAACAGAGCTGCGAAGAAGAACGCAGCCGCTCCGGGCAGCGCGCGTGGCGCCACCGCCGACTCGCGGGAGAACAAGAACGCCGCGTCTGCTGCGGACGGTGGTGCTGGCAGTACGGCGGCACCCCCCACGATCACCGCTGCACAGCGTCTTCTGATGAGTGCGATACCGGCAGCTGCCTTGGAGGGGTTCAGCGTGACGCAGGCCAATGCCGAAACGGCGAGGCTGTGGAGGGCGGCTGAGAAAGGCGTGGGGCAGGCACGCATGGAAGGCGAACTGGCGGCGGCAAAGAAAGCTTTTACGGAGCTACTCACCGCGCTGTTTCGCGAAGTCATCGACGCCGCGTGCGATCGCACACCTCTGGCGACCTGCACGGCGACTCGGCTGGCGGAGTTGCGAGAGGTGCAGCAGAGTACGCCGCTGGTGGTGGACATGAGCGTGGATCCGCTGGTCGCCCCTCCCGTTGGGAAGACGAGCAAGAGGAAGTAGGCGATCCTCTGTTTGATTTGCTTTGTCTGACGCATGTAATGGTAGCGCCACTTTGAGGCACAAAAACTTTAGCTTGGTAAATACATATTTCTCTTTTATTTATGTAGAGTAGGTCCGTCAACATACGCAGAACTCTTGTTTTTTGTTTGTGTGTGTAAGCGTGTGGTTTGGCCAAGGGACATGCGAGAGTAAAAGAGGCGATGTACATAGCTCCGCCCGGTATATCGTGATAAGATCGTTGTCTCCGATTGTATGTTTCTCTTTCTTCTGTGTGACGAACTCAATGAAAAAAGGGCAGCAACAAAGTAGCACAGCACTCTCTCCCTCTTTCGCGCGGACGTTGGAGCTTCTCCGCGGCTCCAGCAAGCGAGCGTGTTTTGTGGGATGCTTGATGAGGTCTTGGTGATAGGTGAGATTATTATTTACGTGTTCGTGTGTAAAAGCAAAGCAGCGAATAATGGGCCGAGTGAGTGTGATGGCACCTAAAAAGCAAGCATATATATATGCAGACACTTCGTCACATCCCCACCCCTCTCCCACCCTCTGTGTGTCTTCTCTCGTCCCCTCCTTTTTCAATCGTCGTTCCATAAATAATTGCTGTCTGGATGCGCAAGTGAACTGCCAACGACACGCACACGAACAAGAACAATAAAAGCGTTTTTTGTGTTTGTTTGCCGCTGCATTTTTTTTTGTCAGCAACGTGACAAAGAATAAGCAGAGAGATACCTTTATTCATCTACCAACAACAACAGAAAATTCCTTCTCTTGTACTTCCTCCCATACATATCGGTTGTACTTTTTCGTTCCTCTCTTAATCTATCACTTCTGTATTTGCATTATTGAAGTGTGTGTAGCCTCTTTTTTTTGTTTTTGCTTTATCTTTTCTACCTCATCGCCCCCACCGCCATTCACTATTTCACACTCGTGTGATTGTGTCCACGCAGTGCGGCTTAGCGCGATCTTCTTTTTTTTTCCTGTACATCGCTGATCGCGTTGTTCTTGTGTTGTGGCGACTCCCCTCGTTTTCTCGAGCCGTCTCCTCAAAGGGAAACAGAAAGAGACTCGTAGACGCGAAGACGCAACGCAGGTAGTTACTCCTGCCGACAGCCACCAACATCCCCACTACAATTATTACAAGAAAGTGCGTATATATATACTTGTATAAGATGAGCGCCCCTCGTGAGCCAAAGCTCGTGCAGGCGCCGAACCGAGCACAGTCTGGCGCCACGCCCAAAAAAGCTGGCACACCGCCCACGCGGGGTACCACGCCGGTACGCAACAACACGCCCGCCCGCGCTGCCGCCCCGAAACTACACAGCAACGGCAACGGCAACCACAAGGCTCCCTCAGCGGTGCCGCAGTACCACGACCCAGACCGCAACCTCACCTCCGAAGATGCCGCCGAGGGCACCGCCGCCTTCAAGAACCGGGTGTCCGAGATCACCTCTTTCCGCGTGGTGGCGCGTGTGCGTCCGTTTATCAAAGAGGAGCTGGCGGAGATGGAGGGGCAGGAGCGCCGCTCGATTGTGGAGATGACGGAGACCAAGACGATCCTGCTGGACCCGAAGGATAACTGGGCCCCGAAGGCGCAGTTCGAGTTTGACGCCTCGCTCTGGTCCATCCCGCCCACCCACCGCATCGTGCACACCTTCCAAGACACGCGGCACAAAACCTACGCGACCCAGAAAGACGTGTACGACCTGATCGCCAAGGACCTCGTCCCGCACGTCTTCAACGGCTTCAACAGCTGCATCCTCACCTACGGCCAGACCGGCAGTGGCAAGACGTACACCATGATGGGCCACTACAACCCCGACGCGCCGTGCGGCGGCGATGGCGAGGAGGGCATCATCCCGCGCGTGTCAAACGACCTCTTCTTAATCTTGAAGCAACGCGAGGAGGACGAGGCGCGGATGAAGCAGCAGCGCGACCGCACGAAGTTCCGCGTTGAGGTCAGCTTCATTGAAATCTACATGGAGCGCGTGCGGGACTTGCTGGACCCGGCCCTGCGCCACACCCGCGGCAACGAGCAGCTGCAGGACGCCCGCATCCGCCAGGACCCCTACAGTGGCCCCTTTGTGGAGGGTGTGACGAAGTACGAGGTGGAGAACTGGGCGCAGTGCTGTCTGCTGCTCGATCGCGGCTCGCAGCACCGCACGACCTGTGCGACGGCCATCCACAACCAGTCCAGCCGCAGTCACGCCATTTATCAGATTACGGTGCTGCAGGAGCAAGTGGTGCCGGGCAAGAACAAGTTCGCCCTGCCCTCCTTCAAGACCCAGGCGGGTCGCATCAACCTCGTCGACCTCGCCGGCTCCGAGCGGGGCGGCTTCCAAGACTACGTGAAGGAGTCGGCGGCCATCAACACATCGCTGCTGGCCCTGCGTCGTGTCATTGACAACTTAACGGAGCGGCAGAATATGCTGATGGAGCAGGCACGGGCGGAGATCACCGGCGGCTATTACCAGGAGCGCCCGCTGCCGCAGGTACCGTTCCGCGACAGTGTGCTGACGTGGCTGCTGAGCGACAGCATCGGTGGCAACGCCCGCACGACGATGGTGGCCACGCTGAGCCCGCTGGTGAAGAACTACGGCGACACCCTCGCCACCCTGCAGTGGAGCAGCAAAGCACGCAACCTCGTTACGCTGGTCAAGATGAACAATCAGGAGATGGTCTCCGACGGCATGGCGAACAAAGCCGGTACCCTCGACAACGCTGTGCGCATTCAACGTCAGAATCTTGATAGCCTGCGGCAGACACTGCGCAAGAAGCAGGAGGACGCGCAGCAGCTGGAGCGGCAGACCAAGACGCTGAAGAAGACGGTGGACAAGACAAACGCGCGCGTCAAGGTGATCACGGACGATCGCGCCGCCCTTATCATCCAACGTACCTTTCACCGATTCATGTTCTACAAGAAGTTTGAGTCCTACGAGCTGCACTACGCGAAGCTGCGCAGCGCCAAGACGTCTGCCGGCGCGAGCGCCAGCGACTTCGAACGCATTCGAAAGGAGGCCGAGGCACGTGAACAGGCCGCGAAGGAGAAGCTGAGAGAGGCGGAAGCGAAGACAGATGAGAAGGCGGCGGCGGTGGCGCGTTACGAGCAGACGGCGACCGCACGCGCTGAGCGCCGCCGCGAGGCCGAGGAGCGCCATGCCAAAATTTGTGACACGATCAACGCGGGCGAAGTGCTGCGGCAGTACGCGGAGAAGCGCGCCAAGGAGACGGCGGCGGCGCAGGCGGCGATGGACGCGGAGAAGAAGGTGCGCGCGGAGCGGGAGCAGAAGGTAGCGACGATGGAGAAGACAATCGCCGAAAGCAAGTCCGTCGAGGGGCAGGCAAGGATCAAGCAGGACGCGGAGGACCTCGAGGAGCTGCGGAAGAAAAGAGATGACATCCGCACGCGCCGTAATGAGGTGATTAACCGGCTTGTCGCCCTGCGTGAGAAGCACAAGAAGGTCTGCAAAAACAAAAAGTAACAGGAAGATTGGTTTTTGCTGAACGTCTTTTTGGTTTGTTTGTTTCTGTGTGTGGAGAAGCTGAAAGCGAAGCAATTTCAATTAAGGTAGTCCAGCCCAACCGCGGGAAGAAATAGCAGATAAGTTTGTCACTGGAGCTTTGAACTGTCTCTTTTCTCGCCAGGTACTTTCTCTCACACACACATACGAAGAAGCAAAAATAGCTTCCTCTTTTAGCCTTCATCGATTATATATATATATATAAAAGTCATCTCTTCCGCGTCAAAGGACTCGAAGCACGTAACGCTGTGCAACAACGGCGGAAAGCAGAATCTTTTGCTTGGTGTTTGGTGGTGGTATGTACCGGATTCTGTTTTCCCCTCTTTTAATGGTCGCTTACTTGTTTTACAACAGCGTCTTTTTCGTTGTTCGAATTCGTTTCTGTTATCTTTCTTATTGTACCGTCTTTTTCTTTCTTTTGCGTATTTTTCTCTCTCTTTGTTTAGTGCGCCTGCTGTGGCGTATTTGCGTTGATTGCGTTGTGAAAGGCGAAGAGATCGCGCGAGGCACAGAGGGAGGCAACGCAGACCCGGAGACACTCCAAGGATTTTTCTAGTCCAAAGGAAGCCGTTTCCCGTTTGTTTATCATTTTAATGAACAAACACCGCCAAAAGAAGAAAAGAAAATGGACTCAGCTAGAGAATGATCTGTGTCTTTCTGAGTGTTTTGTTTGTTGCTTTTCCTTCTTGATTCCCCTCCCTCCCTTTTTCCTTTGAAGAATGTCACGATGTCGCGCTTTTTTCGAGCTGTGCGTGTTTGAGCAGCGGCAAGCGCCATGCGTTGTACGCATTGTTTCTCTGCACTTCTTTTACTCTTTTGGACTTTCTGGAGCGTATTAGATTTCTCTTTCATCTGTTTTTCTCTTCTCTTTTTTTTTGTTTCTGTTTTCTCTGTTCGATCACTTTCATTGTTAGAGTAGTTTCTTCCTACAAGGGAAAAGGAAAACACTTAGAAAAAAGGAAGGTGCTTGCGCCTCGCGGATCGAGTGTGGTTTCACCACGCTTCCTCAGCGTTGCGGTTTGGGACACACGGCTCTTTCTTTTTTTTTCTCCCAATTAAAAGATGAAGAAAAGCGCAAACGTCTGCTTCTGCTTTGCAACTTTGCAAAATGAGGAGCGGTGACTCACAGACCGTTCTTTTCTTTTCTTCCTTCGTCTTGTGCTACTCTTGTACTATTTTCGGTTCCTGCGTCATCACGGTATCACACTCTCCTTCGCCACCTCCTCCTCTCTCCTCACCGCGCTTGTTCGTGTCGGCTGTTGAATTGAAGCTCGCATCGCGATCCTCCAGCGCAACTGGTGTGCGTATTCCCCCTACTATTATTACTGTCTGTTCATTTTCTTTGTGCGTTCTCTTCTTTCACGTCTTGCCGTCTCCTCCGACTCGCTGTTTTTTCCTTTCCCGTTTCCAGGAAAAAAGAAACTGCAAAGATCGAAGCAGAGGATTCCATTCTATACACACATACACACAGACACACACGTCGGCACACGGCGAGGAACGGTATCTACCTGTCAAACAGCAGCAGCGGAGTTTTAGTTGGCTTCCCCTCTTCCTTAGAAATACGCGCACAGCACACAGTTGTTATTCGTAGGGTTTTCTTCCCCTTCATCACCGGTGAGCCGTAAAGAACTGGAAAAGGCTAGAAAAGAAAAATGCTTTCCGAGGACGAGCAGAAACGGCAGCTGTACAACCGCCAGGAGTATGTCGTGGGCGCGGAGACGCAGGCGAAGTACGGCTCTACGACTGTCCTCGTCGTCGGGGCCACGGGTCTCGCTGCGGAGATCATCAAAAACATCGTCCTGACCGGCGTGAAGAGCGTGAAGGTGCTGGACGACGCACTGATTAGCATCGAAGACCTCGGCACCAACTTCTTCCTCCACCCCGGTGATGTCGGCAAGCCGCGCGGGGCGACGGTGGCGAGCGCGGCGAAGGAGCTGAACCGTTTCGTGGACGTCTCGGCCGTCACGGGCGACGCCCTCGCGCACATCCCCACCGTGCACGTCGTCATTTACGCGAACGACTTCACCGCCCGGCTTGGCGAGGCGAACCGCGTCGCGCGGACGCACCACGTGAAGTTTCTCAGCTGCGAGAGCCGCGGCGTCTGCGGGTGCGTTTTTGTCGACGGCGGCGCAGCGCTCGACATCGTCGACACCGACGGCGAGGACACCGTCACGTGCGTGGTGACCGCCCTCTCGCCGGAGGGCCTCGTCACGCTGCAGGAGGACAAGAACCACGAGTGCGAGGTGGGCAGCAAGGTGTACTTCACCGGGCTCAGTGCGGTGCCGGGGGCGAATACGGCGGACCCATCCGCGCCCGCCGCGTGGAGGCTGTTCGAGGTGGCGGAGGTCATCTCGCCGCACATTATGCGGCTCGCTGGCATAAAGGAGTTAATGGGCAGTGGCGAGGGGGGCGGCGCCGCCGCGATCGACGTGGGCACCAGCGCCTACTTACACACCACCAAGAAGGGCCGGCGCGAGCACTACAAGACGGTGGAGGAGAGTCTGGCCAACCCGGAGTGTCTCATGATATTCGACAAGGAGGAAAAGCACGCGGCGGCGGCAACGCTGCATGCGATGTTCACCGCCGTGGCGAAGCGCGGGCACGCGCCGACGTCGGCGGCAGACGTCGAGGAGGTCATCCGTGACGCCTGTGCCGCCAACGCGGAGGCGGAAGCGGACGTGATGCGTCTGCTGCTGCCGGTCTTCGCGGGCGACCTGAACCCGATGGCGTGCTTTATTGGTGGCATGGCGGCGCAGGAGGCGTTGAAGGTGTGCAGTGGTAAGTTTACCCCCCTGCACCAGTGGTTGTACTACGACGCACGGGAGGTCCTGCAGGCCCGCCTCTGCGGCGCCAAGAGCGTCTCGGCCGGAGCCACAGCAGCAGCAGCAGCAGCCGGCACGTCCGTCTTTCCTGACCGCACGGCGACACCTTCGCGGTACTCCAGTCAGGAGGCGGTGCTGGGCCACGCCTTCCAGTCTTACCTGCACGGGCGCAAGGCATTTATTGTTGGGGCCGGCGCCCTCGGCTGCGAGCTGATCAAGAACGTTGCGTTGATGGGCATCGGTGAGGCCTCCATCACCGATATGGACACGATCGAGATGAGCAACCTGTCCCGGCAGTTTCTCTTCCGCCACCACCACATCGGCCGCGCCAAGTCGGTCGTCGCGGCAGAGGCGGCGCGGAAGATCAACGAGGAGGTGAAGATGACGTCCTACGAGTCGAAGATGGCCCCCGAGACGGAGGTGATCTTCAACGAGGACTTCTGGGCTCGCCAGTCCGTTGTCCTGAACGCGCTGGACAACGTCATGAGTCGCAAGTACGTGGACGAGCGCTGCCTGTTTTACCAGAAGCCGCTCTTTGAGAGCGGTACGCTGGGCACCAAGTGCAACATGCAGCCCGTCATCCCCTTCGTGACGGAGAGCTACAGCAGCAGCTACGACCCGCCGGAGAGGGGGATCCCGCTCTGCACCCTCAAGAACTTCCCCAACGCGATCGAGCACACCATTCAGTGGGCACGGGATTTGTTTCACCTGCTCTTCGCCAGCGTGCCGGCGGACGTGAACCAGTACTTGAACGACCCTGCCGGGTTCGCGCACAACCTCAAGAACGACCCGGCCGCCGCGGATACGGTGTTGAAGAACGTGAACGACGCCCTCGTGCGCTGGCCAACAAGCGCCGCGGACTGCGTGCGCCTCGCCCGGCTGCTCTACCAGGAGCACTTCAACGACGGCTTCCGCCAGCTGCTGCACAACATCCCGCTCGACAAGCGCAACGAGGACGGCCAGTTATTCTGGAGCGGTGCGAAGAAGCCGCCCACGCCGCAGGAGTTCGACCCGAGCTGCGAGGACGACATCGAATTTGTGTACCACTGCACCTGCCTTTTTGCGGAGATCTACCAACTCTCGCCCTTCGCCCTGTCGAAGGAGGAGACGGCGCAGATGGCGGCCGCGGTGCAGGTGCCCGAGTTCGTGCCACGCCACGCTGTGTTTGCCACCTCGGAGAAGCAGACCTCGCAGCAGACCTCGTCGCCCAGCGGCATCTCCTTCGCTGACCTGCCGCCCGCGTCGCACTTCGGCGCGCGTCGCATGAAAGCAGAGGAGTTCGACAAGGACGACAGCACAAATCACCACATGCAGTTCATCACGTACTGCTCCAACATGCGCGCTCGTGCCTATCACATTCCCGCCGCAGACCTGAACCAAACGAAGCGCATCGCCGGCAACATCATCCCCGCCATGGTGACCACGACGTCCCTCGTCACTGGGCTGGTTGGCTTCGAGGTGCTGAAGTACCTTCTCATTCAGTTTCATCACCACCAACAACACTCACCCGCGTCCTCCACGGCGAGTCTCGTCTACCTCGACGCGGACGAGGAGCCGGAGCAGCTCGTCACGCTCTTTCGCAGTGCGTTTGTGAACATTGCGCTGCCTTTTATCGCCTTCTCCGATCCGATCGTGGCGCAGCAACGCTGCTACGTCCTGCCCAGCGGCAAGAAGCTGCGCTGGGGTATCTGGGACCGTCTGGAGGTGGCGGAGGGGCGGGACCTGCCGGTGAAGGAGTTGGTGCAGCTGCTGCACGACCGCTACGAGTTGGAGGTGTTCATGATCGCCCTCACGAACGGCAAGATGATCTACACCGAGTTTGGGGGCAAAGCGAAGGACAAGGAGAAGCGTGTGTCGGTGGTGGCGCAAGAGAAGGGCGAGATCCTGCAGGAGGAAGTAGCCTACTTTGATCTCGTGGTGACGGGCATGATCGGCAACGACGACGACGTTGATGTGCCGATCATCCGCTATCGCTACCGGTTCTAATGGAGAGTTAATTTTGTTTTGTTTTTTCTTCTTTCTTTCTGACTGTTTGACGCTGCTCCCAAGATGAGTGTTTTTTACCAAGTATACGTGCAATTACTATTATTATTATTTCGCTTTGGTGGGTGTGTTTAGCGTGGTGATGGCGTTACGTATCGCGCTCGTTGATGGGCTTTGCGCCGACTCGTTTGTTTCCGATGTTGGCGTGGTTTACTATTATTAATAATAGCGTCGTCACTTTTATGGCTACTATTAACTTTATTTGCTGTCCGACTGCGCTGATGCAAGATGTTGGGATTTTTAGTTAATCCATTCGCTTTGGTGGCGGTGGTGGTGGTTTGTCTTTATCATTGAGTTAGTGTGATCAGTGACTGTTTCTCAAGCACGACAATGAAGCCAATGGCTGAGGCGCCCCCCCCCACCCTCTTCTTTGCTGTTACGAGATAAGCCATGAACAGACTCGCTCTCATCTTTCATGTTGACAGTTCATACTCAACAGCTTGACAAAAGAGGGTGGTGGTGCGGCAGCGGTGGCCGCGTAAAGTGAGCGACAACGACGTGCGTTTGTTTTCTTTTCTCTTTGGAGAATCAAAAGAGTTCCTCCTCCTCTTTCTATTAACTGCCCTTCGTTGCCTTTCATTTTTTCTCTCTTTCTCTGATCGTCTTTCTTCCTCTCTGTGTGCTTTTTTTTTGACTATACCAGAAGCCACCTCTCCCACGTGTATGTGTGCTTCTGTCTTTTTCTTCTTTCTTCTTCCCATCCGCCTCTCCTGCCTTTCCTCGCTCACTCACGTACACCACGAGCGCGATAACTCACGGTGATCGTGACGCCTAGCTCATGCTTCTGCAACCCCTTCTCTTCTTTCTCAGAGTTTTGCACCGCTGAATCCAGCGTTATTATTGCTATTACTATTCTAGTACTGTAACGCTCGTCTCCTCTTCTCCTTTATTTTTGCTTTATATAAGTTTTCATTTTTCCTCTACGCTTCTCCATGTCGCTGCTGTCGCGCGTGAACTACATCCTGGATGAAAGCTGTGCGTTTTCCATATGCCTCATCGTGCTGGCCGTCGACGCCTACCGCATGTTATGCTATGACTCCCACTTCTACGTCCCCATATTCATCACCAGCGGCTGTCTCACTGCTGGTCTCAGCAAGGGGCTAAAGCGCGTGATCAACCAGAGTCGCCCGCCCGGGGCGCCGAAGCTCAGTCCGGGGATGCCGAGCAACCATGCCACGGCCCTCTCCTTCCTGTGCGTCTCCACCGTCTTTGAGCTGCAGAAGTTCTCCGAGCACACGGTGGTGCATGGGCTGGTGCCGACAAATAGGTGGAAGCTTTCCCCGATCCACATGGCGCCGGACATCCCAGTGAATTGGGTTAAGCCGCTTCAGGCCTTTGTGATTCTGTACAGTGTGTACCTCACTCGCCTGCGGGTCGTCCACGGCCATCACACGATGGCGCAGGTCGTAGTGGGCTACATCTTCGGCGCGAGCTGCGCTGCGTTGTGCCTCATCGCAAACTACGCCGGGTTCGCTGGTGGGCCGCCCGGCGGCCGCGTCGATGCGCTGTCGTTTCCGATGAAGACGATGGCCGCCGCCATTTCCACGTTCATCCTGCTGGTCGCAATACACGCTGCTTGCCGCAGCTTGATTCGCGGGCATGCCCTTCTGTCTCCTACAATGCACTTCGTTGTCGCGAAGGGATCGAGCGAGATGAACGCCGAATGAAACGCCGAAGACGAGAAGCATTGAGGGAGGGGGGGAGGGGAAATCACAAAAGAAGTTCACCAAAGCAAATGCGTTTTTCCCTCGAGAATGCGGTGACACTGCGGCAAGAAGTGCTCAACCGTTCTCGCCCTTTTTTCCTTTCTTTCTTTTCTTTCCTCCCTCTCTTCTCTGAGGTCTTTTAGTATTATCATTTGCTTTGTTTTGTTTGTTTGTTATTTGTTTTTCACTGTTCCCTCTCTCCCTTTTCTTTCTTTTTATTATTATTAATAACACGTCCAATTGTCTGCATGACGGCAAGTTTCAGGGTTGCCGCACAACAGGAATGTAGAGCGTGTTTGGAATAGCGTTGCTTTCGCAACAGTGCTTTAAAAAAAAATCCAGCAAATAAAAATGGATAAACTATTCGATTGTTTCTCTTCTTTATTTACCTTTTTCGTTTACCGTTTCTTTTTCTTTTTGTTTTTTTTTTCGTTTTTTTGAGCACGTGGAATTTGATGTGTGCTTACTGAGTTCGTAGTAGAGAGCGTTGACCTCTTCTTCTTCTTTTTCTTCTAGTGATTATTTCGTCCCGAGCTATGTGTTTTCCGAAAAGCTCTCCAATCGAGCGCGTACGCCAGAGAAAGCACACGAGGCACAGAACAGCTGTTTCTTCTTCATCATCTCTTTTAAGTTTTACCCACTTCAAAAGAACTACACCGATATTTTACTTCTTCGAAAAAAGGGATAAACATGTCGGATATCGTACAGGAATAAACGCACTCCTTTTCCCCATTTTGCCCGTCTGCGGAACTCGTTGTACACGCCTTCACGGCTTATTCCTGTCACCCTTACTGTATACGATCTCTTTTCTTCCTCTGTTTAAGATATATTGACCCTTATTTTTGTTTTCATATTTTTCCCCATCAGTGTTTCTTGAGAACATATATCTGTTTATATACAATTGATCAGAAAAAAAAAAACAATTGAATGACAATTCACCCCTTCCTCTCCCCTCCCCTCTCTACTCAGCTTCACCCTTCTGAATACAGGGGTAAAAGAAGGACCTGCTCTCTCTCTTCCTTTTCCGGCAACTTCTTTCTGTTTGTGTGTTTGCTTCACGGTCGAGCTCTCACGAACGCCTTCGCTGACTTCCACACTACTGCGCCTCTGCAGATCTCACCACCGTCCACGACGAATAAGCTCTCCACCTCTCCTTTGGTCTTTATTCCCTTCCTTCCGTTTTCTCCTTCTCTTTCTTTTGCCACGCTGACTTGCCTGGCGCATTTCCCACCTGTACTACCACAACAACAACAACAACCTGCTTGTTTTGTTTTTGCGATCTCTACCTCATTGCTGTAGAAGATCGATCGGTTAGCATCTGTTTATCAGGAACAGAAACCGTCAGCAACTTATTGATACATCAAATTGTTTTCTTTTTCTCTCTCTGTCCGTTTGGGCGGTATTTCACTGAGAGTGGACACGTCCGCGACGGTGTTGATCTATTTCCGCCACGGGACTCTTCACGTGACGCTTCGTAGATTTTACCTGCCGTCGTATTTTCCGTCTCTTGGTTTTTCTTTTTTTTTGTATTGTAGGCCCCGACCTCCGCGTGTTTTCGCCATCTCTCACATTTCTCGTACCTATTTCAAGAAGAGGGGCAATTGATATACTAGACTGCGAGTGCCACGAATACAGGGAAGGAACCTACGCCCTTGGCAAGGTGTACGCGATTCAACCTTGTCTGCACACTCCCATTTCATTGTTCTTCTTGTGCTCCTTCGTGCATGCTGAACACACAACAATAGCTTTTTTCTTTTGAAATTCGCTACGATCGAAACACTGCGGCTGCAAACCATTCAAATCTAGCACTTCAATATATATGTACGTGAGAGGAAAAGGAACCTGCTCTACCGCTGGCCCTTGCAAAAGTACCTCTGTTGCTCTCTTTCTCTATTTCTGCCGTCTGCAGAGTAAAGAGTACTTGTGCACAACTCCCTGCTCTTGATATAATAGTTAATTGTCCGTGAAACCAAGGAACGTTTTCCAGGGAGCCCGGCTTCGCTCTTGCGTTCTAGATCGCACTCGAAGCCATCTGGGGAGCAAGCGATACATTGTTTTTGCATTTTTTGTCTCATTTTTTTCTGAGGGGTTTTCGCACGTAGACGTTCTACTTTATACCTCTATTGTTTTTCTTTTCTTTTATTATTGTTATTATTATTGGCTTTCTCATTTGGAGGTCTTTGGCCACTTGTAATAACTGTGATTTATTTCTTCCTGCTCTTCTCTTTAAGCATCACTTGGCTCCATTTTTTTTTTCTCTCCCTTTGTCCTCCTCTTTACTGCGTCAACGGAATTTCTTCTACAACTGCTGCTGTCGTTTTTGTCGTTGTTGTTCCCACCCCCACCCCTGTTTTAGGCGGCAGAAAGGAGTTGCTGAGCAGCTGAGGTGAATTTGAACTCAAATCTCAAAACTCGACACACTGCGGAGCGCCGAAACGTTTACCCCTAATTTTATCTTTCTCTTTGTGTGAGTGTCTTTTTTTTTATCCCTCCCCCCTTATTTTCCCATCTCTTTCTGTCTGTGTGTGTTGCCAGTGAATCCTTTCGTGAGCGTGTTATACAAGTATAGTTTCCAGCAACATTCACCCCCGTGTTTGCTTCTTGTGTGTGTATTCTCTTTCCTCATCTTTCACTGTCACTTCCACTTCACATCAATCCTTTTGCTGTTGTTGGTCGTTTTTACTGCTTCTCATCGACGCCTTTTATTTACTGGCTCTTCTCGTCATCAACTTGCTCCTTTCCATTCCTTTTTCTTTTCTTTTCTGGCTCGTTTTTGCGATTTGCGTGACGACGCAGAGGATCGTTCTTCGCTCTTGTCTTGTCTTTTCCTACGTGGTGTTTTGTTCGCCGCGTTGCGTCCGCTTTGTATCACGGTAGATAGCCGTTACCCGCTGCTATTCCTCTCTCTATTTCTTGTACTTCACCCGGCGCGTTTTATCTCTGTCTCGGGCAGTGCTGCGACGTCTATTTGTTGTTTGTTTGTTTGTTCTCGCTTCTTTTCCTCTTTCTTTCTTTTTCCTTGCCGTCATCGCCCGCGAGTCCGCTCAGCTCCTCCTTCCCCTACCCCCCCCCCCCCCTCTGTGACGGTGCTCCACGTTTTATGTGCTCGCCTGCCCGAAGTCGTTGGCGCAGTTCTACATCGATCCGGCTTCGGCGGTTTTATTGTTGTTGTCCAGCGCCTTTGCCAAAGGGCTCTTTTCCCGCTCCCCCTCTATTTTCTAAAACAAACATAAACGCACTACGTGTGTTGTTTAACGTTCTCCTTCGCTCACATGTCATCGCCTTCTCACTCACCCTACCGCATGCAACATCAAACATCTCCGTATGGGGATGTCGATGACGAGGCGTCGGATCTGCCACCCTCACTGACGGCTGCGGCAGCTCTCACCGCCCAGAGGAGTAGCAGCGCAAACGGCAAGAACACGACCACGAACGCCAGCACTAATGATTGCGGCGGCGACACCGCGGGTCAAGCCGCGCCGTCCGCGATGCAAGGGCAGGTGCAGCGACGCCTGTCGGACGCCAACGCGAGTCACACCACGTCTATGGGCTCCTCCCTCACGCGCCCCCTCTCATCGCCGTCTCGCAAAGCACCGCCGTCGTCAAGCAAAGCGGAGACAGGTGCAATGAATCTGACAAGCCAGCAGCAGCAGCAGCAGCAGAAAGAAGACGAGCCGCAAAAGCCACCGCCGCCACCGTCTTCGTCCACGGCGCTGTCACCTGCAGAGGTACAGATGCCGACGATTGCACCGTCCACCGCTGTTCCGCGTTCTAGGGCGCCGCACCGCACCGTCGGCTTTGTCGACACGCCGGCTGCTGCTACGGTGGTCACGCCGCGACAGCCCTCGACCGACCCCACCGACCTGCACGTGTCTGTCCTGACGGTATCAGGCAACCAATGGACGTCCGGCTCTAGCGATGTAGAGACCCAGCGCCCGAGCGAGGCGTCGACGGAGCCGGCACGCAACTCAGCTCGCACGGCGGACACCACCTCAAAAGAAGCGGACAAAGAAACGGCCGTGCCTGCGGGGGCAGAGGCACCGTCGGCGACGAGATCGCAGACGAACGAACCGACACAGCTGAACAGCAGCACGGACGAGGGTGCGGGAGACCGTAATGGCGACACGAGAGAGGAAGGCGCAGGCGACAACCGCCCCTCCACACACTCGCGGTACAAGACGGCCTACGCGAACCTGGTCATCAAGAAGCCCAGCCAAAGCAACACCCCTGACACCTGTGCGATCGCCACCGACGGGACCACGATGCTGCCCGGGATGGATCCACGCGACGAGGCCCAGATTCGTGCGGCGGGCACGCTGAACTCCGCACGCCTGCCAGTGTTCGATCGTGCCAAGCAAGTTCTGCTCACACCGGGTCTCAATAACCTACTATCGCCTCGAGGACGGCACAGCCGCACGGCGAGTAATCAAGCAGACGGGGCCTTTGCCCACACTCGCTCGAACAGCAACAGCACCACGCCGCTGTCAGCGGTAGGGCAGCGCTTCACCACCCTCATCACGCCCCTCCTACGCACTCCCGTGCACCGTCAGCAGAGCAGCGGCATCAGCTCCCCTCTCATTGTCGACTACTCGCTGCTGGAGGTACCGGCGCAGTCGCCCGCCACCTTCGGCGCGCAATTAACAGTGGAGGACGACACGAAAGACGACGAGAGCGTGAAGACGCACATGGTGTGGCAGATACGCACGGGTCGGACGCACTTCGCGCTCTCGCCCGATTTTCTTCTCATCCCCGTTAACGACCGCGTGTGCATTCACTGGTACGACGACTCCGAGGAGGTGTTCGAGACGGACAACACCTACCTCAACGTCGTCCCTGGCGGACGCCACAGCTGCTACAACGTCGCTGCGACCCCGCTCGAGGCGAACGAGATGCAAGATGTGTCCGGCGCTCCCGGGGAGGACAACCGCAACGAGGCGTCGAGTCACGCACTGGGCAGGACGCGGGACAGTCCTCCCGGCGCCGCCGCGCTGTGTCCGCCGACGGAGGTGACGGGTGCTGGCAGGAAAGGCGGCATCAGTTCGCCGGTGTGGATTCGCGTGCGCACCCCACGCACGGGGCGGACGGACTCCTTCGGGGAGTCGTTTAATCAGATGGATCCCGGTGCGCGCGGCCCGCCGACGCTCCGCCAAGGCCTACGCGCGCGTCGCTTTGCCTCGGAGGTTTTTATGACGCGTGAGGAAGACGACGGCGGCAGTGGCGTTGACGCAGCGCATCACCCGCGATCGCGCAGTGACACCAGCTGGCGTGATGCCAACGTTGCCGTTAGCAGCGCGACCCCTCTCATCACGAACCACTCGCGTCAGCCGAGCGCTAACTGGATGGTGCAGCGCTCCGTCACGCGGCAGTCCTTTGGCGAGAACTACCAATCGTTTACCATTTTCTTCCGTAAACCGGGTGAATACTACTTTGTCTGCTCGAAGCACAAGCGGACCATGCGGCTGCACGTGCAGGTGCAGTCCAAGAAGTCCCTCATTCGCTGGCGCTACGTCTTCGTCGTCGCCGCGGCACTCCTAGTGGTCGCGTTGATTGTGATTGTGGTGGTGGTGCTGGCGTACTGGATGCACCACAGCACGTACCTCTACGGTAGCGGGGGCGCCGCCACGGACGAGCAGTATATAGCCTTTCTCCACATTCACGACTTGATCACGATGAAGCTGTTCCCTTTTTTGGCGGTGGGCGTGCTTGTTATACTCCTCGTCATTCTCGCCGCGATTGGATGGGCGGTATACCGGTGCTTCCATCCAGCCCGACAGGGCGCCTACACACGTGGCGTGCGCACGAACACCCGCCGTGTCTTCGTCTGCGGCACCGTTCTCCTCACCTCCGCGCTCATCGTTCTCCTCTTCGTCGCTTTTGGGTTGGAGATGAATGTGATGAACGGCGTGAATCAGCTGGCGCTCTCCCTCGGCTCCGGTGTCACCAACACCCTCAACCTCTACTCAACCGCCGTTTTGCAGGTGAACTACGCGGTGAATGAGACCAAAGCTCTGTTTCCTGACATCGACCTGCCTGTCGACAAAATCTACAACATCACCGATGAGGTGAGCAGCCTCATGAGCCAAGTCATCAAGTGGACGTCCTTCGTGGAGGACATCGCCCAGGTCGCCTTCCGTGCCATTCCCATTGTGATTTACCTCGCCATGCAGCTCGGCCTCTTCGCGGCGTGTCTTACCATCGGTGCCCTCATATTGGACTTCCGCAATGCAGCGGTGGCGACGACGTGGATGTTGGCGGCCAGTCTCGGTGTGATTTCCATCGTGTGTGGGATTGAATTCGCCATCACGATTCTCTTCCGCAACGTCTACAGCAGCGTGGTGGTGCTGCGTGATGACCCGGCGGACTTCGGCGCCACCCTCGGCCTCGCCAACGACAGCTTTGTCGCGGAGCTGCTCTCCTACTGCACCATCACTGTCGCCGACGTGAGTGTGATTTCGAACTACGTGAACAGCATCTTGTCCAGCATCAACTCCACCTTGGACGCGAAAGGGCAACAGGAGTTTTCAACAGCCTTTCAGTTTTTTCAAGATATGGTCCCGACTACCTTGGAGGCGCTGGTGAACGACACCGATTACGCCTTAGCGAACCTCGACACGCTGCAGCGAATTCTGGACGAGAACGGTGATCAGGTGAACGCGCTGATTCATGACAACGTGGTGTCGCTGCTGCGGACCGTCTTGACAGTCGTTCAAACCCTCGAGGGTCTCCTAAACTGTCAGGTCATTCGCGACATCGTCTCTGCTGCCATTCCCATCCTGGAAAACGAGGTAAAGAGCTACAACACCGCCGTCTTTGCGTTTCTGATCATCGTCTTCGCTGTCAACTTCGTACTGCTGTTTTTTTCGGCCGGTGCCGCATACGCGCTTCGCCACCCGCGGCGGACGTGGTGCAACATGCGAACCGGCCGCTGGTTCCGCTTCCGCTACTCCTTCAAAACGCACCTCCACACCCTCATGCAAGGCACCAAGGCGAAGGCGCGTGACAAGACGGTGCTGCACTGGATGGTGCATCACACGCAGCCCATCATGTATCAGCTGCAGAGCGTGAGACTGATCTGTTACTCCGCGTGTGCGCTCATGTTCTTTGACTGCATTCTCATTGTCCTCTTCGACGAAGTCTCGCGCGGCACGCGCACGTCCAAGATGTTGCAGGCGCTTACGTATTTGGGTTGCGCGGTGCTTCTATTTCTGCTGCTGGCAGCGCTGTTTCGCCGCGCCTTTATTCGCCGGATCTTCCGCTCCTGCTCGCTGCTGTGCGCCGCGGCCTGCCTCGGCCTGTCGCTGTCGCAGACGATCGTTGGCTTTGTGTACTTTTTCCAGTGCCTGAACCACACCCGCTACGAGACGAGCTCGCTGACCTACGGCAGTCCCGTGTACATGACCTGTTCCGCCACGTACATGGGGTACAACCTGGAAGTCGCCATTTACGCCGTTATCATCTTTCTCAACAGCATCACCGTCGTTGTTACTCTGGTCATTTACCTCCGATATGAGCGCAACTTGCAGGCCATCTTCCAGCGCCGCCATTACGTCGGCTTCCTCTCCCCACTGGAGGGGTTCTTCCCATGTCTCCGGTGCATCTTTGTGGATTACCTGTTCGTGAAGCGCATCTGCCACGGTCTGCTGATCTTCGTGACGATTCTCTTTCTCGTGCTGTTTGCGGTGCTCGATGTCGGGCAGTGGTCCGTCATCCGCGGTGTGACGAAGAAGACGTTGAAGGACTCGGACATGATCCAGGTCATAGACCCGGAGATCGGCTGCAACGGCGACGCGAAATACTGCGACCTGCGCGCGAACGAAATCATTTGGGCCTGCGCGCACAACGCCCACAGCAGCCTGGAGGACGGCTTTGTGTTGCCGAACCACTATTACAACATCACGCACCAGCTGACGGCCGGCGTACGCAGCTTCATGGTGGATGTGTGGTACGACAAGGTCAACTCGTCGATCAGCGACGAGGAGGACGTGTACGTGTGCCACATGGTGTGTCTGATGGGTCGTCGACGATGGCGCGACATCGCGAGGGAGTTCAAAGAGTTCCTCGACCAGTACCCCGAGCAGGTGATCATGATCATCTTTGAGCAGTACGTCAACAGCAGCTCGCTGGGCGAAATATCAGATGACGTGGGCCTGACGCAGTATGTGTGGCGCAGCGAGCAGGTCGCCCCGAACTTCAACCCGGACTACAAGTGGCCGACGCTGCGGCAGCTGATCGCCTCGAAGCAGCGCGCGATGGTGTTCAACGACGAGCCGGCCATCTCCAACCTGAGCCTCAACTGTCCCGACTGGCTCTACTACTCCTTTGACTACCAGTACGAAAACTACTACGAAACACCGAATGTTTCGTCCTGGGTGTGTGACATCCACCGTGGATGGTGCACGGACGACCCGAAACCGAAGAATTGCACTAACAGCAGCGGCAGCAGCGACAGCAGCGACAGCACAAGCAACAGCGGGTGCGGCGCCGACTCGTCTCTTTCCGCCGCCTCGGACTCGCACTCTGCATATCTTATCTCGCTCGACATCACTAACTGCACGGTGTACGGCGCCGACCCGCTCTGGAGGAACGGCAGTGCGGTGTACAACGCGGTGTTCCACACGAACCCGCCCAACATCCGCAGCAAGATGAGCACGATGAACCACTTTATCACGAGAGGCGGCGGGTCGCCGGTGCACGCGACTGAGGCGAACCAGCCGCAGCAAATTCAGTCCACCACCTTCATGTGCTCCTCGACGTGGAACACGGTGGTGAACATCCTCGCATTTGACTTTTGGAACATCGCCAACCCCCTTGGCACCATTGAAAGCATGAATCAGAACATCGCGAAGCACGGCAAGGAGAGCAACTTTCGTGATCAGTGGAGTAAGATGCTCTTCGGCACCGACACCGGTGCGTAAACGAAGGATCAACGATGCGAGAGCAGTAATAACAGGAATAATAATAGAGCCGCAGTACGAAACAAACGACCGGCAAGCAACGACGCTGATGACTTGATGTGCTCCCCTCCTGTCGTATTATGCGGAGGAGTTGCATATATACACACACACACACAAACCAACACTCGCGTAACTTTTTTTTCCTGTTTTTGTTTTCTCTTTTTGGCGGTGAACTACTACGGAGCGCGTTTCCTTCCTTCCTTCTCATTTTCCTTTTTCGTTTCCGTGGGGTGTTTTTCTCTACTACTATTATTATTATTATTGTTCCTATCACTATCATTAGTAGTAGTAGTGCGTCTCGCTCGTAAAGCTTTTGATTCCACGGCAGGCGGGGCAGCGGGGTAATTGGTGTTCTTATTCTTCACCATCGACTTTTTTTTTCTAATGCGTGATGACCTGCTCGCGGTTTTTTTTTCTCTTCTTTTTCTCCTCCTGCGGCTCTTACAGTAGTTAAAAAAAAAAAGACCATTATCGCTGTTCTCCGCATGTAGACGATATGTCTGGCCAGATGTAAAGTGTTTCCTTTTTAACCGCGAAACACGCACCGTTCTCTGACTTACAAAATAAAAAGAAAAGATGGACGGCCTCAACTCCCTCTTCCTGCGTGTGTTTTGGTAAACCGCGGACTTCAAAGATGCTTTGCGCATTTTGTTTGGATAATGCCTTTTTTTTGTATTTCGGTGTATTGATACACTCTGCACACGCGCACACACACGCATTCTCAGCTGTGTATTGTCAACAAAAAAAAACACAAAGGTACTATGCGAATCAGGTTTTTTTTTCCTTTACCGCGTCAGCGAGTAGCTGTGTTGGTGGGGGTCTTGAGGGCTTTGAGGCGATACTTCTACCAAGGGACGTTTTCCATAGCATGAACGCTCGAGCGCTTCTCTCGTGTCGTACGCCGAATCACGGAAAGCCCACGTGCGCATTCCGTGCTGTCGCTTTTGTTGTTAATGTTGACGGTGACCGCAGTAGTGCCAGTTTCCTCTTTCGATCTTACTTTACAGCCCTCTCCTCTTTTCGACTTTATTATCTGCCCTTTCCTTCCTTGTGGGTCTTCAGCCGCAGAAAGCAAACAAGCAACAGGAGAAGCAGCTCTTTACGCCAGAACGGGAGATGCATGCGTTGCGGTGTCTTACCCGCGGTGGCGTTACCGGGCGCGGGGTGGGATGTCCTACCCTGCTCCTACGCAGCAGCTTCCAGCCAAATCTTACCTCGCTGACGAATCAGGTGAACCGCAACGACGACTTCGTCAAGTTCGGCCACAAAAACGTCCCCGTCGGCGTCCCCCGCCTCGATCGCCGCGACGTTCGTGCGATCTCGGTGCTGCACGAGACGCCCCACCTCCTCGTCGCGGGCCGCAACTTCGCCAACGGCTTCTCCGGCAATCAATTCCTGCTTATTCAGAAGGAGCGAAAGGAGTGCATTTTTGTCGACGCGGCAGATGACTGGCCCGATGACTGGGTGTCGTTCATCGCCTCCTCCGGCCTGCGGCCCACGCACTTTTTCCTTACCCACTGCCACGTCGACAGCATCGTGAATCTGAACGCCTTCTTAGCGGTCATGGAGCAGCATTTCCAGGTGCGACTGGGTATCATGTGGTGCCCGGGGGAGCAGCCGTGGGTGGACGCCTTCCCGCGGTCGTGCGAACGCTACGGTCGTGTAGAGGAGATGCGCCAGCCACTGCCGTTGCTGAAGAACAGTCTGTACAGCCACTACACCTACGCCCACCAGCTGCGGCAACGACAACGCACGCTGGACGACGCCGCCGCGTCGCATCTCGACGGGGAGGAGGGAGATGAAGCGGGCAGCGGAAAAGGAGAGGGTGGTGCGACACGCAACACGCAGCGCCGATCTTCAGAGCTGCCTCGCCAGCTTGTCCGGACCCACGACATTCTGCTGTCCAGCGCCACGAATCGATCCACTTCCTTCTACGAGTTTGGCCCTCACTCCGTGCTGCATTACATCTTCACACCGGGGCACTCGCCCGGGCATATGATGCTGAGCCTGCCGCGCGAACGGCTTCTCTTTACGGGGGATGCGCTGTACTACGGTGGTGTGGGGCGTGTAGACCTGCCGTGGGGCTGTGGCGGACGGCTTGCGGAGAGTCTGCTGACCTTGGAGGATTTCCCGGACAGCACGGTGCTGTTGCCGGGGCACGGCCGCCTTACCACGCTGGGCCGCGAGCGTCGCGAGAATCCCGCGCTGCGTGCGCTGTACGAGCGTCGCGCCGCCGGGGACCAGCAGGTCTCGGTGGGCTTTAATACAGGGTATCTGTAACCGCCTGTTCTGTGGAGAAGAGTCTGGTGTTTGACGCGAGTTATCCCTCCTCTCTCTCTCTCTCTCTCTATCTACATCTATA